ACGCACTGCTTCATCAGCTGCGCGAGCGACGGCAGCGTGCACGTGGTCAAGGTCGAGTACGCGGTGCCATCGGCGGCGTCGTCGGCAACCGCACCGTCGTCGACATCGCCGTCTACATCGCCTCCCAGCAGCAGCAGCATGCCGCGCTACAGCCGGCTGCGGCTGCTGCGCGAGTACCAGCTGCCGCGCGGCGAGTGGGCCGTCTGGTGCGACCACTTCAAGCAGGAGGCCAGCTCGGTGCTCGTGCTGGCGACCAACCGGTCGCGCGTCCTGGGCATCGACCTGCGCACCATGACGCTGCTGTTTGCGCTGGCCAACCCGGTGCACCACGGCACGCCGACGTGTTTTGCCGTGGACCGCAAGCGCAACTGGCTCGTGGTGGCGACGTCGCACGGGGTGCTGGACCTCTGGGACCTGCGGTTCAAGATGCGGCTCAAGGGGTGGGGGATTGCCGGGGGCGCGGCCGGCGCCACGGGCGGCGGCACAGCGGCGTCGCCCATCTACCGCCTGGCCATCCACCCGTCCAAGGGCCGCGGCAAGTGGCTGTGCGTCGCCGGCGGCACGGGCCAGGGCGGCGAGGTGACGGTGTGGGACCTCGAGAAGACGCTCTGCCGGGAGGTGTACCGAACGGGGGCGGCCGCTGCCGCTTCCACGTCCAGCACGGCCACCAAGGACCTGTACGAGCCCTGGGACGTCGACGAGGACCGGCCCGAGGGCATGCTGGGCCGGTTTGCCACGAGCATCGACCCGGCCGGGGTGGCCAACGGGGGGACCCCCGCGACAGCGGCAGCGGCTGCGGCTGCCGGTGTCGCGCCAGGCACGACCGGCGCGGGCGGCGACAAGGGCGTACGCGCCATGGTGGCCGGGTCGTCCCCCGTCGACGACCAGCGGGATGTGCGGCACGCGTTTCTTGTGACGGGCGGCAGCGACCGGAAGCTGCGGTTCTGGGACCTGTGGCGGATCGAGAACAGCACGGTGTACAGCGGCCAGGACGAAGGGTGGATTGGGGGGGTTGGGACGCATGGGGCGCATGGTGGTGGTGCCGGAGGAAATGCGAGCACGGCGGCTCATGTCGGCCACGCCGCCGGCCGCTCGACGTTTACCGCCACGCAGGTCACGACCGCCATGGCCGTCAACACCGAACGCCCGCCGCGGTCAGCCGGCGGGGCGGGCGGCGTGGCCATGACGCCGAGCAGCTCGAGCAAAGGACGCAGCACGGGCGCTGCTGCTGCGACGAGCAGCGGCACCACATCTGCTGGCGCCGCTACTGCCGCCGCCGCCGCCGACGCCGTCCCCCGGCTGTCGCGCGCGTCCGTCATTGCCGCGCAGCAACAGCAGCTGCTGCGCAGCCACCTGGACGCCATCACGGACGTGGCGCTGCTGGAGAGTCCGTACATGGCGACGGTGTCGGTGGACCGCATGGGCGTGATTTTTGATTGTCATGAGGGCTGTGGTGTGTGGATGGTGTGTTGTCGTGGCGTGTTGTCGTGGCGTGAATCGTCTGTCCGGCGTCGACGGTCACCGTGAAGAATTGTGCTGTTGAGAAGAAGGAGAAGGAAGAGACGGAAAAAAAGAGAAAAAAAAAAAAAAAAACACAACGAAATATCATGAGAAAAGACAAATCAGAATAAATGACCTTTGCTGTCTGCTATCTTTTCAGCATCTGCGCTCGATGACTGCGATAGACAATGTCTGCTTTGCGATATGTAGTTGCTTCAATTCACTCTGTAAGACTGAAAGAAAACGACCATTATATTGATATTGACTCGCGAGTCTGGGTTACGGGCTGTTGTCCATTGTCCCTTATGTTATGATGCCATGTTTCGTCCCAGGAAACCAACGACAGCTCCAACTAGAATAACGGGACAGATCAGACAGAGTCCACACGTCCTCCGCTCGTCGCTTGTCCAGTCACATCGCCACTTTGCTCGCTTTGTCCCGCTCTTTAAGCTCTGCGAGATGCTTCTTTCTTTTTTTTTTCTTTTTCTTTTTTCTTTTTTTTTTTTTAACCCCAATCCGTGTTTGCTGGTCGCCTTCTTTTTCCATTTCCACCATCCGTCTTTGCTGGGTTTCTGGTTTCTCGGTCGTCTTTACGTTTGCCAAGTCCAGGCCTCGGCAGACTTTCCCCTTACTCCTGTCATTATTTACCTATTTATGCTACACCACAGACGACTCCAGATAAAACCGTAGCACCAACCCACCAACCCACCAACTCACCAACTCACCAAGGCACCGTGCAGTCTCTCCACATACCGGTCCACCTACTTGACCCGCCGTCCTGGACCGCCCGCAGCAGAGCCCTGAGCATGAGCACCCAACACAACTGCCGTCGACATGGCCGCGATCACGTAGCATTTCCACCACGTAGCCATTCGCACGGAATGCTCCGAGCCGGGTTGTGTGCCTGGACGGAGTGCCCTTGTAGTATTCCGTACTCGATCGCCACAGGTCTCCTGGTGAGGCCTATATTCCTATATTCATCGCTAGTATTGCTTTCGTTTCGTTGTCTTTTTTCCATCTGCGTGCGTCTTCCAGCAGCCAGATCTCCAAACATCCTCGGCGTCAACAATCTGTGTCTCTGTGTCGGCTGGTCATCGTATATTGTATGCATCTTTGTCCCCTCTCTGTCCGCTGCGGTCCGCTTCCGTCTAGTCGACGGCCCATCTAGTCCTAGTTCTAGTTCGCTTTGGCTTAGTTATGCATCGCCAAACATCTCCTTCGTCCCGTTGGCTGTCCGAAGAAGCGATGTGCATCTCTTCCCCTCCTTTGCATTTCTTTCGCCTGTCGTTTCGTCCCCCCTCCCTGCATCCCCTCTCTGTGTTATCCACTCTGTCGGGACGGCTACACCGGAAAGGTCCATGTGGTCCTGCGTCGGGCCTTTCACGATTCCTTTCATTTTTGTTTCCTTTTTGTTTTGTTTCTTTTCTTTTCGCGTTCTTTTCTTTTTCTCGTACATTTCACTCTCTTGTCTCAATCCCCTCCCTTTTATCCCCTTATTCTTTCTTCCCCCCCCATCCCCCCCCCCAATTCCCATCCAATCGTCTCCACTCCTCATGGACGGCATCGATGACTTGGACGATACGGCCGACGCCGCCAGCTTTATCGAGCCGGCCTCGGCCTCCGCGTCGGCCTCCGACGACAACGCCTCCATCGGTACCACCGACCACCTCGCCATCACCTCCGACTACGATCCCACTCTCCACCACCGCCGCACCGCCACCAGCACCACCGCCGGCGCCTCGCTCGTCGGCTCCCTCACCGACAGCGTCACCGAACACGTCTTTGAAAACGGCCGCCGCTACCACCGCTACAAGTCCGGCCGCTACCCCATCCCCAACGACGACATGGAGGCCAGCCGCGAAAACGTGCGCAATGCCTTGTTTTCGGAACTGCTCGGCGGCCAGCTGCACCTGGCGCCCCTCGCGCGGCCGCAGCACATCATGGACGTCGGCACCGGGTTCGGCGACTGGGCCGTCGAGGCCGGCGACCGCTACCCGTCGGCCCGCGTCGTCGGGCTGGACCTGTCGCCCATCCAGCCGGTCTGGATCCCGCCCAACGTCGAGTTTGTCGTCGACGACGTCGAGGACAATGCCTGGATCCACGGCAGCGACGTGGACTTTTTCCATTTCCGCATGGTGGCCGTCGTCCTCAAAGACCCGGCCGCCGTGGCCCGCACCGCCTTTGCCAGCCTCCGCCCGGGCGGCTGGATCGAGTTTCAGGAAGTGTACCCGCGCATCGCCTGCCAGGACGGCGACGTTGACGACGACGACGACAACAACATCATCAACAACAACAACAACAACAGCACTCGCCATCCCGGCGCGGGTGGCGACTACGTCGTCGCCCGCTTCTACCGCCTGGCCGCCCGCGTGCTGCGCCGCCGCTACGGCTGGGACCTGTTTGCCGCCGGCCACCTGCCGCGCCAGCTGCAGGACATTGGCTTTGTCCGCGTCCAGCGCCGCGTCTGCCACGTCCCCATCGGCTACTGGCCCAAGGACCCGCGGCGCATGCAGCAGGCGTTTCTGCTCGAGGAGACGCTGACCGAGTTCATGGCGGCCATGCAGGCGAAGCCCTTCAGCGGCGGCATCGATCTGGCGGCCGACGAGGGCGAGGACGGCGGCGCGCGTGTCGTCATGTCCGCCGACGAGGTCGACGCGCTGTGCCACGAGGTCCGCGCCGCCCTGCGCGCCAAGCACGTCCATGCCTACATTCCCTTTCACTTCATCTGGGCCCAGAAGCCGGAGCAGCCGCCCAGTGGCTGAGCGGAGGGAAGACAGGGGACAAAGGACACGAACAAAAACAACGTTGAACTGCACACCTCATAAGCCTGCGACGAGACATTAAACAGACACCAAGTCTGGACCCACCACAGGGTCTGTCATGTCTCACAGACGAAAAATGCCAGAGCCAAAAGGCCAACGCATGGGCTTGGACCACACCAGAATACCCAAATCGCCAGGTATCCGACACCCATCCTGCCGCTCACCCCGCAGAGTCAAGGAGGGTTGCAGCCAGATCAAATATTGCACATAGCTCCTTTTGGGCGGCACGGAAAGAGAGTCTGCTGGTGGGCAGGCAACCCCAAGGCCAAGGAGGGGGGCAGTGGAACAAGTCGAAAGAGCCAGCGGCCGTTACACAGCAGGAAGCCAATGTGGCTACTGCTGATACTGTTGCCGGTACTGCATCGTGATGGGGTGCTTGCGTCAACCGCCGCGGGGAAGTGTGGTTCACGAGGTAGCAGGGCAGTTGAAATGCCCAGTAAGCCAAGTCGTATCTCGATGCCTCGATCGCGCTCGGAAGGGTGTGCCGACGCCAGGCACGGAAGCTCGTCGTTTGCTTGCACTTCTCGCAAGAGCACGAAACAGAAAATTTTAAAGTATATTTCATGCCATAAATAGCCCAGAATACCAAAATCCAAAAACTATAACCAAGAGTGTCCAAATATGGCTGGGCGTTAGCATCCATGGCAGACGACGGCGCCGCCCGGACCCGGCCAACCCCTAAGGCTTCCGCCCGTAGGTCACGTACAGGTCAAAGTACGTGTGGTAGCTCGAGTTGCTCATGTCGTGCCGCACCTCCGCCGCAAACGTCTTGACGTCGTCCAGGCTCCAGCCCAGGAACCGCGTGCACAGCGCCAGGCTCATCGACTCGACGCCGCCGACAAAGTTCTCGCGCACGAGCCCGCCGAGCTCCTTCATGCGCTCGTTCTTGGGCCACCGCCCAATCGGCCACTTGTACGGCACGCGCACAATGTCCACGAACCCGGCCTCGCGCATAAAGTCGGCCGCCTTGCCGCACGTGTTGAGCAAGAACCCGGCCTTCCCGCTGGCCTCCATCATGACGTCCGTCCACTTTTGCAGGGCGCTGCCGGGCGGCAGCGATCCGTCGGCGCAGCGAAGGGGGAAGTCAATGTCCTGGATTTCGAGCCAGCCACCCGTGTTGAGGAATCTACCCATGTGAGAAATGATGACATTCACCAATTGTTAAGCTAATTTGGGGCGAGGGCAACATACTCAAATGCCTGCCTGTAGAAGCCTGGCCAGTCACGAAAGGCGCCGGTCATCATCAAGGAGTGGATGTAGTCAAACTTGTACGAAAACGTCCACTGCTCCTCCAAGTCGTCGATTTCAAACGACGCATTGGACGGGGTGCTGTGCCGTGTCAGCTGTTTCTCCAGCACTACTGGTAGTGGGCAGGGCATAGCGCATTACTTACTATCGCTGGACAGGGGACAAGTCGACTCCGATGACATGCGCTTCAGGGTGGCAGTCGGCTTGGTTAAAATGTTAGCAACGCACTTGCACTCACCTACTCGTACACACTACGTCATAAAACGTCTGCTTACCAAAATCAATGACCCAGTGGCCAGGCCCGCAGCCGGCATCGAGGACTCTGTTGACCTTGGTGAGGGGGGCAAAGGACAGCGCTCCAAACGTGTAGAGGCACAGGGCGTACTGATACTCTGCAAAGGTGTTAGACGAATGAGACAAGAAATTTGTGTGGCTTGCGTGCCATGGCTACAAGTACGAACCCTGGCGTTCCAGCTCCTCCTGCAAACAAGCTGTATTAGTTGCGCAGTAGTTACAAGGAATGATTGTGCGCTGACCCAGCTTACATCGTCAGTGGGCAAAAGGTATTTGCCGTCCTTGAAGGCATGGTACTTGCGACCATTTTCATCGCGGTGGTTGATGAGACTTGACCGAAGAGACGCCGTAGACGAGAAAACCGACATGCCCTATGACGTGCACACAATTCATTAGCAGCGACAATCAAGGTGACCTTTCAGTCAGTCCGTACTAAATTAACATTAAAAATAATAACATAAAATAAATGCATTTCAAACCTCTTTCTCTCTTTCTCCAGTTCATCGGACACTGCGCCACGACGAGAAGGGGCATGCGTTGGGGCGATTCTCAAGTCTACTTACATCGCCCAAAGCGGAGTCCGTGTCGACGTTGTCAGCCGACAACTACGGCCGAGTTAGCTACTGGACCGGCCAACACAAATCAAAATGTATGTTTTTTGGTCTTACTCACATCACTGTCAGGCTCCAAGAGGAAAGCCTCATCGTCATCGTAGTTGTGCTCAGACATGGTTGCTGCTTGTTTCTGAATGAGCAGTCACAGCTGCGAGTATGTAGAAATTGTAAAATAAAATAAAAGTGGTGGCTATCAGAAAGGCTCCAAAGAAGGTGACCAACGGTGAAGGGGATAGATCGTCGTGGTGTCGGAATGAGTGAAGCAGCAGCGGCTGCTATGCCTTGGATGGACGCTTCCAAACAAGGTCGGTAACCGTGGTGTCGTTAGATGGAGACGGTGGGTAAGAGAGCTTAGCCACTCAAAAAGCAAAATATGTGATGACTCGGCTGTGATGAGATTGAAAGAAAACAGAAAGAAGCAAGAGAATCCCGTGTTGCGTCTGTCCTGAGAGCGGATGTCGATGTTCTTATGTACTCCTTTGTCCACCCTGTTACTATCACTCTTGCTCTCTCGCCTGGTCGACAAACGAGAACATATGTTGCCGGCAAGACGAGATGAGAAGGTTTGGGCAAGAGAGGTGGAGGGGCCGCCCGTTACCGTGGTGCCCAGGACAACATTGGCTGTAGAAGAAACAGATAACGAGATGCCCGAAGGCTGCTGTTGTGAAGAGAAGCGAGAGACGGTGGTTGGCTCGGTTCGGGTGAAACCATGGTCGCCGGGGTGTAGCAGCGGCGACGACGGACAGCAGCAGACGTAGTGGAAGAAGCAACACGAAATAGAGAAAGTATAGACGGACACGAGATGCCGCATATGAAGCAAATGCAGCAACAGTAGGACAAGATTCGAGCGGGTTTCGGTGGGCAGCCTAGACAGGATTACAAAAGAAGAGGAAATGAGGAGACAAGGAAGCAAAGCCGACGGCGACAAAGAGCATGACAGGAGGACACGGAACGAACGAAGCGCAACAAGAAAGGAAGCGAAACAAAATAGGAAAATTAGACGAAACAAACAGCAACAAACAGCAACAAAAAACAGTCACAAAAAGTCGAGAGCTCAGATTTCTTCAACAGCAGCAGCACCACCATTGGTGGGGTTGCATATAAGCGATAGGCGGACATACGGTCAACAGCGAATCGAGTAGCACAGACACCTAGGCCTAACTGTTCTGATAGCAGTCCTACTCCTCTGTTTCCTTGAGGTATGCCTGCCGTCTGTGCTGTCTGTGCTGCGTTCATTACCGAAGCATCGTCGTGCTCCGTTTGTTGTCGTTGGTGTTCCGCGATGCTTATTTTGCCGGGTACAGTGTGTAGCGAGTACGAGCGCGAAGGTTCGATCCAGTATATGGAGGCTATGGAGGCAGCTGTGTTACGTTGGTTGAGACTTGAGAAAGCAAGATGACAGTCCGCACGTCCACGCGTCCACACGTGGAAAAGAAAATAAAGGGGGAGAGACGAGAATCAAAGAGATTAGGATGGATATCGTGGAGCATGGCTGACGTGGTTGGAATTGTAAGAATTTCAAGTATGTCAACGTGATGATGAGAATATCACAAACACTGTAAAACTGTTGGGCAAAAGAAGAACATGACGATAGAAATGATATATGACTCGTCAGAGACTGAAGGGTACGCAGCAACCATATAGACGAGCGCAATAGTCGCCGCATTATGCAGCCTCTGGCCGCAGATGCGCACCTGACCAGTTATTTTCTTTGTCGTGACGCCGTTGGTGACGAAGAGAGTTTGAATTGCAAGATGTCTGGCAGGCGAGGGCGGGCGAAAGTGCTGGCGAGAAACGGGAGACAGACTGGCGCAAAAGCACGGAGCACGGAACGAGAGTGAAAAGAAGGGAGGCGACAAAATGCACAGGATTAAGCGAGAAAACCCGACTGAAGCGAGCACGAGCCAGACGAGGAGTTGTCAACGCCCGAATGTGATCTATCGCGAACGGTGGACAAGACTGAACCGCCGCGAATTGTCGTGACGCGGTTGTGGGCAGCCAGCACACAGTCGACTGTGGTTACGAAAAAGAGAGGAGAAAGAAAGATAGAACGATGGCGATCATGGGCAATTGGAAGATGGAGAGGAGAAGATCAAACGGCCAGGAAAGAAGACACTCAAGGGGTCAACATAGCAAAGACTCAAAACACAGAAGGCACGTTGGCTCGTTGGGTTGCACTTTCCGGTCGATGCCATACCAGCTTCTTTCTGGTCAGGAAGGAACTACCTTGCAGCTGCATTCTTAGCGTGCTATGCCCAAAAACGCACCGCACAACCACAAGAAACCACACAACGCAGCTGTTGGCGACTTCCGCGTGTACGAGCATGCAAACCCCTGCACAGGGTGCAGCGCGACCGGTGCCATTCGCAGTTGCCCAGTCCGTTCTTGCTGCACGAGATCCTGTGCCCGTCCAGGAAGGAGCGGGATGATGATTGTGGCCGGCAGCTGCGAACTGGAAGAGGGGGACGGGAATGGGACAAAAAGAGAACAAGAGCATGACAAGACAACGCAGGGACGGGAAGCAAAATCTGAACAGTGAGAGAAACGAGACGAAAAACATACAGGCCAAAGATATCACAGGCCCGGCCAGACCACCAGAAAAAGCAACAAGGCCGGCTGAGAACGATGTCTTGAAGGCAGGCATAATGCAAGGCAGGCACGGGGCTGCACGCTTAAGGGCTCTTTCCAAATGTGTCGAACCTCCCGTGCGGTAAGAGATATTATGGGAGGGCAAGAGCCATGGACGAGAGCAGAGGCAAGAACGACCATGTTGCAAGCTATACGATCCCCTTTAAGAAGGAGCACGCATCCCAACAGATGCCGTTTCTGTCGGGTCAAGAGAACTCCTCTTTGCCCTCCTTTATCTGTTTGTCATTATTGTCAAAGAACCAAAAACACCAGAACGCCACGCCATGAGGACAACTTCCATCACGGCGTACAGAACGTGGCAGGCCTGTCTTTTATGACACCCCAAGCTCGCCCCTTGAGACTGTTGGACAACAAGTCACCGTCTATGAGCACCTTGACAGGACATGGTAAGTGTATGTTTTGTGTAAGGAACACGCTTCTAGAAACACCTCGAGAGACGCTGAACACGGTTTTGTGAATCCATGGCTGCGGCGTTAATTTCCCCTCGTCTCCGATCCGCTGTGATGTCTCCGGCCAGGTCCTAGACAGTCTCAAAGAGAACTTTGCATTTCCTAGGGTCAACAATAAGCTAACAACTGGCGGAGAGCGAGAGCATTGTGCTCATTCACGCGACCCGACTTGTGATCAGAAGACAGCTCCCAAGTTGACGACATGATGTGTCCTCCGTCTTCCAGGCGCCGTCTTTCCGACAACCATCGATCTTTACTGGACACCAGAACTCACGTCAGGACCGCTGGTGCAGCCAATATATGCAGCAATATAAGCGGCAATATATGCAGCAAAAAGCTTGGCAACTAACTGGACGCCACAGCGAGCCATGAACAGAAAGAAGAGGGGACATCTCGAAAGCGAAAGGAGCAAAGGCCCATCTACGACGAAGGCGAGTCTGGTGGGGGGCAGAAATAATATGTCTCGTTGAACAAAAGTCGCTCTGGGTTGTTGCGGACTCAAAGAGAATTTCGTGGCTGGCAACGTTGAGGGGAGGTTGCGTTCTCAAGGTTCGTCCTTTCTGCATGGAGTAATGCTCCTTGTCAAGCCACGCTCTGGAAAAGGCATGCAATGCAGCTCTAGCTCTGCCACTAATGTTCGTGCCCGCCCTGCCAGCAGAGGCACAGAGGGCGGAACAGGACCCTATTGGGTCTCTCGCGAGTGCGGTTCACGTTTTGCTAACCTTTGCAGGGTGCTCATGGCAGCCTCGACTGCATGTCATTGGGAGACAGCGGCAACAAGTGAACTAAGGTATTGTTCATGCGAGCACAGAGGCTGCGTCCCGACGAGTTTTGCGACAAATTGCTGCAGAACACGACGTACGACGACCTGAAGAGGGTGTGGAGATGATCTTGTCCTGAGGGCCACGTTGTCAAATGGGCAAGAAGTTACCCAAATGGAGCAAGCGACGCAAGGTGGTGGGCTTTCCACCTCCCCCAGCGTTACTTCTGCAGTCCGAAAGGTGCCATGCCCACTCGAGACTCGTGATCATACAGTCCTCTAGAATGTCGCCCTGAGAGGAGAGAGTTTCACGCACGGTGCGTCACATTGTCCATTGCACTGCAACTGTGTGTGCGGAGAACGGGAAAAAGCAGTCGGCAAATGGTGGCCTCTCTTTTGTCCATCTTCCGGTTTTCTCATTTGCCATTTGGGCATCGACAATTGTGCAATCTTTGCTCTATGTTGCCTCGGGCAGTCAGTCCCCTCCCATTCGAGTGCACTGATGGCCTTGTAGGCAACAGACAGTGTCACCCTTCAAAGCTATCCCGCGGTGGCCCGCTGTCCTCCCGCCTGGTACGCAACAGTGTCCCAATGACCAAAGCATCGGAACCGGGACTGGCATAACTGAGGCGGGATGGTAAGACGGCTGTGGTTGGCAGCAATGCAAGAGAGGACTGCCAGACAAAACAGACAGACGTTTGACAGGAGTCCGCCACAACTGCAGAATCGACAAACGCGCCCCAACACAGGCGTCTCGTTCCCGGTTTTCGCAACACAAATGGCAACCCTCAAATTGCACAAAAAGGGTGGATGCAGCCCTAAGTCACTGATGTTTTGTGTTTATCACAAGCTGCACGGACACACACAAGACGAAACGCTAAGCACCTTTGGGCTCTTCGGCTGCAGCATTGCGGGACGGGAGCGGGGGCTATCTATTATTGTCTTATTCTGTCCTCCCTGTCTTTTCTTTTGCCTCTTCTGCCCACCGCTTGTTGATCGACACCAAGGGCTGTTTACTTATTTACCTCAGGCCAGCCCTGTCATATTTGGGAGGGTGATACCTCGGGACGGACTTGGTACACTGAAGGATACAAAATGAGACAAAGATGGACTGATGAGCCAGCTCCACAGAGGACATGCACAGAGGGTGACAGATGCCAAGGGAGGATGGAAGATGGAGGATGGAGGATGGAGGATGGAGGATGGAGTGACAACACTGGTCGTCGAGAAGCTGGAGGTGTCGACCGACACTCTTCGACGGGGACCAAGGATCGACGGCGGGTGACGTGCTGCAAAGAGATGCGAAGGAGCCCCGTTCGGATAATGTGCAATGCGGAAGTGACGAAAAGGAGATGAGGAAGCGTGGCAACACCATGGTTTTATTTGTCTGGCATTCACTTCTGTGAGAGGAACAGCGTCGTTTGACTCACATGAGTCGACCCTGTCTTCTAGTCGACATGCAGTCTGTCGTCTGCAGTCTGCCGTCTTCACTCCTCTTGCAACGATGCCACCGGCCCGCCTGCCTTTTGCAGCTTTCCGATGCACCGTCAAACCATCTAGGCTGCATCTAGACGACAGCCAAAGCCAAAACGGCGCAGATTGTCGCGGACGCAAAAGCAAGAACGCGCACGAACACGCTGAGAGGAAATACACACAATTGGTCGGCCGCCGTGTGTGGCCAGCTCATGCTCCTCGAAAGTCACTTCCTCATCCGATCACTCTTCCCCCTCCCCTCGGTGCACTCACTCTGCACTCCGTCACCTTCCAGCCACTCCGCTCACCCTGCACTCACTCAAGACTCTGCCGCTTCTCATCACTCTAATCACCCTGCGTTATCAGTGTTCCAGTGGTCTGGTTCCCAGTGGTCTGGTTCACTTCGTCGTGTTCACGCACGGGTCAGCTCGCGGGGCAAGAAATCAAGGTATTAAGGTCGCGTATTCTCCTCCTTCATCAACACCCCTCCTTCTCGTCGAAGGTAGCTGTCCAACGCCGGCTTTTGCTTGAGTTTGTACTTTCTTGTTTGTCTTATTTTCTTTTTCGCACCTTTGTGTTGCGTTGGTATTCCTTTTTCTTTTGCTTATTGATTGCTCCTTTCTTCGTACGACAACCACCGCTGCGCAGACTCGCACACACGAACACGGACTTGCACACCACGTATACCTCCGTACAGCCCTCTGTACCTTTCAGCTTCCACAGCATTTCCACAACGCCTCGTCGCTCACCTCTTGCTGCTTCAGCTTTCGACTCGCTCTGTGCTCTTCAGCTTTCCGCTTGCGGCTCGCCGTTTGATTTACTGGTCCATTTCATCGACAGAAAGGCAGACAACACCAGCCACCATGATCCTGGAACACCTTTTGTGGACAGGCGCCACTTGGACCTCGGTCGGTCTGGTCCTGGCCCTCTCCCTCCTCGCCTATTTCGCCGCAGCGACCGTCAAAACGTGGCATCGTTTGAGACACATCCCCGGTCCACGAGGTGCTGGGTTCAGCAAGTGGTGGTTGCTGCGTAACACGTTGGGTGGGAACTTGCATCTGGCAACCAAGGCGGCATGCCGGCAGTACGGTAAGGCTTCCACAGTGAACTACAACGACACAGAGGAAGAGACGGCCATGCAATCAACAAGAAAAATTGGACGAATTTCAAAGCCGCTCCATTTTAAGAGGTGCCAGGGGCCGGGCCAAAATCTGACGACCGACGTTGTGCGACGTTGCAGACGGTTCTCGTTGGCTCCCGCTTGCTTTGTTCTGGCCACCAGTCTCGTTTGCAATCCTGTGCGCACTAGCAACTGACACTTGTGTTCTTCGACAGGCCCCCTTGTCCGCGTTGGGCCCAACCAGCTGGTCACCAATGACCCGGAGGTGCTCCGGCGGATGTGGAGCGTCCGCTCGCCCTACAAAAGGGGCCCCTTTTACGAGGCGGTCCGCTTCAACCCGGCGCGCGACAACTTGGTTTCGATGCGCGACGATGCCTTGCACGCCGAGCTGCGGGCCAAGATGGCGAACGGGTACGGCGGCAAGGACAACGACAGCATCGAGGCCGCCATGGACAAGGAGATCCTCGCGTTTGTCGACCTCCTCGAGCGCAAGTACATCTCGACCGACACCGACTACCGCCCCGTCGACCTGGCGCGCAAGGTGCAGTACCTCACGCTCGACGTGATCACAGCGCTGGCGTTCAGCAAGCGGTTTGGCTACACGGAGCAGGACGCCGACGTGTACTCGTACATCAAGATCACCGAGGACAGCATGCCCGTCATGATGTTCTTGTCCATTTTCCCCGGGCTCGCCAAAGTGCTGCAGTCGCCGCTGTTTCGGCGCCTGATGCCGTCGGAACACGACCGGGTCGGGTTCGGCCGGTTCATTGCGGTGGCCAAGCAGATTGTCGGCGAGCGGCTCGCGTCGGACCAGCCGAAGCGCCGCGACATGCTGGGCTCGTTTCTGGCGCACGGCCTGACGCGCGAAGAGGCCGAGGGCGAAACGCTGCTGCAGATCATTGCCGGGTCCGACACGACGGCCACGGCCCTGCGCACCACCCTGCTGTACCTCATGTCGTCGCCGCACTCGTACCGCCGCCTCACCGACGAGGTGCGCGCCGCGGCGGCCGCGGGCCTCATCTCGTCGCCCGTCGTGACGGACGCCGAGGCCCGCCGGCTGCCCTACCTGCAGGCCGTCATCAAGGAGGGGATGCGCATCAACCCGCCCGTGGCCGGCACCATGGACGTCGTGGTGCCCGAGGGCGGCGACGTGCTCTGCGGGTTCACGGTGCCGGCGGGCACGGAGGTGGGCTGCTCCGAGTTTGGCGTGCAGAGCCTGTCGTCGGTGTTTGGGCCGGATGCGGACGTGTTCCGACCGGAGCGGTGGCTGGAAGCGGAGGCCGAGGCGGCGGCGGCGGCCGACAAGGAGGGAGAAGACCGCCTTAAGCAAATGAACAACACGTGGGGCCTCATCTTCAAGGCGGGCAAGTGGCAGTGCCTGGGCAAAGAGGTGGCGCTGGTCGAGCTCAACAAGGTGTTTGTCGAGCTGCTGCAGCGGTACGACTTTACGCTGGTGAACGCGTCCAAGCCGTGGCACTCGATCAACGCGGGCATCTTCATCCAGTCGGGTCTGACGACCAAGATCACTCGGGCCGGCCCGGTCGCGGCGTAGGCTTGGGAGTCGGTGGGGGAGGGAAGTCAGGGGTTGTTGTTGTATGCTTGTTCTATTTTGTCCTACGCTTTTCGTTCTTGATGCTCTTTGACTCTCTTGGTTCTCTTGATTCCCTGGTTTGTTGCTTCTGGCTGCATACGATTGACTGCCGTCGCTTTCTATCTGCGTTGGCTGTGTTGGGGTGTCTCTCTCCTCTCTGCTCTGCTATTGTCAGTTCATATCTAATGATTGTACAAGCTTTTGTTTTGATTTGTTTCGTTATTCGTCCTCAAGCCCCCAACTTCTGGTGCTGCGAGAGCAATTTCGACTGCATGCGGCGTGTGGAGGAATTACGGTTTGTTACGATGTGGTTAGTCCGCACGTTGCATGTCGTACTATGTACGAATGTCGTTACATGCGGGACGATTTACAGAATTAGCGCTCCTCCACTAAGACGTGCCACCGCACCCCGCGTTAACCATGTTGGGCCCTAGTCCAACAGCTCTTCTTCCTCACGGACATCGTCCCACCGGGAACGCAAGCAAGACGGCTCGAGAGGCATCGCAAATAGCCACGACGGCGATGGCCACACTGCATGCAGCACTGTGGGCACACTGTCTAACGGCGGCACGCCAAATGACAGAGGATGGCAGTGATGACGCAAATACTCTGTCCGGCCTCGAAGGCTGCGGCGCGCCGCTCGTCGACCTCCTCCGGCGGCAGGCCACCCGGATTGTGCATCTGGACGACGACGACGCGAGCCACGTGCGGGTGAACACCGCCCTCGTCGCCCGCCGCCTCGATGACCTCATTGACATCGCCCATGCCCGCTTCTACGCCTATGCGCCCTCCGATGTGCCTGCCTGCTGGCGGCACCTCTACACCGACGCAAGCATCCTGCTGTTTGCATTGCGGTGGGCCGCGTTTTGGAACAACATAGCACGGCTCTCCGACGACGACCTTGACAATCTGGTCCGGCCGCTCGACTTGGCGCTAATCCTGGCCGGCGGGGCCGGTCCGCCGTCGCGCGGGCACACCTGGATACATGCGTCGCTGGATTTGTTGCACTCCATTCTAGAGGAGGAAGACAGCGGTGGAGACGGCGACGAGGATGTGCGTGAGGAAGGCCCGCATCCGCAGAAACGAAGACGGCTCGGCGGCGATGGACCCAAGCACCCCCGTGCTATGCCCGATTTTTCCGCTGGGCCTATGTTCAACGAGGGTGATACAAACAGCGCAGAGACCAGAGAGAACACAGAAAACACAGAAAACACAGAAAACAGCACCTTCATTCCCCCCGTCCGCCATCCCGTCCCGTGCCACGGTCCGCTTGGTCTCGAAGAGTTTCAGGAGTACCTAGACCGCGACCGTGGCCGCTCAAGGCAGCCCCTTGTATTGACGGACATGCAGGACGACTGGCCTGCGCAGCAGCCCAGCGGCCGGCCCTGGTCGTCGCCCGCGTACCTGCGGTGGCGCACGCTCCGAGGCCGGCGGCTGGTTCCGGTCGAGGTCGGGCGGAGCTACGTGGATGCGGGGTGGACGCAGACGATCGTGCCGATGGGAGACGTGCTCGACCACCTGACGGGGCGGCGGCAGCGGCGCTCCGAACTGCCCACAGCCGCGGGAACCGGCCCCATGTACCTCGCGCAGCACACGCTTTTTACCCAAATCCCACAGCTCCGACACGACATTGCCATCCCCGACGCCTGCTACACCACGACCCGAACCTGGGTCGACGACAGCGACGACGACGACGACGACGACGACAGACACAGCGGCAGCGATGCCGAGACCGGGGCGGACGTCCTCCTCCATGCCTGGCTCGGCCCCGCCGGCACCATTACCCCCTTGCACACCGACCCGCACCACAACCTGCTGGCCCAGGTCGTCGGCCGCAAGTATGTGCGGCTGTATGCGCCGGCGAACACGCCGGCACTGCGGCCGCGGGGCTGCGAAGCGGGCGGCGTCGACATGGGCAACACGAGCCAGGTGGACGTGGGCGTCATGGAAGGGTGGGATGCCGATGCGGGCGGACACGACGCCGACGGCGAGGTCACGGACGACGACAAGGCGTCCTTCCAGTGCGTGCCTTACATGGACTGCATCCTCGAGCCCGGGGACACGCTGTACATCCCCCAAGGCTGGTGGCACTATGTGCGCAGCCTGAGTGTGAGCTTCAGTGTGAGCTTCTGGTGGAATTAAGTGGGCAGGCATGGGGCGGTGGTGGTACGTACATACGTCTATGTGTATTTTGGTCATCTTGTATTTGGTTCTGGAGATGATACCCAACTTGATTATTGTGGTTTTTTTAGCAATTTTAATTTTCCTTTTAGTAAAACATAAACATATAAATAAAATGGTTATACATCACGAAAAAGGGCGGAGGGCAGAATGTGAGTAGCACAACACTGGCTGTTTTTTCGTTCTTATATTGTTGTTATGCATCAACGTAAAACTTGGTCTCAAGCGCATGAAATATGCTCGGACGAGAAAAACGACGAAAGTACATGTTGATCGTGAACATAATAAAAAAGACGCAAGATCTGTCACTCCTATTTTAAAGAAAACCTCATGGGACGACGGCCACTCCTATAAACGACAGGGACAGGAAAAAAAACACTTTCTATATCCTCCCCCCAGCTCGCCTACTCTCTGTGTCACGACGTCCTTGTTCATCATAAAACACCTTGGCCAAACTTTGGTTGTCCCAAAGTGACGCGCACAAACACTGGAAACATGCTGACGAAATTCAGCGTACACTGCAAGGCGAATGCCAATGCGAAGAGAACGACCATTTCGAATTTTGCTTGGATTTTATCTTTCACCCCCCAGGCGAGCGCTCTCTCTTACCACTCCAGAGGCTCCTTCAGCTCCTCGCCGCGGTTCGTTTTTGGCACCGGCGCCGCCTTGGCCAGCAGCTGGCCGTTGCGACCGCGCTTCAGGTACGCCTTGCCGTCGAGCCAGGGCGTGTTGCGCGTCATCTTCTTCTCAAAGGCGGCAATCTTGTCGTCCAGCTGCATCGTCAGGCCAATGTCGTCGAGGCCGTTGACCAGGCAGTGCTTGCGGAACTCCTCGACGTCAAAGCCGCAAATCGTCGTGCCGTCGGCCGTCTTGATGAGCTGGTTGGGCAGGTCGATCTCGACCTCGCGGCCCGCGCGGCCCTCGACGGCAATGGCCTCGAGGTCGGCCGGGTTCTGGATGGGAATCATGAGCATGCCGTTCTTGAACGAGTTGTTGAAGAAGATGTCGGCAAACGAGGGCGCGATGACGCTGCGGATGCCGAAATCGTTGAGCGCCCAGGGCGCGTGCTCGCGCGAGCTGCCGCAGCCAAAGTTGGCGCCGGTGACGACCAGGATCTTGGCGTTGCGGTACGGCTCCTTGTTGAGCTCAAAGTCGGGGTTCTCGGAGCCGTCCGGCAGGTAGCGCCAGTCGTTGAAGAGCGCCTTGCCCAGCCCGGTGCGCTTGATCGTCTTGAGGAACTGCTTGGGGATAATCGCGTCCGTGTCGACGTTGGTGCGTTCCATGACGGCTGTGATACCGCGGTGCACCGTGAACGTCGGCAGGCCCGCCGAGCTGCCGTGGCCGGCGACCGACGTGTTGGTGTGGGGCGCGTTGTCTTCGGGCTGATCGCCAATCTGCTCCTTCTCGGCGTCGTCCTCGTCGACGCGCTCGTCGACGTGGGGCTTGCCCGTCGAGGACCCGGTCGACAGGGTGTTGGCGCGGAACGCGTCAATGTGCGGGCTGGCCGTGTACTGCGTCAGTTTCCGGACATCGGCCAGCTTGCCGACAATGGCGGCGGCAGCAGCCATAACGGGGCTCATTAGGTGGGTGCGGCCACCGGAGCCCTGGCGGCCCTCAAAGTTGCGGTTGCTCGTGCTGGCGCAGCGCTCCTTGGGCGACAGGATGTCCGGGTTCATGCCCAGGCACATGCTGCAGCCGGCCTCGCGCCACTCGAAGCCGGCGTCGAGGAAGATCTTGTTCAGGCCCTCCTCCTCGGCCTGGGTCTTGACGAGGCCGGAGCCGGGCACCACCATGGCGCGCTTGACGTTGGGGGCAATCTTGCGGCCCTTGACGACATTGGCGGCGGCGCGCAGATCCTCAATGCGCGAGTTGGTGCACGAGCCAATAAACACCTTGTCAATGGCAATGTCCTCCATGCGGGTGCCGGCGGTCAGGCCCATGTACTCGAGCATGCGCCGGCCGGAGGCCTTCTTGGACTCGCTGGCAAACGTCTCCGGGTCGGGAACGACGCCGTTGATGGGGACGACGTCCTCGGGGCTGGTGCCCCAGGTGACGGTGGGGATGATGTCCTTGCCGTCGATAAAGACGTCAATGTCGTACTTGGCGCCCGGGTCGGACTGCAGGCTCTTCCAGTACGCGGTGGCGCGGTTCCACTCGTCCGACCCAAACAGGGGCGCCAGAGGGCGGCCCTTGAGGTACTCGAACGTGATCTCGTCCGGCGCGACCATGCCGGCGCGGGCGCCGCCCTCAATGGACATGTTGCAGATGGACATGCGGGCCTCCATGGACAGACCGCGGATCACAGATCCGGCGAATTCGATGACGGCGCCTGTGCCGCCAGCCGTGCCGATCTTGCCAATGACGTGCAGGACAATGTCCTTGGAGCTGACGCCGGGGGCCAGCTCGCCGTCGACCTGGACACGCATGTTCTTGCTGCGCTTGGTGATCAGGCACTGGGTGGCGAGCACGTGTTCGACCTCGCTGGTGCCGATGCCGAAAGCCAGGGCGCCAAAGGCACCGTGGGTGGAGGTGTGGCTGTCGCCGCAGACGACGGTGGTGCCGGGCAGGGTGAAGCCCTGCTCGGGGCCGATGACGTGGACGATGCCCTGGCGCTTGTCGCCGAGGCCAAAGTATGTGATGCCAAAGTCCTTGACATTTTCCTCGAGGGTGACGCACTGGGTGCGCGAGTCGTCCTCCTGGATGAAGCTGGCGATGTCTTTCAAGGTTTTCCGCGACGAGGTAGGGATGTTCTGGCGGTTGGTTAGAGGAGTGGACAATACACCAAAAAGGGACATGGTTTGTGACTTACGTGGTCGGTGGTGGCGAGGGTGCAATCGGGTCTCCGGACCTTGCGGCCAGCATTCTTCAGGCCCTCAAAGGCTTGCTGCAGAGGAGAGATTGTTAGTGGCTGAGATGCAGTGGGCATGGCGCAGCTGCTGCGCTGCAGTCTGTAAGGTATTGAGCTATATGCTCGCTGGCAACCCACGATCGACGCGATGCCGGCGTCGGCGTTTGCGCGTCGTTCACCCCTTTTTGCTTTTTGCCTTTTTTTTTCTCGACTTGAAAACTTACCGGCGAGGTGACTTCGTGGACGAGATGCCGGTCTGTTGAAGAAAACAAAAAAAACAGAGTTAGTCGGGGTTCTTGTCAATATCTTGCTTTTTCTTTCTGCACACGTCTCGGCCGCGACCGGACAACTTACCAATGTACAGCAGCAGGGTGCCGTCCAGCTTCTCGTCGACAATGTGGTCGCCCAGGACCTTGTCGTAGAGGGTTCGTGGTGCGCTCTCAACTCCAGGCATTGTGACTGTGTGATGATGAGGTACAAAGGGAAGAGGAGAAAAGAGAACGAAGATCTCCAAGAAGAGTAAAATGGGAGATGGAATAGGATGCGAAGGACGGGAACAAGGCCTTGGCAAAGGAAAAGGGCCAGGCAGTAGGCTTAATATGGTGTTAGACGGAGTCTCGGGGGTTGCACGAAGGAATCCGTCGTCAGAATGAATGACGGAGAAACGAGCAGAAAAAAGCCGAGAATGTGAATGGAAGAAAAAAGGGAAGCCGGACTTTGGGGACAGGAAAAAGGGGAAGCTAAAATAGCAAAGGTAGAGGGCAGGTGGGTGGGCGGCGACCGCAAGCTGATATCAAGTTCCGGGCAAGGAAGGTGAGATGATGCACCCGTCGCAAGTTCCGGGTTGTTCTTTCCCACAGTTGCAAATCTTGAGAGTGCCTCAGATAAAATCTGGCTCCTTCAAAATACAAAAGACGACGTGGAAGGAACGATCTACTATTTAACATGTCTACAGAGGAAAGAGCGAGGCCGACACAAAGCTCCATGTGTCAGGAGCAACCGGAGGAGGGCAGGCGCGAACGACACAATTCGCCTCCCGGAGGCGCTGGTGCGGCGCGCCTGCCCCCAAACTCCCAATGACCAGTCCAAGCACATCCAGCCCAAATTCACAAAGAAATCAGACAAACAAGCCCCCGTAGGTCTTTGAGTCGACACTAAATTCGACTGTTCACTATTTTTCATCGCACCAGAGAGCTTGACGCCGATGATCGGAGGGCCCTCATTGCTGGTCCGGAAGACGGACGATGTGGGTTTTAGCTCCTCGTCACCAATTTTTGCTGCTGAAAGAAGGAGCGCCTCACACAACAAAATAGCTAAAAAACGCGGGGTTGCTTGATTGAGAATCGGTCCACGCAGATTGGTTGAATCGCCCTGTGGTTTACTGGGTCCTTCTGGGAGACGTTCTGTGCTGGTTCTGTGCTCGTTTTGCACTTGCATACATGATACGAGCTCATATCTCACAGCACACACCATACTGGCCTTTCAAGGCAGAGAGGGCAAAGCAGGTTGGCGGTGGGGCCCGGCATGCGGCACTTGCAGTAGCCAGATGCGCCTTCCGTTTTCTTTACGTCGCTCGGTCTCTCTGGACTGTGAGTGGCAGGTGGTCTTGTTGGGAACACCTTTTGGACCACTCGTTCCTTCCGTATCCGTGCTTGCATGTCGCGCCATAGGACGAGTACAAGGAAGCGGTAGGAGGACCTCGACAGAAAGGAGGAGAAATAAAAGGAAAATGAAGAGGTCATCAGAATTTACAAGTTTGGAGGGAGAGCATCGTGGACGCGGGTTGTGGCAGTGTGCGTTCACCGGCGCGGCCTCGAGTGACGTAATTTTTGGGTTGCCGAGGGCGCAAAGAAAAATGTGCAAAACGCACGTGACTCTCTCCAAACGCACACCGACGGGCATTCCAAGCATGGTCCCAAGATACGGACGGTAGCCAAAGTAAAAATAACACGGCCGACGATAATAGAAGAAAAGAGGCTTAGAAAGCGGAGACATCCCCACGACACAATGTCCTGTCTTGGATGTTGGCATCCCGTGGTTCTGACTGTATGATTCAGGGCCCGCTAAGGCACCGCCTGGTAGCGTGTAACGGCGCCGAGTCGCTCCTGCCGTCAGACGACGTACATCAAGCAACGTACAGCGTACCTGTTGCCTACTCCCGGATTTCCGTCCGCTTGCCGAAACTTGGCGATCGCAGGGTACAGTCCATCACCGCCTTTTGCTGTCCAGTGCACTCTTGACATATGTCCTTCAGCCTGTTGAACATTCGGCGATTGTCTGCCCTCCATGGTGATCCCAGCACTGCAGATCGATCCTACTCGTCGAATACGCCCTATTCTGTGTCACTCGCATCCCCCCAACCCTTGCTGATTTCTCTCTCTGGCAATTCCATCCTTTGTCTTCGTCTACTTCGTGTTCGTTCATCTTACCCCCAACTTCATTGTCTCAGCCTCTTGTGGGCGGTATCGGCCTTGATGTTGCCCCATAGCCTCCACCTCCAAAACCCCACTCTGGGTCTGGCCTTTTGTGCGCATCTCTTTCGTCCCCCGCCCTTTCGGACCGCCGGTAGCTACGACCAACGGACTGTTATCTTACGACATATAGACATGGTGCTGGAAATCCCCCATGTCTACAGCACTGCTCCTGCGTCCCGTCTCTTCGTACGTCCCGTATGATAAACCGCGAATGTGTCATTGGTTGCGACACAGGGCCGTGATGGGCGATCGTCCCATTGGGGGAGGAGGGCTGGAGGGCCCACAGGCCAGCAAATGGGCGACGAAGCTGTTTCGACCCCAACGAGCCCATGCCACCCTTTCCAGCTGCGATCTCGGAGCAAGCTGCATGGCAGTGATGCTTTGCAGCGGACATGGTTTGGAGCACGCCCCGGAGTACACGGAGCCTGTCCTTTGCAACCACGGTACTACGACGATTTGCGCAGATCGACAACATGGAGATGGGAGACGAACCCGACAGGGAAACGTAAATATGGGCAAACAGGAAGGTCAATGCTCTTTTGCTTTGCAATGTGGAATCCAATCGTTGGCTGAAATGCCAAATGCACAGTCTGATCCAGTCACTTGGCGATTTGAAATGGGCCACTAGGTTTTCTTTCAAGGCTACGTTGTCCCAAAGGAAGGTACTGCGCAACGGCTCGTATTCTCGTGCGCTACGTTTTGTTTTCATTGTGATTGACAGCGTCACACTTGGGTGGCAGCTCCGCTCCGGTCTACGGAGGCCCGGATTCAGAAGCTTGTCCCTGGGTCGGTGCCGAGGAGCGATGACGACAGAGAGCTTTGCACTGGATCCGGTTGGTGACAGCCTTGCGATGCTGTTCAGATATTGCACGTCCAAGCCGGGAATTTAATTTTGTGCTCTTCTTCCTGTAGTGATGCTCCTGTAAAATTACTCTGTCTAGAATCCCACGTGCTTGCTCATCCCCTTTGTTACATGCCCAACAAAAAACTCATCATGCCCGATGTATAATGACAGCAAATGCCCACGACCACAAGCACGCGGAACACGACGACACTGACCATCACCAGCGTCAGCACAAACCCAGCAGCCTGGACGCAAAGAAACGCATCAGTGAACGTCAAACAGCCCCTCCGAAGCCGCCCGCGCAGGGCTGACCGGCGATGGAAGACGGGGCGGACATGTGTCCAGTACTGCAGCAACAACCGAAACATCATCACCCCTGCCTTCTGGATGAGCTCCAGAGGCACGTTGGCGTCATCACGCTGATGATTGTTCGTCTGCTGCCTCCTCTTTCTGGTCGTCATTGGGACAGGAGGACCTCCGGTACCGGCGGATCTTTTGTTTTGTTTGGGCTGCTTGCCAACTCCATTCTGTTCCTGTTTTTGCTTCCCATTTCGCGCCTGAGGTCGTTGAAGCTGCGCTGGACACTGGATATCCATACCTGCTACTCTGTTTTGCTGTATCCTGTTCCGTGGAAGCCGGCCAGTCCGCGCCACCGCCATGTATGCAGCACCCTGTGCCATCTCCTGCGTGGGCAGCGCAATAGGCATCGCCAGCTTCTGATGCTGCATCTTTGCAACCAAAGGCGGCCGTGGACTGGAAGGAGGTGGCATAATCTTCCGCAGAAAGCTAAAGGTCTCTGGTAAGTGTTCCTTGTTGATGCCGTTCGAATGGCGCGGCATGCAATTCACATTTGCCACAGACGTACATGGTGCGTCTCGCTTGTGTTGAGTGGACGGCGACAGCTTCTCAACGCGCATTTTCATCGACGCCGCCAGGCGCCGGGACGACGTAGTAACGTTCATGGCTGTTTCGAGAGGGAGGTCGCTTGCGCTCGACGAGCTGCTCGGTTCTACATTCTGGTGGGAAGACGCTGAAGAGGGTCTCATGCTGCGGTTCTGCAGCCTGAATTCCGTACGTGGTGCCGTGGACACCGTTGGTGTTGAGCGTTCCGCCGCTCTCGTGGGACGACAATGTGACTCTGCGATGGCTCCGTCTAAGCCCCGATCCTTGCTCAGATCCTTGCTCAGATCCTTGCTCAGATTCCTGCCCGTGTCCACGCCGGCGCCGGCTGGGGGCAGACTCGTAACGGATCCAGTAATGATGATGGTGGGTATGGAGACAGATTCTGGTTTGCTGACCTTGCCCGGGATTGCCGCTGGGGCCGACTCCGACTCCGCCCACATCTGCGTTGGGGGTCCTGGCGTGCTCTGAGACTCTGTCACCGTTGTGGCATTGGCCAGTGGTGTTGCTATTGTCTCCGGTGTCGGTGTTCTCTCGACGACTGAGCTCGTTGCCTTGCGCGTGCTGGACGTGGTCACGAACGCCCGTCTCGTCGGTCGCCTGGTTGGGTAGCCGTCCATGCTGAGATGAGCCAACCGATTGGACCCTCGACGGCCGATAGTCGGCATGGTCCTTCGTAGTCGCCGCTGACGGTAGCACCGCCGCTGCATGTCCTTGACGTGATGATGAGGCTGTAAATCGCCAGAAGTCAACATCGGGTTGGCACCACGTACGCGTAGAGGTGTAGTTGGGCATGGAGCAAGATTCAACGTTCCATTGGCCGTTCCAGGATAGACCGCCATACCTTGCAAACTATCGCCACTCTCACTCTCCTGTTCATCGACGAGCCGTGTACCTGCAAGGCCCCAGTCCATGTCGCCGCGAGGATCTGGCTGGTTGAGGCTTGGAAGAGGCAAAAATGGTTCTGGCATTGGCATGGGCATTGGCTCTGGTTCAGGACCTGGTTCGCAGGGGCCGCCTCGGTCAATGCCTGGTGCGGAAACTGGAATCCGCTTCAGCGGCGCAGGAGGAGGTACGTCGGTGGTTGCTGAAGAGGATGCTGTTTCCCATCCAGGGCTGGAAAGTCGCACGGCACTCCAATGAGCTGTCGATGGATGGATGGCTACGTCTTTGGTGTCTTTGGATTGGGCTGTGTAAAAGCACCAACTATTAGAAAAGCCTCATCTCCATCCTAGGGCACCATAAACCTACATGGCGTCGAGCTTCTCGATTGGGCAATGGGGCTCAGCGTCGGCTCCGCAACCGACGACCACTGCCCTGTATCCTTGCGCCACCGGACAAGGCTCTGCTGCCGCCGGAGCTCGTCCTTTTCCTTCTCGTACTTTTCAATGCTCGATTGGGCCACGCTCGCCGGCACACCGGACGCACCGCTGGAGATTGTGCTTTTCGAGCCGGTGGTCGGCGTCAAGACATCGAGCTGGCCTGTCTCGGGGTTGATGCCTTGGACGCCGAGAAAGTCGCCGCTGGCTTTGAGGTCCTTGCGCCGGCGATGGACCTCTCTCTTCTGCCGCAAGGGCTTGTCGTCTTCGGGGGAGAGGTGTTGGTCCCAGCGGTCGCCACGACAAGTATCACGGGACACAAAAGGTGCAATCGTGGACTGTGACTCGGTCGTGCTCGGCCACGCACCGGGTGCTTTGGAAGGAAGAGGCAGAGGCGGGGGCGACTTGTAGTGCGGTATGCCGCCGGACGGAGAGATGACTGACGGTTGGCCGATCGATTTCAGGTACGGATCTGTCAAAGAGTCTTGTCGCCGGAGCCGGCCGCCAGAAAGTTTTGGGCCAGTCCGGCTAGAAACGTTGCTCGAAACGTCCCATGGGTCACGCGAATATGGACCCAACCCCCGTTCGCTGTACCTGAGCGTGGCAGCAGGAACACCCGCGTCCAGCTCGTCCTAGACGCCGTGTGTACGGAGTGTGCCACCGCGTTCTGGGCGGCTGCTTGGGAACAGCTTGGTAATGAAGTCGGGTAGGACGGATTTTTCCGGAGAGACGATCGAGTAGTCGCTTTGTGATCGGTGGCGAGCTCTGGATCGACTATACACGTTTGCATTCTGGTAACGCGCGGCAGATGCGCTGAATGTCCGTGTTGCGTCTCTCTTCTGTCTGGCCAGACCATCTGTTGACATGGCGATAAAGGGGCGACTGGCTGTGGCTATCGAGACGATAATAGACGCGATACAGTCTTAGCAATCTAAACAGCATACTGGTATATGATATGACATGAAAGTGGTAATGATAAAATGGCGACGAGATGTCACAAAGGAATTGATGTGGGAATCGAGATGACTGTCAGAATATCTTGTGCCCAAAAAGGTGTGGGGACTTGGCACCTCATGACATCTCAAGCAAGAATGTCGATCGCTCCTTCTTATATTTCTCTGAGAAGGAGGTTGAAAAGCCAAATTAAAAGGATCAAAAGAAGCAGGAACAAATGTGCATTATTATAAATGGGAGGAAGGCACGACGAAGCATCACTCAAAAAGGGGCAGGATCTAAACAAGACAAACAAAGTGGAAACAAGAAACGAGTGTACCTTCCCCAAACGCCCGCCATGCAATGCAGCGACTGTTCAGCCAACCAGTCGTAGATGTATTAAAAAAATATGTAAGATATCGGACGAAACAAAAGGACGATGACGACCCCGTATATCGTCTACCACCGAGACGGAAACCGTTCATTCTTGGCGAACTGACTGCTGGGCCGTGTCTTGGCAAAGGGGTTGAAAGGCACCGGTGGCGACGATAGCTCCTGCGGCTGGAACGACAGCCGCGACTCGGTCTGTGGCTGGGGCGGCTGGAAGTTTTCTTTTCTGGGCGACTTGGTGGGACTGCGCATGCGCTGCATCCGCTCGGCGGCGTCACGCTGCTCGACGGCGGCCAGCTCGCGTGAATTGCGCGGCGACTGGAACCCGCCAGCGGCACTGCTGCTGCCAATGTCGTTCATACTGATGGCCTTTTTCAGCGGCGAGTTGACGTGGCTGTACACGCCCATGCTGCCGCCAAAGTTGGTGGTGGCGCTCGCGGGGAGACCGGCGGGGCGGCGGACGCTGCTGGCCGGTGCAAAGGGCGAGTTGGCCACATAGGCGGTCCCCGTTCTGGATCGTGTGCCCTCGCCAATGACGCCACTGGCTGCGTCGGCACCCGCGTGGATCGAACTGGTGCTCGAACCCTCGCCTGTCGACGCATAGCTGGGCGTCGCGGTTACCGGCATGCTCTGGCGCGACTTGGCTGCGACGCTCGTGCTGCCGCCCGGCGTGAACGAGTCCGAGTACCTAGCCGGTCTCTGCTGTGCGGGCGTGAGGTGGCGCGGCGTGGCGGCGATGGGACCAGAATGGCGGCCGGTCGAAGATGCATCCCGGCGGCCAAAGTCGGGGTCAATGTGCTTGATGTAGTTGGCGTTGGGGTGCGTCTGGAAACCGCGGTGGATCACAGTCGTCGGTGTGCCACACTCGACCGCCTCGCTGACCGTGCCGTCGGCCGACGAACCATGCGCTGCCACGCCGGTCGTATCCATGGCCACCTGCGTGCCCATGTCGCGCACGATGGGGTGCAGGCGCGGCTGCACAAACTTGGTGTTGTACTCGTTGAGCACTTCCTTCTGGATAATGGCGTTGTCGCGCTGGCGCTGGTCATTTCGGGCCTGCAGCAGGCGCATAGCCGCCGAGAGGCCGACCTGGAGCACAATGCACTTGAGGACGGCGACGCTCGGCCGGGGTTCGAGGGGGTCGAGCGGGAGCTCAAACAGGTAGATGAGGACGTGGAGGGGGCTGAAGAACGACAACAGAGCGAGGGAGGCCGGGCGGGGGTCCCACACCGCCAGCTCCCAAACATCGCGGGTACTGTCCGGATGGGCGCGCGACTCGGCGCTTTCGCTGTGGACGAGGTCGCCGAGGACACGCAGGGGCGAGTTGGTGGCAGGGGACGACTGGACGCGGACGCGGCTGGCCGAGGGGGTGCCCGGACGGCGGTCGATGTTGGCCTCAAACAGGCGGTAGTGGCGCTTGCGCGTGTAGACAAACACGGCGTTGGCGACGGACAGGGAGAAGCCGGCCCAGACGAGGAGTTGGATCTGAGAGAAGAGGGTGTTAGTTCTGTGTCTTGAATCTGAGCAAACGTGGTGATCCCAACCTACCAGATACGAGAGCCAGCTGCGGCCCGAACCGTCGCCAAACACATCGTCGTCGGCGCTGTTGGACGATCCCAGGTTGGCGCGGGCGAGAAGGAAGAGGAAGTTGGCGACGACGCCGACCTGGCTGCCGACGACGACGGCGTCGAGCTCGCGTGTCTCAATTTCCTCGGACAGCCAGAGCAAGAAGTCCCAGGGGTTCATAGCTGCCGTGATGCGCTGTGACAGCGTCTGCCGCCGCACGAGGCGCGGCATCGTGTATGCGATTGGGAAGAGAGAGCGGGAACGGGGGAAATACGTTGTGAGAGTGCCGTGAAGATGGATGTCGTCGATTTTGCGGTCGTCGCGCCAGGGATGCAGTTGGGAAGCTCAAAACATGGCCGCAAGGTCAGAAAGCGTTCGTTTTCGAGTTGGAGTCGACTGACCTCGGGCACCGCGAGCCGTGTATATGCGGAATGCCGTTCTGATTGTTGAAGTTCTCGATGGACAGCAGTAAGAACACGAGCAGCTCGTAAAATCGTTGCTTTGGTGGATCGTGTCTCGGTTGCTATTTGTTTACAAGCCGTTTTGGGGGTAATTACAAGGCGCTAGTAAAAGTTACCTAATCATTTCGACTGGCTGCGGGGCTTCGACGTGCTACAGCGCCCTGTCGTCAGGAGCTAGGCAGCGCTATTAGCAGCTGGAGAAAGGACAATCATGGGCATCTTTATCGCTGCCAGCAAAAAGTGAGCAATTAATCCACAGTTGGCTCCAACAATCAACCCATTGCCGACACTCCCTACGATCCCAACCACGCAGCAACTTGGGCGACCAGTGCCTCCTTGGATTCACAACACCAACGCATTTCCCCCTCTATCCCGGCCGACGTCTACCAAGATAGATCGCGACGAGGGGCCGATCGGACGCCCATCTCACAGCCACGATGACGACGGCGGCGGACTTCAAGGACCGGCAGTTCCTTGCTGTGATTGGAGACGAGGTGCGGCTGACTGACAAGAAGCGGGAGAAGGGACTGTATGGGACCATGGACCATGGGAGACGAGGCTGACTGGTGATCTATACAGGACTCTGTGACTGGCCTGCTGCTGGCTGGCATTGGCGTAAGTTGCCTTCCCATTCAGCCACTCTTCTCGGCACCACTGACAAGACGTCTGCAGCATGTGACTCCGGGCCCCGATGCACAAAAGAACTTCCTCGTCGTCGACAGCAAGACGGACAATACGGCCATTGAGGCGGCGTTTGACCGGTTCACCACCGACCGCAAGGACATTGGCATTGTCCTCATCAACCAGCACGTACGTCAAGGATACAAGGAGGGTGGAGGACGAGCTGGCAGCCTGAAGGAGACCATTTGGCAGGACCTTGCTGACCATACAAGATTGCCGACCGGATACGGTACCGTGTCGACACATACACGGCGGCCTTCCCGACCGTGCTCGAGATTCCGAGCAAAGACCATCCGTACGACCCGGAGAAGGACAGTGTTCTGCGGCGTGTGAGACGGCTGTTTGGCGAGTAGATGACGAAACCGAAGGAGATGGCATGGGGACGACGGAGACAGAAGGAGCAGCGACGGCTCAGACAAGGACTTGGATACTACGATGCAGTATGTTGTCCTTGAGATGGAGACGCCTATTGTGCCTCAGGCCATACGGGATTCTGGTTTTGAGGTTGCGGCATGGCATGATAGAAGACTGGCGTTTCATCATCATACATTACACTTGTCACTTGCAGTCACCCAAAGAGAAAGGACGTTTGAAATGGTATAATACAATCTGTACAGCAGACAGAAGGGTGTATTTCATTAAGAAGTAGACTGCGGGCGAGACGATCTATTGACGGAAGCATGGCCCATGTTTGGTTGCTGAGAAAATATGCATGGCGACAGTGTGTGTCGCCACGAAGATGCAATCGAAAAGTAAGAATATAAACAACACAAGCGCAGCAATGCACGCATTTGGAAAAGAGAACGACAACAGTCCAACGGACAAGAGACAGCTAAAAAAGTAGACAAGTAGAAAGCAGAGAACGGATGGTGGAACACAAGTAGCCGCGTGTTGGATGCCAGAGAGCCATGGCGTGGCTAGAACAACAACGAAAGAACAAGGGGCCAAAGACTAGCGACGAGCACAGACTCCATGAGGAGTTGCGGGATCGAGACGTCGTTGTGGCGAGCAATCAAAGACTTGATCCACAGAAACTGGCAAATATTCAAGGCCGAGAAGATCGGCAGCAACGACAACGCGGAGAAGCGCGCAAAAAAGCCTTCCGGATATAGAAACCGGGCTAGCATCGCTATGTGAGGTTGTTCGAGCAGGCCGGTCAGTCTTTCGTGCGCTGCGGCATTTCTTAGGAGGGCGTCAATCATCTTGTCTGCCTCCTCTCGCCAGAGGCAACGCTCCTTGGTGACGAGAGCGCGGTGGCCGTCCTACAGCTCCACACTCACGGAGCCGTCGCGGGCAAACGTGACCGTGGCCGTCAGGCACGTGATGGGCTCGTCGTCGACGGTGTAGGCATCGGCCAGCACGGTGTACTTGCCGGGCGGGATCTCGCGCGGCAGGTCCACGGACTTGGTGATGGAAATCAGGCCCTTCTGGATGGGGCACTCGAGGTCGACGTTCTCAATCTGCTCACACAGGTCGGCCGTGGTGTTGATGAGACGGATCAGGCCGTACTTGACCTGGAGGTTGACGTAGGCGCCCTTGGTGATGGTCTGGGACACAGCCGCCACGGCGGTGATGACGAGCTCGACGCCGCTGGTCGGTCAGTGCATGCACGGATGAGAAGAGAAGAAATTAAGAAGACAACAAAAAGAAACAACAAAAAGAAACAACAAAACAGAAACAGTACAGGACAGGGCAGAAACTCACGCCTGAGGAGGGTTGGGGGAGAGATCGACGCTCTTGATGGTCAAGATGTCGTTGGAGTGGTCGGACGGGCAGAACTCGAGCGGCGACTTGCCGGGAACCTCGAGGTCCTCACGAGGCGTGACGTCGCCGCCAAAGAAGTTGAGGCTGGCGGCCGAAGCCGTCGACAGCAGAGCCAGGAGAACGGTGCCGGCCCGCATGGTTGTGAAATGTCGTTTGTTTTGGTGAGGAAGAATGGAAAGACGACAGAGAGCACGGCGGGTGGTCGGTCGAACGAGCGAGCGGCACTGACAATACAATCAGCAATCGTTACTGCTTCGAAAATGAAACAGTGGCCAACTTGTCAAGAGGACAGGGGAAGGGCGGAGAAAGGAGAACAGCTGTTTTGTTGGTTGTCTTCTCTTTTCTTCTGTCGTATAGTGGTAGAGGGAAGAGTGACGAAGTTGAGTCGAAGGCGAATTTGTTGAGGAGGTGTGAATGGCGAGAACCGGCAGGAGCCAAACCCACTCCCTCACTGTAAACGATTGCGAAGGAGGGGGCCGTTAAAAAGGAAGGCGCAAGGCAGAGGAAACGGGCGAGGTTGGCGTCATGGGAGAGGGCAGGGCGGCCTGTGATTGGTGGCACGTCACAGCGGGCCAACCAGCGGTCGCCTAGGACCGATAAAAGCGGGTCATATACGAATCAAAGACCGCTCGCAGGATATGGGGAGAATGCGCGCCAGAGATATTGGGGTGTTTTGTCACAGATACGGGTCTGCTGACAGGTAAGAAGTCCCAGGGTCGCAGATTTCAGGCGTCGGGCTGGCCACAGACAAGCGAACAGTATGACGGCATTGCATCGTGCAGACAGAAGCATCGCATGGCATCTGTGGCTTCTTGCGGACGACGAACGTCGCACGTTACGGACTCTACGACTAGATGCTGTATTACGGGGCCGTTGGCGGTGAACCTGGAGCCGAAGTGGAGGCGTGCGCGGGCGTCGTTTCTCAGAGTGGGCTCCTTATCTCGAGCATCACATGGCCACCGCCCCATCCTTCGAGATCAAAGGATAGATGCCCTGCGTTCGTTGTTGATACCTGTCAAACCCTTCAGCGCGAGAAGCGCACTTCGTTTCACTCGCATTGGGGGATATCGGTAGGCAAAGAAAAGCCAAGCGGCGTCAAGCCACTTCTGTTTCAGCCCTGCTTTCAGGAGCTCGCCGACGGCAGGGAGCACGCGGCAAAAAGGAGACATCAGTGACTGGAAGGAAGAGGGACGATGGCAGAGTGCCGGGCGGTGAAAGCTAAAGATTATCTGTTGTAAGATTATGGGCGAGACAAAAATGGCTAGGAAGGGCTGCAGGTTTTGATTCCGAGCCTCGGGAGATTTCATCGTCAAGGTGCATTCTGGGGCTCTGTGCTGTTGGCCACACGTGGCGTTCGCAGCCTCCGCCACTGCCATTTGCCTGCTAAAGTTTGCCTTCAATGGAAGTTGCTGTTTGCCACACAAAAAGCCCCGGTGCATGACTGCTGTGGAAGGACAGAGCGACCAAACGGCCTTAATAGTTCAATTCGAGCTGAGAAACTGCTCTGGTGATGACGAAGGCAGAGTGTGGAAGTACGTCGTGCTCTGCGGGCGAGCTGGCCGGTTTCGAACGTTCTCTGCTGATCCATACCAGTGCGAGCCAGATTTGGTGTCTCTGTGACTGCAAACAGCACGAAGCGATGACTGTGAACACTCTCGCATGATGAGCGCAGCAGCAAGCTAGCGGCCATTTAGTGGAGGACAGGTTCCGATAGTGGACGTCAGCGTCTTCTGGAGCCGAATACAGTGGCTGGCCCTCGAAATGCAGCTGAAAAGCGACAATGCTCCTCGTTTGCCCCTTCACCGCCCAACATCAGTCGCCGTCAGAGCTCCCTCTCGGCGCAGACGCGACATTCACCGTCTTCACCTTGCAGAAGCCTCGAGAATTGACTGCCCTCAGTATTGACCGCCCTCCGTCGCATCCTCGTCCGTCGTACTCTGTCTGCCCCCCCAAGAGACGGCTGGTAATCAAACTCGATTGGGCGGTGGGCGCAGCAAACAAGCTCTGTGGTTGGGCGACGCGGTATCTCGATATTGGTCCGGCAGGAACGCTAAATAGGGACGAATTCGCGACAAAGGACGTCCTCGAGCCTGCACGCGGGCGGAGTACCGATACATTGCTCGTCCACTTTGGGGGTGCGGTGGTGGTGAAAAGGGACCCACTGCTGCCTTGGTGCCTTTGCCTGAGTTGCGCCCAGTTCCAGTTCCAGCTTTTGGTTTCGCCTGGTCGCTGTCGGGGCTGTACGTCTCCTCTTTTTATGCAAAATGCACTCACACAACTGCGTATGACACAGAGCACTGCGGTCACTGTAGCCTGCTTTCTCTCCAGATTCTTCCTGCCTTGTCCTGTATTCAGGCAGCGGCACTCTGACTACCGGAATTGCTTCCAGTTTCCCTCAAAGAGCGTCATTATTCTTCCGGCGCCCATGACCCTTTTCTGCCTCTATACACCGTGCCTCCGGCTCTATTCTCTTTCTCTTCTAATTTTTCCATCCTCAAGGACTCGAGTCTCCTTCACTGGACATACCAATCCAAGCATCGAACGCACCCTTTTTGCCTGTCAACAAAAGATCTGCTTCATCACCATTTCCCATCAGCAGAGCGATTGTCTGTCCTCTTCGAGATGGCAGCCGTTTTACGAGAACAGGAACCGCACAGGTTGCTGCTTCCAAATATCTGATGCTGTCAGGTTGCTGTGGTAAGGCAACGCAATATCATTTTGACTGGCCGTCAAAAGTTTGGCACCGAGGCTTGCAGCCTCTCATTTTCAGTCCCTTTTTTCACACACTTCCACTTATTTTACGACCCTGACTTTGTTCAAGTGAGTGACTCGGGCTGCTTACGCATACGCACGCACGCACGCACGCATAACCGTTTCTTGGCCTAGGTCTCGGCCACCAAAAACGAAACCTAACCCCCGAGAGCGGCGTTTCATGCCTCAGGCATCAGTAGCCACTTGCTACCATTGCTGCCTTGTACTGGTACAAGCTATCGTCTGTCGTCCCCCTCTCCCTCTCTCCTTCCCTGTCCGCCCACCTTCCTCGTGTCCTCGACTCCCAGTGAGAACTGCGCTGTGGTTTCTGCACTAAGACGCTACGAACGAGACCAGGGTGAAGGAGCACCGCGCCAGAGCCACGCTAGTCGGGGGAATTTTGCTCTTGCACGGTTTCGTCCTTTTTCCTGCCATTTTCCCTCCTTCCCTCTTTCGCTCTTTCCCTCTTTTCCCTGGCTCTTGCCTTTTTTTGCCTTTTTTTCTTGAAGGCGCCTTGCCGACCGCCCATTGGCTAGCGACCCTTTGTCTTCTGCACTCTCCTCGTCCTTCTCCTCTCCCGATTCAGCGTGTGTCCCCTGCGCTTGCCGTCTGTTCGTTCTGCTGGGCGCCGCTCTTTCCTCTCTTTTTCGCTTTCCTTCCCCGTTCTTCTTGTTTTGGCCCCCCTCTCATTCTTTCCTCTCCTACCATCCCAACTCGCAGATTCGCACTTTTCTCCCTCTCTCTTCCCTCCGACAATCTGCTTCCTTTCTCCTCCACCATCGTCTGCAATCAGTCTCCCCTCTGTCCCTTTCTTCTCTTGTCAATACGGCCGCCGTTTCGACCCTCCAAGGCGTTCTCGAACCGCGAAGCCTTCTCGTCCTCGACTTTCTCAACCCAGATTCACTTGCGCGATCCAAGGAAAAGACGCTCTGAACACACAAAGTCGCCTCCTTTCTCGTCATCTCTGTCCTCGACTTCCTCTCCACGACACAGAGCCTCGATTCCTGCCCCGGCGCCCTTCCTGCATCTGCAGCATTTCCTCTTCCCCCCTGGCGCGCCGCTGCTGTTTCTTTCGAGTCGAGTCGGCACTTCACGACTACTTTCGTCCCCCTTTTGACACCGTCGTCTCTGTCGCTAAACAGTCGCTCTCAGTCGTACTGCGTCTTCCTGTGAACTCCTCGATACAGTCACTTCTGCCTTGCCATCTGTCCCACATCACAAAGGACGAACGCTCGCGAAAGCCTGCTTCCTAAGACGGCCCGTCGCTTCGCTCCCCTACCGCGTGGTTTTTTGGACTGGTCGCCTCTGTGAAACCATTGATTCAAACGACCACTTGTTCCTCTTGGTTTCTTTTGGTTTCGCGACGCTGTCGTTTATTTGGACCCCTTTCATCGACCGCGCCAGCATTTCCGACCCTCGTCACAGGCGACACGACACGGCCGAGTTTTTGCCCTGCCCTCGTCTTCGCGACACGTACTACCGCGCTTGACCCAGTCATGTTATCACAACTAAAGACATAACTTTTTCAATCCCCTTTGCAACCCTCCTTTACGGCAACCCTCCCCTTCAGCGAGGTCTCTCCTGGATTATGACAGAAAAGCACCCACCGCCGTCCACACAGACCGCGCTCTCAACCCCGAGCCTTCCTCCTCTCAACCCCCTCTCGCCTACGCCTCTCCCGAAAGAATACGCTCCTCTTCCGACATTTCCCTCTGCAGCTGCCTCTTCACACCCCAAAACTCCTGTGGCTGCCAACGCCGTAACATCACCGACACACAATGCTGCGCCTGTCACCAAGGCGGAGTCGGCTGCAGAGGAGGAGCCCTACACAATAAAGTGCATTTGTGGCTTCACAGGCGACGACGGAAACACAATCTACTGCGAGATTTGCGACTCGTGGCAACACATTGAGTGTTTCTACCCAAACAACAGCGAAGAAGCGACGCGTGAAGAGTTTGCGCACGCGTGCCATGAGTGCAAACCGCGGCAATTGAATGTCGCGCACGCCATCGAATACCAAAAACAGCGGCTACAGGCGGCCAACGCCGGGGCCGGGGCGGGGGCCGGGGCCCATCAAAAATCAAAACGCCCACCATCCAAAGGCCACAGCCACAGCCACAAAAAGAAGGCGAAACCAGGCGATCTCCAAATCAACGGCCATACGACGTCCGCCAGCGACGTCGCCAGGCATCCTGGTTCTGACGGCACGGGCCAACACGCAAACCAATCGTCCAAGAAGAAGAGCTCCCACAAGTCGAGCCAGTCCGTGGGCGGATCCCATTCTAAGAGAAGTCCGTCCTACTCGGCTGCGAGGGCATCATTACAGGCTAGTCATCCGTTGAGTCCGGCCACAACACCACCCGATCTTCCCGACGGCACCGAATTCTACGGCTACTCCAGCGACCTGCACAACCTGTGCAATGACCAGGATTCCGCCCAGACTGTCCAGACCAACTCATTCGCCAGTCTTGCCGTGTCAAACGCGACGTCTGTTTGGCTCCGTGAGCCCGAGCGCATGTTGCGAGAGACAGGGCAGAAGTTTGTCGACATTTTCAAACCGCCCCCCTATATCGACGCACTTCGACGGCCCCCCCGCGTTGACGTTAAGAAGCGCGCGCTGGACAAGGACACGATTCTGCACTTGAGGTACTTGGTCACGTCCGTGGCTGTCGATAAGGGCGTCCCTCTCATGGAACTGAATGGCCAAGTCGGTTTCCAAAACGATTACTGTTCCATTCCTTCCAACCGCTACGAGGAGCTGTCGTGCCCGCTTCCTTTTGTCTTTTTCCATCCTTTATTGCCCCTCTACATTGACACGCGGAGAGAAGGGTCTCTCGCCCGCTACGTTCGTCGCAGCTGCCGGCCCAACGCGATCTTGGACACGTTCCTGTCGGGCGGATCTGAATACCATTTCTGGCTCGTCAGCGATCGACCGATTGGCGTGGACGAGCAGATTACGATTCCGTGGGATTTACGGCTGCCACAGGACGTCAAGGGACGCTTGTTCCGCCTTCTTGGTCTCGGCGACGACGACCAAAGCAGCCACGACGACAGTGAGGTGGAGGAAGCCGAGTACAACAATATTGCACGTTGGGTGTATCTGATCCTCTCTCGGTACGGTGGTTGTGCTTGCGAGTTAGGCCCTGAATGTGCATTTGCCCGTTTCCACCGCCTGTACGGCGGCAAAGCGCAACACGCACGGAACAGCCACGGTAAAAAGAAGACGTCGCGGAAGACCAAGTCTCACGCCCTGTCTCCCACAAGCACTGGCCACGCGACAAACAGTCGTGCCGCTAGCGAAGGCCACCCAGAAGATTTCCCCGAAACAGACAAAATGTCAACATCATCGCGCAGCAAGCCGCCCAGCCGCGACATGACCCCCGCCCCGCGACAGGGGTCGTTCGACACTCTGGGCATATTGACTGAGCCCACCGACCGCGACAAGCGAAAAGTCGCCATGGTGGAAGACTCGTTCCGCCGCCTTGAGCAACAGCAGCCCAAGAAAAAGAAGCGCACATCCGACGGCACAGAACGGTCGAGTGTCTCGGCGACTGGCCATTCTGGAAAATCCCGGGCGAAGAGCTCGCCAGCGCAGCCTGGTGATCACCACGAACTTCCCAACGGTACTGCGAATCACCGGTACATCGACGCCGAGACGTCACGCAGCAAGTCGGGATCGCCTGCCAGTGCTACCTCTCCTAACTTGATGAGCGTCAGCAACGGCCTAGGATTTATGTCGCTGTCGGCGGCCGTCGGCGGCTCCACATATAGTGTTTCGCGACACACCTCAACCGGCCCCTCTGCAGGCTACCGTGATGCAGAAACCCAGACAGACCCGACGGAGGGTGAATGGTACAGCGAGAAGCCTCCCACGCCGCGCCCCAAACGCCGTGTGATCTCGCTCTCTCGCCGGTTGCTCAACTACAGAAGCCGTGCACGGTATGACGAACATGCTGTGCCAGCCGTCTCGCCCAAGATGGACGTTGATTCACCAACCGCTCCTGAGGACAAGGTGTCGGTGATGGCACAGGCACTGCCATCAAGCGACGGCAACGGCGACGTCGCGATGCCTGATGCCCCGAGCTCTGTGACTCGGGCCGACGCTTCGACGCATGCTATAGCCGCCAAGATTGAGCCGGTCGACGGTGGTGGCAGTGGCATTGACGTCCCGATTAAGAGATCGCCGGACCTCCGTGTTCAGCTGCCCAAGGTGCCGTCGTTCAGCGATGCCTCTCTGTCACAGATGAACAGCGCGACGACGCCTCTGACGGCGTCATCCATAGTCCAGTCACCGTTTGCTGTGACCAGCGGAAACCCGTTTGGCTCGCCTGTTGTTACGCCGAGTCCCATTAAGAAGAAGATGAGCCTCAGCGACTACACCAAGAGCCGGAAGGCTGCAGGAGCCCGGCCACCGACGACATTGAAACCGTCTCTCTCGAGCCCGGATGAAGTTAAGCCCCCTATTGGCGCAGAAAACGCACCGCCACCGCCAACCGAGACCGAAACGGCAACGAAGACTCCGTCAGCACCTCCGGCTGCATCTTCTTAAGTGCAATGACACGGCAAACGATGTTACGCTGCTGCTACACCAGCAACACGCATCTTCGCCTCAGTTTTTTTCCTACTCTCCTCTTTTCTTTCTTGTTGGACCTCCACTATTGGTGTGGCAGTATTTTTATGTGGCGCTACGGCAACGTATCCTTCAATCCTCGTTTCCCTTTTCTCTTTTCTTTTGTTTTATTGTCTTCTTTATTATTACCTTTTTTTGGGTGGAACGGGGCGTAAGGAGTTTAATTGATATGTGCTCGAACCCCAAAACAATGGCGTTTGTGGTTGATTATGATATCGCTCTCTCGGTTTGGAGAACAAAACAAAACAGCGGGAACGTGGGTTGTTATTATTCGGGTTTTCTTTCCTTTTTGGGGAGGAACAAAAAAGGGAAAACAAAATGGGTTCAGGCACACAATGGGGGATATGCTTTACTTATTTTTCCTATCTTTTTTTCTTTTTCTTTTTCAGTTCCTCCTTTTTCTTCTCAGTTCGTCTTACCTACCTTCCTTGTCAATGTATGTATGTATGTGCACGGGAAATGGAATTAGCCTCCGGTGGAAAAGCCTGTTGCTTTCCCCAGCCTATGTTTGCCACTCTTTTTATCATGATTTAGGTTTGAGTATTCTGGAGATCAGTACTTGTTTTTTGCTCTCCTTCCACACGGCTGTATAGGAGAGGAGGATTTGATCACGCTAGGTCCTTTGGATATACCGATTATATTGTTTTATACTGGGTACAGTTTTCCTCGTTCTCTCACCTTACTAAAGTTGCTCACCTCACGTAAAAAGCAGTAAGGTGTGTATTTACGAAACTCCTTATATCTGAGTTATTGTTGCCACTGTAGATGATTCCCTACTCTGTCTATCGCATGGCCCTGCGTTCGTAGTCGAAAAAAATAAACACGCTGCAAGATAAATCCGTAAACGCCTGTGTCAATCTAGAGATTGACGCCTTTTTAAGGTATGAAAACACGAAACCCCTTTCTACAGCCACATTCGCATTCGCATTCGAAATCGTTCCCTTTGCCACGCTTAATACCGCACAGCACCCAGGTTGTCCTCCTTAAAGATCAACAGGGCCAGCCGGTGGCGCACAAACAGGCCAAACAGGCCGACGCAGGCCTGCATGACCACCACCTCCAGGGCCAGCCGGTCCTCCCGCAGCGGGCCCCGCCACACCAGCCAGAGGTTGAGGAGCGTCATGTTGGACGTCTCCTGGATCACGGCCGGGTCCGCGGGGTCGGCGGTCAGGCGCAGCAGGCGCAGGCGTGCCAGCAGGCGCAGGGCCCAGGCCACGGGGGCGCTGGGCTGGCGGTCGGGGCGCCAGACGGTGACGGAGGGCTCGAGCAGGCCCGTGCGGGCGTGGAAGCGCGGCATGCGGTGGCGGGGGCAGGGGACGAGGCCGAAGATTTGCGGAGCGGAGTAGGCAAAGTTGGCAATCTGGGGCAGCAGGAGGAGCACGAGGGTCTTGGAGAAGTGGCCGAGGATGCTGACGACGACAAAGACCATGCCGGCGAAGTAGCAGTAGGTGTCGCCGACAAAGACGCGGGCGGGGTACCAGTTGTGGGCGAGCAGGGCCAGCGACACGCCCAAGAAGGGCAGCAGAAAGTAGAGGGAGAACAGGTGGCTGTCGGTGGCCGGGTGGGGGTAGGGCCCGGCGAGCAGGTAGAGGGCGTCGTTGAAGACGAGGAGGGCGGCGACGACGACGGACTGGGCGACCTCGATGCCGTTGATGCCGGCGAGGATGTTGATGCTGTTGGGCGAGAAGATGGCGACGGCGGCCATGTAGAGGTAGTAGAGCGGGCCGAGGCGGACGAGCTCGCCGAGGTACGGCTGCAGGGGCGTGGGCACGACGACGGACGTGACGCCAAAGTCGACAAAGTAGACGACGAGCAGCGGGATGGCGGCAAAGCCGGGGATCAAAAACTTGTGGCGCCAGCGGATGTCAAACAGGTCGTCGCCGATGCCGAGCAGCGTGATGGACTGCAGCGAGATGATGGCGGACAGAAACGAGGCCAGCTTGGAGTGCGGGAAGCGGTGCAGCAGGCGGCCCTGCTCGACGTGGGCGGCGGGGACGTCGGGCAGGACGACGTCGCGGTTGCCGCCGCCGCTCGTGGCGGCCACGATGTCCTTGTAGAAGGGCATGGGGATGAAGACGATGATGGCCAGCAGGTACACGACGGCGCACACGGCGCCCATGCACTCGGGCAGCGTGCGGCGGTTCGCCTTGCCGAGGTCGGCGCCCTTGATGCCCGCGCGCACAAACGACGGGCCCAGCCAGCGGATCATGGCGTAGCTCGCGGCAAAGGCGATGCCGCTGAGGGCGAGCGACGCGGTCAAGGGCGCGCCGTCCTCGCGGCGCACGGTGTTTCCGAGGACGGTGGCACAGGCGACGGCCAGGGCGAGCAGGCTGTAGGTCTCGGTCGGGGAGAGGCTGCTGGGGATGCCGGCGGCCAAGGCGGCGTTCTCCTGCTTCAGCGTGGTCGGGGGTGGCGGGGGTGGCGTGTGGGCGTGGCCGTTGGGAGACGCGGCGCGCGTCGACGAGGCCGAGGACGCCATTGCGAGGAGATGGAGGGAGAAAGGGGGGGGAGGGGAGGAGGAGGAGGAGAGCTTCGAGGAGAATGAAGCAAGGTCGAGGTCGAGGACGTGACGCAGGTGGCGCGGTCTTGGCGACGCCCGTGTTCGAGATCTGCTGCCGGCCGCGGCAACGGCCACGAGAAAGAGACGTTCGAGATTCGAGGTGCGAGATGGTCGAGGCCAGGTTGTCGGTGTCGAAAAGAAGACGCCGTTGTCGAGTGATGTCGAATTGAGGCGTTGTGGTTGTTGGAAGCAAAGGTGCTGTCTCGAATAGGAAGTCGGAGCCAATGGACAGCTTGCAGCTTGACTTGCCTGCTTCCTTTTGTTCTTGCGTCGACAACAGTGGCAGGAACGGGCGAGAACGCGCCTGCCGTCGACGCTGCAATGTGACGTGGCGTTAACGGTTAAGTGACAAAACGCCCCACAGCAGCTGGCACCTGCAATTTACGCTCATACTAGCCTGTATTCTTACTGTCTTAGGGCCTGGCCACGGGTACTGGGCGACCCGTTTCGCGCTACTGTTAGCACCCAAGGGCAAATGTTAGTGGCATACGGTGCTGTGGCTGGCTTGCGTGATTGGCCAAACATTCGGTGCATTTACGATGTATGAGTTGTGCAAAGTCGACATCGAGAGTAGGAACAGAAAGGATGCAAGCGGGTCGTTCCTGCCCTGCAATTTGCCATTCAGTCGCTCAGTTCTCTCCAACGTTTTGACCGGGACGGCATGCAAGTTTGTCATGTCTGTTTTCAGACTTTATCTCCAGCCGTCCGTCTCAGTCTCAGTCTCAGTCTCAATGGCAGGGTAGTTGAGATAAATCTGGCCTCGTCCACCATGGTTGTTCCTTCCCGCGGCGCTTTATACCCCGTCGCGATTCGTTCCTTCATTGTCGTCTCTAAATCCGTGCCGTCCTTTCCGAAAGCAGCAACCACGAATCCCATTGCGTGGCTACTCAATATGGGCTTGATAATATGCAAAGTAATAGGACATACACACGTCCTTATGAGACACCGCGTGGCAGACGACTCCCAAGATAAAGTAAGGTTCCTACCAGACGCAGGCTTGAAGCATATTCGCGGCCCGAGATACTTCTGCGGGACGTTGCATACGGGGGTTGGAATGATTCGGCGCTCGGCGTAGTTTAAAGCCGTCTTTACCCTTTTCGGTTCTTTTATTCCCTGCTTTACTGTTTCTTCTTTTTCTCTGCGCGGAGTTATGGGCCTATACACATCCGGCGCACCAGTCAGTCGTCCATCTAGGCCAGGTGCTTGTGTTTGACATGTACAAAGTGCGGATATAAAATGCAGTTAGCGCCTTCCGTCCACCGCCTCTTTTCCTTCCCCTTCGTTGCACCTTCCGTCTGCGGGCTTGCACGGGCCGCACCACACAAATTTTGGGGGAAGCGCAACGGCCATGCATGGGACAATGGCGTATTTCCTTGACTGGTTTTTATTTGTCTTGGTTGTAGCTATTCGTGTGTATTCTCCTTCCGATGCGCGCTGCACTGTGCCGTGTTCCGGCACCTATTTGCCGAGCACGTCAGCCATGCAAAGACGGAACGCACGCAACGCTCCAAAATGGCCGCGTGATGGCAGGGGAGGAAGGAGCGAGGATAAAGAATAAAATTGGGAAGGAAAGAAAATAAAGCCGAGTTGGGAAGCTGCGATGGAAACCCATGGCCGAGTCACTCTTTCCCGTTTTGATTTCACAAGCCACGGCTTCTTGTCACCAACTATTTCCCCCTTCGTTTTCTTGCTTCCCCCTTTTTCCTTCTCCCATAGATGACATCTATTTCTCAATCTACACATCCCTCCCGAACGAGTTTACCCCAACGAACACCGCTCTTCTGGTGGCATTTTTGTGTTTACTACACTGACGAGCGCAAGCCAACGCCGGGCTGAAAAAGCAACAGCAGGGCCCAGGTGTCAGCGCGGACACCAATGCCCGATGCATGCAACGAAAAGCAAAGAAGTAAAGGATCGTCTCGAGTGAGCAAAAGCTGCCGAAGCGCACTCGAACCGCCGGAGCTTCACAGACCGCTTGGTTCAGGTCCAACACCCACACACGCCAGGGTGCCCCGGTCGAATGCTTGTGTGTGTGGCCCCCACCGCGAGTGCATCAAGACGATCTGACCGTTAAAGGCACCACTTCCCACTTCCCGTCTCTCTCCCTCTTCTCTCCCACCTCTCAAACGGAGCATCAGTCAAGTTGCTTCGTACCTTGACAGCATGGCAGCCGACGAAGAAAAGGTGGCTCTGGGAACTGCCCCAGGCGCTTCAACACCGCCCGCAACTACAGCACCGTCAACTGAACCGACCATCTCAACACAGACTAAGGAGACGAACAACGAGATCACAGACGACAACGAGGATACAACAGACGAGGACGACAACAACAACGGCGACGATGGCGACGACACCCGCGATGCGGGCCCGTACGAAGTTGTCGCGATCGAGCAGGTCGATGCCGCCGGCCTCTCAGCGGCCGAAAAGGGCGTCGCCGGCATCGTCGACAAGGACGAGGCACGGCTCGACGGGAACGAGGTCGTCCACCACCCAAGCGGCAGCCGTATCTCGGCCACCCTGTCACGCATAGCCAGCAACGCCAGCTCGGCGGTCCGCAGCAGAACGAGCAACGCCAACAGGGCCGCCGCGGCCGCTGCACGCCTCGCCGCGTCGCCGATCCCGCTCATGGACCTGGACAAGGGCATCGTCGGATGGGACGCGCCCGACGACCCCCACTACCCGCTCAACTTTGCGCCGCGCCGCAAGTGGCTCCTCATTGTCTTTTTGGCGTGCATGACCCTCATGACGCCCTTTGCGTCGTCCATCCTGGCGCCCGGCATCAAGTACATGGATGCCGACTTCAACAACGACGACTTGACGACTGGCTCGCTGGCCGTGAGCATCTATCTCTTGTGCGTGGTTGTCCACTGGCCCACTCGGCCCGTCCTTATTTGCAGATGCCGGACACTAAGCTAACCATCTACCACTCGTACAGAGGCTATGCTGTCGGACCACTATGTAGGCCACTCCGTATTGTATCCTATGTACCACTTCCGCACCACTAACCGCAAACAGTTCTTGCCGGCATGTCCGAGCTGTACGGCCGTCACGTCGTGCTCTCGGCCTCCAACATATTCTTTTGTGCCTGGCAGATTGGCTGCGCGCTGGCACCGTCCTTGCAAAGTTTGATCGTGTTCCGCGTCCTGGCTGGCATTGGTGGCAGTGCGTGCATAAGTTTGGGCGGTGCCGTGATTGGTGATCTTGTAAGTCGGTGGCAGACGAGAAAGACAAGAAAAGCAGAAAAGCAGAAAAGCATGCTGGATCTTGAGGACTGACTAGACATAGTTCCCGATCGAAGAGAGAGGCTTGGCTTTGTCCATCTGGACCGTCGGCCCGCTGTAAGCCCGCGCCATCCCCTTCTTGTTTGTTTATCCCCCATTGCAGCCTCTTACTGACGGTTGGTCCCCGTTGCAGTGTCGGCCCGTCCGTCGGTCCCATTGCCGGTGCTTGGATTGCCCAGACCATCGGCTGGCGCTGGGACTTCTGGATCGTCCTCATCCCCGGCGCCATCAACACCATCGTCATTGCCGTCTTCAGCTCCGAAACCAGCCACCACGTCCTCATCCGCCGCAAAGTCACGCGCCTCTCCAAGGAGCTGGGCCGCAACGACCTGCGCAGCTGCTACGACAACCCGGACAAGCCCCGGCCCACAACCCGCCGCGCCCTGCTCCTGGGCCTCATCCGCCCGCTCAAGATGCTCGCCCTGTCGCCCGTGCTGCTCGTCATCTCGATCTACACGGCGTTCGCGTACGGCGTCCTCTACCTGCTCTTCAACACCATCCCCATGGTCTTCCAGGAGGGCTACCACTGGAGCATCGGCATCACGGGGCTCGTGTACATCCCCATGGGTCTCGGATACTGCGCTGGCCTCCTCCTCTTTGCCAACATCTCCGACAGCACCGTCGTCCGCCTGACCAAGAAGAACGGCGGCGTCTACGAGCCGGAAATGCGTCTTGTTGACTGCATCTACTTTGCCTGCTGCCTGCCCATTACCTTTTTCTGGTACGGCTGGTCCGCCGACAAGCAAGTCCACGTATGTCACAGCCTCTCTTGTCTTTTTTTTTTTTTTTTTTTTTGTCTTTTATCTTTCTTTCTTTCCCCTTTAGTTTGGCTACCGGTGTTCGCGTCTAACAGAGTAGTGGATTGTCCCCGTGCTAGGCCTGTTCCCGTACGGGTTTGCCGTGATCGGCGTCTGGCAGCCGTCTCAGGCCTATGTCATCGACGCCTACGGTCACTATGCCGCGAGTGCCACCGCCGCCTTTACCGTCTTCCGATCCGTCGTGGCCGCCTTCTTGCCGTTGGCGGGCCCGACCATGTACGCCACGCTGGGTGTGGGCTGGGGCAACAGCCTGTTGGGCTTTATTTGCATTGCGCTCATCCCCGTGCCGCTGCTCATCTACCGCTTTGGTGGTACGCTGCGGAAACGCTTCCCTCTGGATCTGTGAAAAAGGTGGGAAATGCATGGACCTTTGGTTTATTTTGGTCCTTTTCTTGGCATTTTGAGTTTTCTTTTGGATCTTTTACACCCGTGCATTGTTGGCTTGTCTTGGGGATTTCATAGCGAGCGATTGTGCTTTTGGCACAAGCAGGATAGACGATAGGAAAAGCAATGAATATTGGAAAAACAAGGATTTGGCTGCCGCTCGGTCTCTTTGGTACATGTTCTATCGTGTATACACTCCCTTGCTTTTTAAACTTTCATATACAGCTTGCCAGCTTGCCAGCTTGCCAGCTTGCCAGCTTGCCAGCTTGCCAGCTTACCAGCTTACCAGCTTACCAGCTTACAGCTTGCTGTCCCGCTGGGCCGGCACCTGCAGCGGGTCGTACACCTTGTGCGCCAGCTTGTCGTCCGGCACGCCGTTGGGGTGGCTCGTCAGCGACCGCGTGTCCACCAGCTCCGGGCCCAGGTCGTCCACCGTCCGCGCGCCCACCAGCCGCATGTCCATCTCCAGCTCGTCCTTGAGCAGCGCCATGGCCCGGTCCACGCCCTCGAGGCCGTACGCCGACATGGCGTACAAAAAGGGGCGGCCGATGCCGACGCCCTTGGCGCCGAGGCACAGCGCCTTCAAAATGTCCGTCGCGCGCCGCAGGCCGCCGTCCACGTACACCTCGATGCGGCGGTCGAGCCCGCGCGCGCGCAGCACGGGCATGGTCTCGGCCAGCACCTCGAGCGCCGACCGCGCAAAGTCGAGCTGGCGGCCGCCGTGGTTGGAGAGCACGACGCCGTCGACGAGCCCCGTCTCGGCGGCGCGCACGACGTCCTCGACGCGCTGCACGCCCTTGAGGACAATGGGCAGGCGCGTGACCGAGCGGAACCACGGCAGGTCGTCCCAGCAGAGGCTCGGGTCGATGAAGGAGCTGATGGCGCGCGCGGCGCCCTGCGACGTGTCCGAGGCCATGCCCTCCTTCTTCTGCACGGAGCTGCCGCCGCCGCCCAGCGCGGCCGCCTTGGCGCGCATGTCCTTTTCGCGGCGGCCCAGCTGCGGCGCGTCGACCGTAATAAAGAGGGCGCGGCAGCCGCGGGCCTCGGCGTGCTGGATGATCTTGCGCGTAATCTCGCGGTCCTTGTTGACGTACAGCTGCAGCCACTGGTAGGGGTTGCCCGGCCCGGCGGCGGCGTCCATGATCTCGTCAAAGGAGCACGAGGCCAGCGTCGGGATCATCTGCACGACCTGGTGGCGCGCCGCGGCCTTGGTCAGCACCGTCTCGCCCTCGGGGTGGCCCAGCTTGCCGAGCGCCGTGGCCGTCACGTAAAAGGGCGCGGCCACGCGCGCGCCAAACATGCGCGTCGACAGGTCGACACGCTCGACGTCGACGAGGACGCGCGGGCGGAACCAGACGCGCTGGAAGGCCGCACGGTTCTCCCGCAGCGAAATCTCGTCGTCGGCGGCGCTCGAGTAGTAGGCCCAGGCGCCGCGCTTCATGACCCGGCGGGCGACGGCCTCAAAGTCGAGCAGGTTGTAGCAGCTGTCGACGGGCGGCATGAGGGCGCGGGCCTCCGCGACGGCCTTGTCCTCGGCGGCCTCGGCCTCCTCCTCGGGGGTGCGCTTGCGGTTCTTGTCGGCCGCCGCGACGGCGTCCATGTCGGCCACGGGGCCCAGGTGCTTGGACTTGTCGAGGTACTTGTCCAGGGTGTCGGGCGGGTGGACGGGTTCAAAGGCGGACGTGGCGTCGCGGCCGGCATACTTGAGGATGATCTTTTGGCCGCCGGGGTGCTCGGGCAGGAACTCGGTGACGTCGTAGACGTTGCCGCGCACAATGACCCAGCACGAGTCGGCGCTGTTGTGCTTGCCGATTTCTGCTGCGGACAAGGCCATTTTGCAGTGTGCGCTGGGAAGAGGGGAGATCCGAGTTCCGGGTATTGCTCGGCGAGTCGACTTCGCTGAGATGGGTGACGTAGAAAAGCAGCGACAGCTAGAGACGAGGAGGTCGATTCAAGTCGAGAAGAAACAATGCAGAAAAGAAACGTGGAAAGAAGAATGGGAAACGAAAGTAAAATAAAAACGAAACAAAAATAAAAGAAAGTTTCGACCATGTGCAAGTCAATCCATAAAAGGCGCTGCATCCAATCGCTGTCTGTCGTCTCTGTGGTCTCTCCTGCCTTGCGCTCGTCCGACGGCCATAAGCATTTCCTGGTTATTCTCTCATTCGTTCGTCTTTCTCCTCTGCGGAGTGGTTCGAGTGGTCGGCTATTTTTGCGGGGAGCGCATTTGGTGTCCCGACCCCAATAAAAAAGCTGGGTCTTGGGAGTCTGGTGTAGCCATTGCTGGACCAGCCAGACCGCAGTCTTTGGACATCTAGATGGCACTAAACCAGAAATGGAAACATTGCCTAATACGGCCGCCAGAACATTTGCGGCCGCCACCTCCTTGTGTGTTGCGTAGATAGAATCTGTGAAACTTCACGTGGTGATGAGAACTCGCGACGATTCGAAGGAGTTGTGCCTAGCAGAGTCAAGGATGCCGGGCACATTGCACTCATGAACGAGTTCCGAGGACGCTGGAGTGCCGAATACCAAAATAAGAATGTTGAACAACAAAAATAAAGGCACGGCATGAGAGATAGAAAGAACAAGTAAATGCCGTTTGAAAAGGAAAGAAGCCGCTGAATGAACGGGGTATATAAACATATTGTGGCATATGAGGCCCAAAAAGAGACGAAAGAAGAAAGAAGAAGGAAGGAAAAATAATAAAAGAAGTCTATATCAAACCAGAGACATGCAACGTACAATACGAAGCCGAGTCCAACGCATCTATACCAAAAGATCCAATGCCTGTCCCAAAATATACGCTCCGAAAGGGCAAAATAAAACGCCGGCAACGTATCACCGGGTTGACGATGTCGACTGGCTCGCAATGCTGACCGGCCGCTTGACCGACGGGGCACTGCTGCTACTGTTGTTGTGGGCATTGTGGCTGCGCAGCCGCGACAGGAAGCCGCCGCCGCCGCCGCCCCGCTCTTGGCTGAGGATGCTCGCCGCATCGCTGCCCTGCGGTGGGCCTTCCTTGAGCGAGTTGGGCTCAATGTGCGACTGCGGGAAGTAGCCCCATTTGCCGCGCGCGTTCGTGCCCGCCCAGCACCAGTGCTCCGGGTGCGACCAGATGATGTTGGTCACCGTCTCGTTGCGGTCCAGCTTGAGCCACTCCGAGTTCCGGTACGCGCTCGACGACGCCCACTTCCACCGCGCCGTCGCCCGCAGCGCGCTCGTGCCTTGCGTGCGGATCTCGTTGCGCGGCGGCGGGTCCAACCGGATGTGCTCCACCGGGAAGGGGCCGCGCACGTTGTCGAACCACCCCACGGCCCACTCGCCCTTGTACTTGGCCGGGAACTCGACGCCGACAATCTTGGACCCGACGGGGAACTGGATGGGCACGGCACCGTCAAACGGCCGCCGCAGCGCGTTGTGGGCTTTGCGGAACGTCTCAGTGGCCACGGCGGTCGGCAGCTGCAGCAGTTCGCGGCGGATGCCGTCGAGTTCCGACGGCACGGGCGGCGTGGTAAAGTGCAAGTCATAGTCATTGCGGTATGGCTCGGGCCGCTCGGGGCCGTCAATGACCGTGACCCCCGACACCTCGGGCAGCGGCCGCGGGTGGCGCGCCAGATGCGAAAACAGCTGGCCCTGCGTGAAGAAGACGGTGGCGTCGCTCTCTTCGAGCGTCCGGCCCTCTTGTAGACAAAAGATGCACGCGTACAGCGGGTCGTCCACCTGCTTGGCCGGGAGATGGCATTTCGACAAGAACCGCAGGCGGAAGCCGATGCCATGCATACGGTAGTTGGCATTTGCTGTACGCTGTTAGTTTGGGCAAACTGCGAACAAAAACAGAAAATATAAAACTATAAAACAGAAGGTTTCAGGGACGAGCGGGAAAAGGCACGTACGCAAATTCTGGCGGTCTTTGTCGACCTCAGACCACTGCAACTCGTAGAGACAGTGTGTGCATTTGGCGGCATACGCGCCTGCTCCGCTGTATGACTGTCTGAATGTTAGCAAACAAAATCGAGGAGAGTACAAAAGTCAACTGAGGCTTGGAGGTTCGTACCAGCTTCTTAATCTGCCGCACACCGGCATGGCCGCGCTGCACTTCCCTGGCACCTTCACAGAAGCCCTTGAGAAGATGGTACGAGCTGCCAGGGCCAATTTTGCAGTCCGCCGTCCGGCGTTGTACGACACGCTCCTCGTTTGCACCGCCGGCAAGATCTTCGCTGTTCGAGCTCTCGACTGGGATCAAGCCCTGGTCAATGTCGACAACCGGATGAATTGGCTCCAGGCCCGGCTGCTCATCGAGTTGCGCTTGCGGCACGTTCAACGGTATTGGTGGTGGCCGCATCTCCGACTGCAGTGGCTGCAGTGGCTGCTGTGGCTGCTGTGGCTGTTGCTGTTGGGATCCAGACGCAAAGGATGCCAAGAGCTGCGGCTGCGGACTGGCTGGCGAGTTGGGGCTTGCAGCCACCGCGGTGGCCGGTCCCGCCACGGGGCTGATTGGGTCTAGAGACGAGTCGCGCAGCTGGTTGCTGAGTCCGTTGAGGTACGAGTCGAAGCTGAACACAGACCCGTTGGTTGAGCTGGCCGTCGAAGCCGTCGTGTTGCTGATCTGGGACTGCCGGGGCGAGACATAGCCAGATGCCGCCGATGTCGGGCCGGTTAGAGACTGCCGCGCTTGCTGTTGCTGTTGCTGTTGCTGTTGCTGCGAAAAGACATAGTTTTGCCCGGATGCCGGCTGTTGTGACGGCAGCGACCACGTCGCAGACATGACCGGCACATTTACGGGCGGTGAAGACAGCTGCTCTGGCCGCACTGGCATGGTACGGGGCGACGGGTCGGAGCCCTGCGCCATCTGCTGCTGCCAAGCGTCTACACCGTCGTCGAGACGGCGAGGATATTGCTGCGGTGAACTGGGCAGCGGGAAGGAAGATGTTGGTGGCGGTGGTGGTGGGACTATAAAGCTGGACACCTGTGGGGCCGTGGCTGCCTTTGGTGACGGTAGTGTGGGCGAGTCGGGCCGTGTCGAGATGCGCCGCCGCCGTTCCGGCACCTCTCCGTCCTCCGTCTGGTCAGGGCCGGAACCCTCGCCCACGCCACCATTGCTCTGCTCCTCGCCCTCTTGTCCTTCAGCAATTGTGTCCACCGAGGGCCGCTCGCCAATCTGCCAGGGGTTGACACCTGGAACGGGCGGTGGAGGCTCGGGAAGGGATGGTGGTGGTGGGGGAGACGGTGGAGCTGGCTCGGGGATGGAGGGCAACATGGTCGGGCTCGCGATTGAGTGCCTTGAGAGCGCGGGAGACGCGCCACCTTTTGGGTTTTGTGCTTGCTGCGGCTGCCCGTTGTTCCACCCCATGTCCGGCCCGCCCTGGGTGCCCATGACCGGTGGTGCGTCCTCGCGCTGTTGTGGCAGAGGCACTGCATCCGCGGGCACGTGCACAACCGTGTCATACCGTTGCATGCTGGGAACAACGACACCCGGTGCACCACTCCCCTCGCTCAGGTCCAAGGCGTCGTCCGGTCCGGGACTGCGTGCGCCGGAGTAACTGGTTGCGCTGTAGCCGCCGAGACTGTTGACGCGCGAGACGCCGGCGTTGAAAAAGGGCGATGACTGGGGGACAAGCGGCGTCGAAGGTGTCGAGGCGCCGGGTGCCACGACTGCTGCTGCCGCTGCCGGTGCCTCGAGCTTCATCCGCCGCAGGATCGGCGTGATCCGCAGCGTCGTCTGCTGCGCCGTCTTGCCGAGCTCCTTGAACTTGTCCGCGTCGAAGCTGTCTGGCTCGGTATAATCGTCAAAGACGTACACGAGGCTGTTGAGGGCGTCAATGTGCTCGGCAACGCCATCTGTGCGTATTAGTCTACTGCAAGCTGGACACAAACGAAATAATAAAATGCAGCAACTGGGAAACTGGGACACGGGGAAACTGGGACACGGGAAACTCACCATGATCTCTCAGGGCCGTGACAAAGTTCTCGCCATAGAGCGTCAGATTCCGCTTCGCAATGGGCTCGAGGGCCTTGCGGGCCCGCTCGCCTTCTTTGAGCAGCGCTTGTGCCGCCTTGGCCATGTCCTGGTTGTCGACATCCTGGGCAGTGTCGAGAGCAGCCTGAGCCTTTTCGACAATTTCTGCGAAAGGGCCGAGCAGGAGAAAGTCGATCTCCTCGTCCATGGCTGCGGTGTGGGTAGGTGATACAACAGGTGCCTTGAGGTGAGCGCAGTAAAGTGGAAATGAAGAGGAAAGGAAGAGATGGAGGTGGGACGACGGCAGTAAATAGTGTCGATGGAAGTGGGAGGGGGGATTGAAAAGTGGCCGGGAGATAATGTTGACAAACGGACAACGTATTCACAAGTCAGGAATCGGCGATGCTCTCCTTGCTAGGTGCGTCTTGTGCGTCCCCTGCCGGCCGCGACTGCCTTTCAGTGTTGCAAGCGAGTCGCGCCCTGGGGGAGGAAGCTGCGTTGGGGTTGCGCCGGTACCTGGGTTGCACCTTCTAGAAATGTTCTTTTTTCTTTATTCGTGGTCAGGGGAGATATCAGAGACAAGGGAAGGCGCTGACTGGGTAAGACGGGTTGGTGATCGGTTGCAGGAAGGAAAAGTTGCCTGGCCAAAAGAGGCAGGCGCGACAAGATATCGTTCCTCTTCAAGGAAAGAGCCTTGAAGGCAGTGTGCACGAGCGTCACGCTAGGCGGGCGGGAGATCAGCCCAACCAGACGACAGAGAAAAGGGGGGAGTCAAGAGCAGGCAAGAACGATTGTCTGCCACAGCTGAGGACAGAACAGGAAAGTGCAGAGAAGGGGGCAAAGTGCTAAAGCAGCAGGGGCTTCCGATCAGCAGAGGGGACGAAAGCGCAAGAGGAGGAAGGGACGAAGGGGATAGACAGAATGAGAAGGCAGGCGCAAGCAATGCAGGGCACCTTTATGAGTCGATTGAAGCCAATGCTGCGAGGCAGAAACGACAGGCAGGAGTGGGCACAGAAGGAGCCAAGGGGAGTTGTTCCAGCAAACGGGAAGGTGCTTTCAGGACACTTGCAATAATTAAGGAAAGAGGAAACGAGGGCGAACTTGCACGAGGAACTACTCTGCGTTTCTTTCTGTCGTGTGTCGTGGCCCCTCCTCAGCTTTTTACTAAAATCAATATTGCAATATTGCGCTTCGCGCATGCCCATGAACAAGACAAGAACAGGACACGCCGGGCCTCAAATGCCAGAACGCAGTGGTAGCCTTGTCGGTGAGTTCGATCCGGACACCAGACAATGTCCAGTTGAGCCTCAAGGCAACAAAACAAATGGACGGAAACACGAGCTCTCTATGCATCGATAGAACAGGACTGGACAGCCAAGTCGCAGAGACGATGAAGGGGGGCTGGCATGCGCCTCGTTCCGCACCTCGTTTACGCCTGTCTTGAACCTCTCTCCTCCCCAGCTCTGCTCGGTATGCTCCCTGTCGAGCCGCACATGGAACCCCTCTACCATGCTTTTTATGGACCACACAAGATACTCAGTTTACTAACAGAGTTCTGATCAAAGCTAAGCGACAAGGCGATCCACTTTGCACGGACGCTGTAGACTGTTATCAACATGGACGCATGAGCTCCCCTGCTCCCCTGTTCCCCTCTGCGTCGACGTCTTTGGGCCGAGAAAGAAACCCTCCACAAACCACTGCAACCACAGTGGAACAAAGAGATAATTACCAGCCGGGTCAAGAGCCTCCCTGGAAAGGCAGAGCGCCGTCAGGCACAAGCACACCAAGGGAAGTGGCCCAAAAGGCAACAAGCAGAAGCTCTCTGTGGATTTCCCTATCACCCCTGGGAAGAAACCACGCACGACCAATGGTAGGGAGAGAAGGCCCAAGTCTTACAAGGAAAGTCGACAAGTTGACAGTGCAAAAGGGCAAGGCGCACCCCGGCCAGTGTGTTTCGTGTCAAAGGGAAGGGAGGGCTTGCAAACCTGCAAACCAGAAGATGCCTCACAAGATGGCATGGCTAACTTCAATTAGCAGTCCCAAAGCAGGCCTCCAAAGGCCAGAGAAAGACAGGCAGAAGCGAATGAGCGAAAGGCAACGGGCACATTTTGCAGTTGCACGTTTGTTCGAGGCTGTGCTTTGAGGGGCTTACAGGGAACCGACAGCAGACAGACGCTCCAGCACGTCCACCACACCAACGAGAACCTTATGGCGCTGGCATCGAAAAGCTGGTCGTGGGACAGAGACACAACTGGCGGGAAAATGACAGGCGCGACAGGAGAAATCAATAAAGCTGCTGCTCAGCCTCCCCGCCTGGTGTCGATATTGCAAAAGCATAGTGCTCAGCTTGTCTTGGCTTTGGGAGCTTGTCGAAAATTAGCTTACAGGGCGAGAGCACGCCCGCCAGCAGCTTGTCCCCATTGGCCCAACACAAGCACAGGCTGGGTTCGACAGTCGACAAGCGCGTCCGTTCTGCCTTTGATAGCCCCAGAAAACTTGCCTTGGGAGGGACTGTCGGGACTGTCGCAACTTGGCACCCGCCCTCGCCCAGTCTTGTTGTCCCTTTCGGTTTCCCTTGGCTCCCCGCTAATTTATGGTGAAAGGCTCTTCCCAAGGCTGAAACGACCCATGCACCTTTTGTGTTGTCCAAACACCACACGATCCCGGGCGCCATTGGCACGGGAAGGGAAGGAAAGAATGGTTTCATTCGGTGGCAGCATTTAGGTACCATGACGTCGTTCCACCGACACGAGGTCGTTGGACTGGACAAGCAGAGGCACGAGGGCAGTAGGCACTTACTGTATGGTAGTGTGCTCAAGCCACTGAGTGACTCAACAGGCCTCGTCTACAGAGGACAAGGCCGAAGTCTTGAGACATGTGCCAGTCCGCTTGGCCAAACCTTGCACCCAGCCAGCCAATTCGGTCATGATGGAGGAAGCTAAAGGGAGCTGTCAAGACATGAGCACACGAGCAGGTGGCCTCTGTAACGAGAGAGCATGGATGCTGTACCCCTGTCTGTCTGTCAAAACCGACGCCGCATCGAGATACCGATCGCTTACATCCGGACTGCCGTTCCTCCCATCATCCTGCTCATGCGGGCTGCTGTCAAAACCAACCACTCGGCTACGATCCCTGAGAGCACATGGCGAAGAAGGAACGAAGACGACACATCACCACGAAATGGAAGCACGTGTGGTAATTGAAGAGATGCCGTTTTTGGCAGCAGAGCCCCTGATTGCCCCTGATTACCGGCATTGGTACCAATGACATGCCTGCAAGTGCATTTACCCCATTTTGAGCTCCTTTCCGGTCCGTTGAACATCCTTCCTCCGTTCCCACTCGTTCCCAAAAAGCAATGAAAAGCTATCCAAAACCCAAAGAAACCCTTGTAGCCCAGAAAAAGAAACCTAGCCCGCCTTCCCGCCGCCTACGTCATATTCAATTCATCCAAAATACAGCTCCTTACAACGCCCCAGCTCACCCGCTCACCCGCACATGCCCAGGCGCGTGTGCCTTTCTGTCTCACCGACGACAACGATACGGCAAGCAAGCTAGGCGCGACGTTCACAAGCACCCTGACAAACGGCATCAGGACTTTCTACAGTTCCTTGACCGGTGCGGGAACCGTCGTCGTGTTGCCACTGTGGATGGTATTGTTGCTGGACGTGTCGGTGAACTCGGCAATGAGGGAGCGACCAACCTGGACAGACTCGGAGGGACCGCGCTGGCGCAGCCAGAATCTATTTCGACACCGTTAGCCCTCTTCGACGCAAACCCAGAAACAGCCAACCACGACCTCGTTTTTGATCACGACGGTCGAGGGGGGGGGAGGGAGAGAAGCAAAATGACAAAATGACTCACATATCTTCCGGCTTGTCCAGGCCCTTAACCGCCAGCTCGCGCGCCTCGGCCTCGACGGCCGCACGCGTAATCTTCTCGGCGTCTGTCACACCGACACCGCCCGTTACGCCCGGGCTCAGCGCCTTCTCGGCCTCGTCCTCGCCCAGCGACTCCGCCAGCGCCCGCTTGCGCAGCGCGAACCGCTCGGCACGTTCCTTTTGCAGGCCGGGGCTGTCGAGCTTCGCGACGACATAGTGCACGACGGCGCGGACGGTGTGGTAGACCTGCTCGGCAAAGATGATGCTCAGCAGCAGGGCCCAGGCCTTGATGTCCCAGGGCGAGTGGTCCGGGCCAAAGGTGTTGCTGCGGAACAAATACACAATGGCGGCACTCGTGATGCTGCCGAGCCACGACAGGAAGCCGAGCGAGGTGAGCCAGGGACCGATGGAGTCGCCGCGCCAGGGGATGGGCCGCTGGCTGCTGACGGCAATCTTCATGGCGTCGGAGCGGGCCTCCACCCAGTTGTTGACGAGGAACGAGCAGGCGGTGAGCGGCCAGACGACGGAGAAGAGCGACAGGTAGCCAAACTGGACAACCATCTCGCGGTAGTCGATGGAGACGTCGTAGACGGCCAGGGTGGCCTCGTCGCGCACGCGCTCGAGGAAGGCGGCCTCCTCGGGCGCGTCCTTGGCCGTGACGTCGTTCTGGCCGCGGTACGCAATCTCCTCGGCGGCCTTGAAGACCTTGCGCTTGACGTAGGGCACAATGGCCTCGGTCAAGAAGTTGACAATCTGCGCGGTCACCGTCAACGAAATCACCTGCTGCGTGAGGCGGTGCGTGTTGACCTGGAAGGCGGCCTTTTGGATGGTGGTGTGGTCGGTGGCCGCAGACCCCTTGTGCGCGCCGGCGAGGCGGTGCGTGACGGCCTGGAAGACGTTGAGGTAGGGCACGAGGACCTTGCCAAAGGGCACGTAGACAAAGGCCGTCAGGAGCACGGGCAGGTAGGAGGTGATGAAGTTGATGACAAAGATCTTTTGCACAAATGCGGCCTGGTGGTCGTCCTGGGTCTCGTAGTTTTCAATGTTGGTCAGCTGCTCGGCAAAGTTGGTCAGGATGCCGGTGAGCAGCGGCAGCAGGACAGTCAGCAGGACCGTGGGCAAGAAGGTCAGGTACTGCTTGAAGGGCCCGTTGTAGAGCTCGGTCATGAAGATCTCGATGGAGAAGCACAGGATGATGAGGCTGCCCAGGACGGCCACGCAGGCGAGCGCAAAGGGCACCTGCAGCAGCTGGTACGACAAGCGGCGGAAGGGCGAGTAGATCTTGACGGTCTCGCCGGTGACGGGGTCCTTGGCCTCGCGCTCGAAGCGGAACTGCGGGCGCGGCAGCTGGATCTGCGAGACGCCGTGGACGCCCCACTGCACGGCGAGGTCGACCTCGCGCTTCTTCCAGTACTCGAAGAAGACGACGGACCACAGGCCGTTGACGGTGGCGTAGACCCACGAGAACTGGCCGATGGCGAGCCAGGCAAAGAAGCCGAAGGCGGCCGGGAACAGCAGGAAGCTAAAGTAGCTCTGCATGAAGCCAAAGTAAAAGGCGACGCGCTCGCCAAACTTGTCGCGGATGGCGTCGAGGTCGGCGGCGTCCAGCATGTACTTTGTGCTCCACTTGCGCAGCCAGGCGCGGTTGAAGGCGTGGTCGTGCAGCGGGAAGATGGACGCGACAAACTTGTTCTGCGCGGCCACGTTGGACTGGCGCGCGCCGGGCCCGCCCTTGGCCGGCGACGCGGACGCGCCGAGCGTGCCCTTGGGCGTGATGCCGGCGCCGCCCTCGGCGCGCGGCTTGCTGATGAGCAGGTAGGCGAGGCGCAGGCGCTCGGCTTCGGAGACGGGCTCGTCGGCAAAGTACGAGTTGTAGTCGACCTCGACGCCGCCCTGGTTCTTGCGGCTGGGCGGGGCGGTGGTGCGGATGCCGTAGAGGTAGTCCTGGAGGCGGCTGCGGTAGATCTGGGCGCGCAGCAGCTTCTCGGAGGCGATCTTGCAGAAGATGAGCAGGGACGCGCGGTCGCCGCCGGGGCGGACCTCGGTGGCAAAGCCGGCGCTGGCAAGGGCCTGGATGACCTGGATGAAGGCGGCCTCGGCCTCGTCACGCTCCTTGGGCGGGATCAAGAAGTGGATCACATAGTCGACGCTGCGGGTGGGAAGCAAAACAGAGAAGAAAGGGAGAAAAAAAAGTTAGATGCGGAGAGGAAGAGTCTCGGGGACGCTGTGGACATACTGGAAGTTGTTGTTCAGCTCTGGCTTGTCGGCGGCACCCGGGCCGTAGATGTCGGAGATGGTGGCCATGGTGAGCGGGTAGCTCGCCCAGAGCGTCGGCGGGGCAGGCTGGAAGCACGAGGGACACAGCCAATGCTGGCGAAAGCAACTGCAAGTCTCTCGAGAGAAGAAGCGTCACGAGAAGAAGAGATGAAGCCGAGGAGACAGAGGGGTCGCCTCGAGGAGGGACAAAAGAAGCTGCAGGAAGGGCGGCGGCCGAGATAGTTTTAGGTGCAAGGCGGGAGTCGAGAAAGGATCATAGGAATGCTTGCTACAGGACGAGAGGTGCTGCCAACCTCGATGCCGCGTCGCAATGAGGAAGAGTGAAGAAAGGAAAAGAGAAAAAGAGGAAAAGAGAGGAAGCAGAAAAAGCTCGATCCAAGACTCCAACTGTGCAGGAAGGAGCTCAGGTGTGTGGGCCTTGGCACAAAAGGCAGGACGTCACCAGCGAGACTTACAGCTCCTGCCATGTTGCTGGCCACTACGTACGTAAGGCAGGAGCAGCCCCGCATGTCGGCCAATCAGCCAAGCCAATGCGCGCCAGCTGGACGGCGGAAGCTGCTAAAACTCGATGGACGGCTCCACTCCCGATCCTTTCATACGATGTAGCGACAAAGATTGGGATAAGGGGCAGAAGTTGGACGGCGGCGCTAGGAAGACGGTGGGACGGATTCAGCTGACATGGCAGAGTGGAAAAAGTACAGTGTAGGACGACTGGAGGAGAAAGAAGAACATGCGTCATAGTAATTGTGAGCTCAGAGGGCAGTTGCCTTGTATTGGCCCGTGCGCTGAGAGCGGGTAAAAGCTTGGCGTCTGCGCAACAGCGGAAGGACACAACAGCACGATCCGGGAAGGCACCACTGGCCATTGGCACGGAGGGTTCGTTCCTGCCTTGGAGCTTGCCTGTGGAAAGCCGTTGAAGGTTGTTTCGCACGGAAAGTGCGTTTAAACGAGGGCCAGAAAAAGAAGCAGCGACTCAGCGACGGCTTCACAGTTGGTCCCACTTTATTCGTCCCGGTAGGGCCTCTCGGCCTCTGAAAGGACCAACCAAATACCCCACTATCGCCAACGTCGTCGGCTTAAAGAGCAAAGCCAACAGCATAAGACTCACCTGCCATTGACGTCGACATATTGACGTCGACTTACCGTTGGCACCCCGCCGCCTCAAACCACCCATCTGTAGAGTTGACACAGCCCTCAAACACACATGAGCTCGTCGCTGCTCGTGCGCCTCGGGCTGCGGCAGAGCAGCCCCTGGGAGCCGCCCACGCTGCTCGACCGCCTGCTCGCCTCGCCCATCCGCGCGGCCGCGCACTACCTCTACGCCTGGATCGTCGGCGTGCGCGGCTGGGCCACGCGGCGGCACTTTCTGGACGCGGCCGAGGCCCGGGCCACGCCGACCATCCGCGTCGTGTGCATCTCGGACACGCACGACCAGATTGTCCCGGACATTCCGGACGGCGACCTGCTGATCCACGCGGGCGACCTGACGGACCACGGGCGGCCGGCCGACCTCCAGGCACAGCTGGACTGGCTGGCGTCGCTGCCGCACCCGCACAAGGTGGTGGTGTGCGGCAACCACGACAGCTGGTTTGACCCGGCCGCGCGGGTGGCCAAGGGCATGGCGGCCGACGCGCCGGGGCCCCGGTTTGCCGACAACATGCACTACCTGCAGCACGAGGCGCGCACGCTCCATTTTGCCAACGGGCGGTCCCTCAAGGTGTACGGCGCCGCCGACATCCCGCGGTGCGGGCCGGACTCGTTCAGCTACCAGTACGACCGCAGCACGCCGCCCTGGCAGGGGCTGATTCCGCCCGACGTCGACATTCTCGTCACCCATCCGCCTCCGGTAGGTCATGGTCGTCGTGTGCTGTTGCGCTATTTGTATGGTTTAGTGTTTTTTTTTTTTTTTTTGGTTTTTTTTTCGCTGACGTTGCAAGCGCCACCATCTCGACCTGGGCCTGGGCTGTGCCGGCCTGCTGGCCGAAGTCTGGCGCGTTCGTCCGCCGCTGCACGTCTTTGGACACGTGCACTGGGGCGCAGGCCGCCAGCTCGTGTTCTGGGACGAGACGCAGCGGGCGTACGAAGTGCTGACCGAGGACGGCAACGAGCTCGGGCAGCCGTTCCGGGAGGAAAGCCTGGGCAGCCGCCTGGGCTACCTCGGCCGGCTCGTGGCGGCGGCCACGATGGCGACGGTGCTGCTGCCCGTGTGGCTGTTTGCGCCCGACATCCTGGCGGCCGAGGGCCGGGGCGCGAGCTCGATCCTCGTGAACGCGGGCCAAATGTACGGCAACTCGGGCCGCCTGGGCAACAGCGTGCAGGTTGTCGACATGTAAGTGCGCAGGGTCGGCGGGTGGGCATGTAAATTGCTTCTTTATAGTACAACATGGACGACTGGGAACGGGACAAGGAACATGACAAAAAAAGAAGAAAACAAAATGATACCCATTATGAGAAAAAACGCCTGCCAATGCTTGTATATGTACACGTCCAAGACCTGATGTATGTGCTCGTTTCCCCTTCCACCTCTACACCATCAACCGCCGCAGGCCCTCGGTGCCGCCCAGGACACGGCGGCCCGTCACCGCACACCGCCCCTCGCCGCTCTCCCACCGGTCCGCCTTGTCGGCCATGAACGCCTCTTGCTTGTCGTGCTGGCCCGCCACCCACTTGTGTATGCAGATATAGCAGTAGACGACGCCCGTCTGGCACACCGTCGGCGTCGTCATGGCGTCGCAGCAGATGGGGCAGAGGGCCGAGTCGGCGGGCGCAGGGACCGTGTAGATGGGGCGCAGCGACGGCTTGGCAATCGGCGCGCGGCGTGCGAGGTCTTGTTCGGTGGGCGCAGCGTCCGGGCCCGCCTCGTCGTGGGCCGCTGCCGTCGCTGCCGTTGCTGCCGTTGCTGCCGTCGTCGAGGGAGTCGCCGTCTCGTCGACGCGCCACGACGGCTCCTTCTTCAGAATGCCCTTGCGGCCGATGCTGCCCGTGTTGGAGGCACTGCTGCTGCTACTGCTGCTGCTGCCCGTCGCCGTCGCCGCGCTGGTCCCCGCAGACACAGACTTGGCACCACCTCCACCGGCGGGCAGGCCGGCCGACACGGGCGGCGGCAGGTCCAGGCTGGCGGCCGCCTTGAGCGACAGCTGCTTGGCAAAGTCCGACGCGTGCCACCACTCCAAGAACTTGAGCGCGAAAATGCTCGCCGGCAGCACCATGGACAGGCCGCCCAGCAGGCGGCTCCCGACGGACCGCGGCGTCGACGACGTCGACTGCCGCTCGGCCAGGTCGTCCATCGCCCGGTAGTCGGCGCCCGTCATGCGCCGCACGCGCGTGCCGACGAGCCACAGCAGCGGGCTGGCGTAGCGCGAGCCGTCAAAGAGGTAGGCGAGGTGGAACGCCAGCACGGCAAACCCGTAGGCGGCGTGCACGCTCGGGTACACGTGGCGCAGGAACCAGCGGGCCGCGTGCTGCAGGCGGTCGCGCAGGGTCGGGCGGGCGGGCAGCCGCTGGTAGGCGGCGCCCAGGCGAGCGCGGGGCGCGTCGCGCTCGTAGGCGTCGTCGAGCTTGCGCTTGAGGTAGGGGACGCCGACCACGACGCCCAGGTTGCGCCAGAGGTCGGCGCTGCGGCGCAGCTGCAAAAACGTGCGCACAACGGCGGGCGTGCCGGCGGCGGCGCGCGGCACCTCGCTGCTGGCGGCACGCAGGCCGCCCTCCAGCACCCGCTCTCGCTTGAGGCCGTAAAAGTGTTCGGTGAACGTGCCGCCCATCGTCTGGAGATAGTAGTGCTCGACGACGAGCATGGCGAGCGCGTAGAGCTCGTCAAACGAGTTGAGCGCGCGCAGCAGGTAGCGCGGGTAGCGCTGCGTCGCAATGGTCAGCAGATACCGCAGGGTCGGCGGCAGCAGGCCGTGCAGCTGCTGTTCGGAGAGCAGCTCAAACAGCGACGGCTTCTGCTCGTCGACCATGGCGGCGTTGGCGTCCATGGCGGCGTTGGCGTCCATGGCGGCGGCGCGGGTGTCGTGTGTGTTGGGGACGTCAGTCGTCGGAGAGCCGGAGATGGGGATGCCGTTAAGGATGGCGTATGTGGCGAGTCTCGCGTCGGATATCGTGTCGTATTTGTTGGAGTGAAAAGTGTCGATGCAAAATGGATCGTTTGGTGTCAGATGTGAAGTGCAGCGAAAGCGAAATGGCAGGTGCGTTCACACGAATGGACCCGCTAGGTAAGCGCGACCGAGCAATGCGGGAGCGTAATTGCCGAGGCACGAATTGCTGCCAAAAGCTGGGGTGGCATTTAGCGCTGCCGGCACTAGCACCTGCCATTCAGGCAAGTCAGCACTGTTGAATCTGTAGGGGACTCGCTGACTCCCTGTATCCACTGTAATATCGTATGAATCGTGCTGTAAATTGGAGCGCTACAGGGGACAACCTGACTTGGAAATACTCCGGGCGGAAGTCGGAGTAAAGATAGCGGAGTCCTTTAGCATCCCCAAATTCCGACTCTATCTTCTGGGGACGACGTTGCGCCTCAGCGAGTCGACGAAACAAGCTGGCCGCGCCGACGCCTTCGTCACGGTGTTTAATTCTTTCATTCTTGGATTACGTTCTTTCGTCTCGTCCGCGTTCACAGCCAACTTGCCTCCATCACCGCAGCCATGGCCGGCTCCAAGATGACCAATGCCGAGCGCATCTCGAAGCTGCTGGAGATGATTTCCGGGCTCGAGAGTGTAGGCATCAAGGTGGGTGCACGTTCTCCTGTTCGAGCAAGCCAATGTGGCAAGACACGATCAAACACGTCGACTGACACAGCGAGGACTTCATGTCGTCCTTCCTCCCGCACTTGACGCTCGTGTCGGCCGACGACTTTGAGACGGCCGCCAGCCACCACCACCCGCCGCGGATCGTGTTCGGCTACTCCGTGCAGCCGGAGCACTGCAACCGCATGTACAACATGCACGGCGGCGCCACGGCGGCGCTGTTTGATTTCTGCACCAGCCTGGCCTTGGCGCTGGCGCCGTCGTCGCCCCAGGCGGATGCCGCGCTTGCCAGGGACAACAACGACGACGACAACGACGACAACGACGACAACGACGAAGAGGAGCTGATCAAGTCGTGGCGCCGGCTCGGCGTCAGCCGGACACTGAATGTGACGTACGTGCGGCCGGCCCCCATGGGCCTGGCCGTGCTGGTCGAGTGCGAGCAGGTGCACGCGGGCCAGCGGCTGTCGACGCTGCGGGGCGTGCTGCGGCGGGCCCAGGACGGGGCGGTGCTGGCCACGTGTGAGCACGGCAAGGTGAATTTGGATCCGGACAATGTGCCGAGGCCGAGCAAGATATAGACGGGAGCGGGAGCGAAAGACGCGGACTAGACGTTCTGGACGTTCTCGACGTTCTGGAACCTGTGCGCTGTATGGGTATCTATATACAAAAAGGCCGGCCATCCAATGCCACGTTCTACGACTCCATCGTATGTCTCCCATCTCACATGATCAAACCAAAAAGTGCTGCGCCCACGTTACACGGCAAACGGCTGTTCCTCCTCCTCCTCCTCCTCCTCGTCGCTGTCCCACATGGCAAGATTGCCGCCCAGCTCGTCGACAATCTGGAATTGGGCCTCCACGTAGGCGCCCAGGGGCAGCTCCAGGTAGGTGTAGAGGTGCCGGGGTTCCTGGAAGGCCGGAAAGAAGCTGACGGGCTGCTGGTCGTCTTCGCTGGCGCCGTCAAACACACCGTCGTCGTCGTCGTCGTCGTCGTCGTCGTCGTCGTCGTTGTTGTCGTGACTGTGGTTGTCGTCGTCGGCGGCTGCGGCCGTCATGCTCCGCGTCGTGGGGCCGGACGTTCCTGCCGCAGCGCCCTGGTCCGCCGGACGCGACCGGGCGGCCACATTCAAGGCATTGGTGCTGTGCAGCAGGTACATAAACGACGGCACCGTCCCGCCAAACGGAAAGCCGTTGAAGCCCGGCGGACTGGCCGGCAGCGGCTCCACCTTCTTGGCATGCACCTTCCAAAACGCCGTCGGCCCGCAGGGGCCCCGCCGGTCGAAGCCGGCGTCGAACCAGTTGCCGAGCACGCCGCGCCCCGAGCGCCGGCCGCCGACCTGGATGCCCTCGCTGCGCCAGCGGGGGTGCCCGTCAAAGGTGGAAAACGTGGTCCAGCGGACGTGGCCCTCCTTGGTGGTGCGGACGGTGCCGTAGAGGCCCGAGTTGGCATTGTCGTCCCAGGGGCTGTCGACGCTGTGCGACATGCCGTGGAAGTGGACGACGGGGAAGTCCGGGTGGGTGTTGTCGTACATGCCGTCGTCGACCGCGGGGCTGCTGGCCCGCTGCCCCGCGCTGTCCGCTTCGTCTGGTTGCGGCCGCCCATCGCGCCATTCGATTCGGGTCACGTGGATCTCCATGACAATCAAGCGCAGCTCCTCCTCGGACAGGAACGGCGGCCGCGGCACGTCGTCCGGCACCGGCACGTTGTTGGGCTGGTCGTCTTCCTCGGGGAAATTGAACCGGAAGAAGTCCGAGTAGTCCAGAAAGCTCACCAAGCGCATCCACGTGCCCGTCACGCCGTACGGGTCCTCCGCATCCAGCGGCACCGTGTCGTCCGGCAGCGCGTCCATGTGTGCGTTGGCCACCAGCGGCCGGTAGCTGCCCGGCGAGCTGCCCTGGAACGTGCTGTTCCAGTACGCCGCCACGACCCCGTACCGCAGAAACCCCTTTCTCATAATGTTGGCGCGCAGCACAATCATGATGGCCTCGACCTTTTCCCAGTCCACCCGCCCGGACCCGTCCGCCATAAAGGGCCCCCAGAGGCTGGCCCGCGTGTACTCGCGCATGTCGTACACTTTGCTGACGGCAAACGGGTACGCATCGGCCGCCCGGTCGGACGCCACCACGTACTTGAGCAGCACGGCACCCAGCAAGCAGTGCAGCTCGGCGCTCGTCTGGTGGTGGGCCTGCGGCGTGGCCGGGAAGGTGAGTGCGGCGACTGGATGGGACGACGATGTCGACGCTGCTGTCGACGCTGCTGTCGATGCCGGCGGCAGCCCTGCCGCGGCGGCCGTGTTGCGGATCCGGTCGTAGAGAAACGACCGGCAAAAGAATGCCTCGTAGTTGCGGCGGCCCTTGATGAGGCGGGCGAGCCGGCGGGCGTTGCGGTGGGTCCGCGTGCTGAGGTCGACGCCGCCCTTGGTGGTCTCGCAGGCGACGCCCAGGTACTGCTTGACCAGGCGGGCGACGAGGTCGAGCCCCGTCTCCTTGGAGGTGCTCTTGCTGTGGCAGATGCTGCGCAGTCGCCGGAAGTCAACCATCTCGCGCTCCCAATTGATATCCGATCTCGCCGGTTTGTCCTGTGGAGCCGATGCGATGTTAGTCAACTTTCGAGGCAGGGGACAAGCAGCGCTCGCAGAGGACGCACAAAGTAGTTGCAGTAGACGAGGCGGTGCAGCTGGCTGTTGCCCTGCACGTAGCTCTGCATGGATTTGCTGGCCAGGCTGACAGACAGCAGGTCGAGGGGCGATACATAGCTGAGAATGGCGGTGCCCACCTCTAGGGGCAGGTCGGAGAGGAGTATCATCGCGCCGATGGTGTCGGAGGCGTCGGTGGTGAGAAAAAAGGCGTAGGGGAATAAAATATCGTGGGTTTGTAATACAGCGCCGGCCGATAACGGTGGCCTATGCGGCGGGCAATGAGGCCAGCGGCGGAGCTGCGACAATTGGAAAGCCGTGTATAGCGTAGCAGTCTGCGTCGTGTGGCGTCGTGCCACGGGTTAGAGCTTTCGGTGTTCGTTGTACAGAGAAGGAAATATTGACAGAAAGAAAAAAGGATGCCCTGAAGATTTACGCCTGCGTTTAGGATGACCGGATTGGCCGGGGCAGGAGCGTCTTCGGACAGTTTTAGATTTGGGGCAGGAGCGATTACGACGTAATATTGGGGTCGATTGCAAAAGGAAGGCGTGAGCCGTTGAAAGGCGGGGCAGAGAAACGTGCAACAGGGGGAACCGGAAAAGGGAAGTGACGTTCTTCAGGATCCCGGCGGAGCATCCAAACGTGTTATAAAAAGGAAAGAAGTGAATGACAAAGTAGAAGGGGAGGGAAACGTGGGAAGGTGCGACCGGGGTTCACAAGCACCACTGATTAGCCTTTTTGACGTAGCGCCACTGACATGTGTGGGGAAGGCACGATGGTTCGGAAACGCGAGCCACCACAGTATTGGGAAAGTGCGAGCACAGCGGCGGATGACGACAGAATAAGCGGCTCAGGCAAGCATATCCACGCGACCTGTAGATTCGGAGAGGGCGGTGGCCGCGAGGAGAACACGAATAACTGCGATACTGCGCGGAGACAGCCCGTAGGCACAGCTCTAACGCCGGACTGGGACTGGGCACTAAGCGCCGCAGCGGCCAAGCGAGGGAAAGGATTTAAATGGAGTTAACATCTGGGGAAAGAGAAAGCGACTGCTTCTCACACAAGAAAAAAGACACAACTGGGAGACTTGGCTGGGAGATATTCTTGAAGGCGGCGACCAGTCCTCTCAATTCTACTGCTGTCAGCCTCACGTTGGTCTCTAGAAAAATAAAAAACGCTCTCGGCCGGCTAACACGGACGAGGGCATCCGCGCCGATGCGTCGTACAACAAAAGAATCGTCAGTGAGACAACGCCAACGTCATTTACACGGCCCCCAAGTCCCTTCTCACATTGTAAGATACAAACAGAAACCTACTAGCCCACCGATTTCAGTCAGTGGGTGGGTGACTCGAGAGACAAGCGGGCATCACAAAGCCGGTGTTGGTGATTATAAAATACGGACTGTTTCCACAAGACCAGACCAGAAGCCGGTCGTCTTTATTAGGCACGTTTTGCATGTCGCAGTGTGAAGTCACACAACGGTTCGCCTGCTCCTGATTCGGGCGCCTGTAATGACATATGTAAAAAGCCCAGAAGACGTTGGGAAGATCCGTCATGTGCATCACTCTTGATCTGGACCGGATCACCAAACTGCCTTGTAGTCAGCTTGTGCAAGGATCGTCATCAGACGTTGTATGGTTCGTTAAGAGTTGTTCTCGTGTGATTTTGGTCCGGCAAATTTTGTTAAAAAATATATATATATATAAAAAAGAAATTCATAATTTACTTATTTGTTTTGCAAACATTTAATTATTTGCCAGCCCATTTACAACAAACAAAAGCTAACACTGGTGTAAACAAATTTCCAGCATATATTAATAATACACTCAAATTTATTTCAGATTGACTTGCCAAAATATTAGGTGAAAACCATGAGTTTTTATGTTTCCTCTGATGTATAAAGGGTATGGGTATATGTAAAACATAGAACAGAAGTGTGTGGCGAGAATGGAAGACATCATAAAGACAACAAAAGAAACAAAAAAACCAACACAACATTAGAATAATCATCAGATAACCAAAACAAAATGTACGGTGTGCCCAGCCTCTGTCTCTTCACCACCACTCCCCTTTTTAACCGCCCCAGAGTTTGTAATGCCGTTCCAATAGTCCCTTTTTTGATGCCATCCCCCTACCTCCACCCGCTCCTCGGGCAGTAAAAGTGAATTAGAATGCGTGTATATCGAAACAAGAGAAAGAAGGTGCAAACCAAAGGCAAAAAGCCCCCCCGCTCTACTCCATCTGCCCCATGTTGAGCTGGATGCAGTTGCCCAGCAGCGCGGCGCCCTCGTGCAGGAGCTCCCACCGCGCGCGGCTAAAGGTGCTCTGCAGCACCAGCAGCAGCGATGTGTTCTGGTTCATGCCGCGCTGCGCCTTGAGGTCTTCGGGCGAGGCGATGCTGCCGAACCGGTGCAGGTACTCGCGCATCTCCCGGACCTGGTCGGCCCACGTCGAGGGCACGGGGGTGCTGGGCGACGCGCCCTCGACGGCGTAGCCGTAGCTCCAGACGACGAGCGCCGCAAAGTACAGCACCCAGGGCCGGTTGAGCAGCACGTCGTCCCGCGCCGAGTAGGTGGATTCTTCACTTTCGGATACCGCCGCAGGCGTGCCGACACCGCCGCCGCCGCCGCCGCTGCCGTTGACGGCCGCAGCCACTTGCAGCGGGCTGTTGCCCTCATTGCGCAACAGCACGGAGCACAGGAACTGGATGGCGTAAAAGGTCGCGTCGCGCGCCTTGGCCGTGGGCGCCCAAATGTCCTTCATGCGCCGCTTGACCGTGGCCAGGTCCGGGCTGGCAATGGCGCGGCCAAGCAGCCGCTTGGCCCGCGCATACACCTGCAGGTCGACCACGTCGACGTGCGTGGCCATGTGCGCAAGGTGGTGCAGGACGACGCGGCTTTCAAAGACGACATTGACGTCGCTGTCGCTGTCGCCGCCGGCGCCCCCGCTGTTGTACGCATACGGGTCCACGGCTTGCCCGCTGCTGTCGCGGCGCCGCAGCGACTTGTCGTAGTCGCCCTTCCACGAGTCAAAGGCGCGGTTCAGCGTCCCCCGCCACTTGTCGCGGCCGCCGAGGCCTTGCGAGCCGCCCAGCGAGTGGACCTGCAGGTCGCGCTGGTGCATGTGCCAGGCGACGCTGAGCAGGCCGGCCATGAGGATCGTGCGGCCAAAGGCGTTGGTCTTGACCTCGGCGCCGCTCAGCGTCTTCTTGATGCCTTCCAGAAACGCAATCGAGCGCGTGCCCTCGGACGCGAGCTGGGCCTCCGCCCGCGTCACGTCCATGCCGCTCGTCGCCTTCCACAGGCGGTCGTCGCAGGGCAGCGGCAGCCGCATTTCGTGGGCGACCATGACGGTGGAGTGGCCAAACATGGTGCCGTGGATGGAGTCAATGACAAAGGCCGCAAAGGCGGTGCGGCGTGTTGCCTCGTTGGTGATCCAGTTGTTCCACCATTGGTCCTGCGTGTAGATGCCGCCCGAGGTGGACGAGTGGCGCGAGGTATGGTCCTTGTCGCTGCCGTCGACGCGCGGGTTGGGCGGGGACTCGGCGGCGGTCTTGCCGATAAGGGAACGGCCACGGCGCATCAGCGTAATGGTTGTGGCGTGGTGGATGTGGGCGCGCTCGTGCAGTTCCCGCGTTGAGAACATCTTTTCGTACAGCTCGAGCAGCAGCAACGTCTGGAAGACCCAGAGCTTGGCAGGCGGGCGGAAGTTGGGGTCCATGAAGAGCTCCCAGCGCAGGTGCCACGCCAAAAAGTTGGACAGCTCCGCGCCCGCCTTGATCGTCTCCTGGTTGTGGGACTTGTCGAGGCATGCGGCGCCAATGATGATGATGGCAATCAGCAACAGGTCGGGTGCAAGGTCGGGCGAGAAGGTCGGCTTGTGCAAGATGGGCACCTGGTCGCTGAAATGAATCCAATACGACACAATGTACGCCTGCATCATGTGGCGGCTGAGCATGTGCGAGTCGTTGGAGCGGTCGCCATCAGTAATAAGATCGTTGCGGCGGCCAATGGGCGTGTGGCCGGTCTCATGGAAGCGCTCCTTGATGAGCTCAAACAGCTCTTGGCTCTTCTCCTCCGACAGGAAGGACGAGCCTGGCAGATCTTGGTCGACCAGGTTGGTCACGGACATGACCTGCTGTGGAGCCGCGGGGAAGTATCCTTGCTGCGAGATGTCGTTGCCAGGGTAGGCAATGCCATACCGAGTCGGGACGTCGCCATAGGCACTTGATGGGGATTAGCACTTGGATGTCACAATGAGCAGTACGCGAATTGCAGAAGGGGGCGCTCACCTTTGGTAGTTTAGCATCGGAGAACCTTCGGTGGGCGTATTGTGGAACAGATAGAACATGAAATCGTCGGGAAGAATGCCGACGTGCGGGGACTTTTGCAGCACGTCGGCACCGAACATGGTCATTGTGTTTGGCATGGACATTTGGTCTAGCATCATCATTTCACTGCCCGACTGTACAGGCATCGCATCGTAGTCACCGTGAGCCGCGGAGTAGTGCGGGTTGTTGTTATTGTTGTTGCCGTTGTTATCGGGCGTCGTGGGCAATGCGGCGCCAGCGGCGGCCAGAGGATCGCGGGTGACGGTGGTCGGCGTATGTGGTGCCGAGCCGGGGATGGTCGAATTGGTGCCGTTGTTGTTGTTATTGTTGTTGGCTGCGGTGGCGGTATTTGGCACGAAATTGGATGGCGGAAGGTCAAACGCAGGGAAATTTTGCGTCGCCACAAAGACAGAGGTCTGCGGCGTCGCGGCTGGATGGCTGTTATTGTGGAAGCCACCGGCGGGGTGCGAATGCGACGGCTGATGCGGCTGGGCGAGCGGAATCGTGGGGGACATGGCGTCGTACATGTCGCTGTTCTGGGTACTGGCTGGCCGCTGGGGGATGGCGGGCGACCGATATGTGGGCCGGAGTCTCTGGAGGGTTGAGGGCGTCTGGGCGCCGTGGTTGTGGTGACCGTATATGGCATTCTGGTGGTCCTGAGCGGCGTGCGCTTGCGCATGTGTATAGTCGCCTCCTCCTGGTGCCGGAGGGAAGCCGTTCGAGAAGCTACCGGTGGGTGTGCCGGACAAGGGCGAAAAGGGCATGCTGTTGTTGAAGGCCGAGGGCGACAAGTCCATCGGACCACCGCTCGTCTGAATTTTGTGTCCTGCTGGGGCGGCCGGGCGGCGTGGTCGAAGGCTCTCGGGCGAAGTCGAGCCGGGCCCACCGACAAACGGAGTGCGCGGTTCCTGAGGGGCTGGCGAAGACAGCCCTGGCAGAGGGTCCTTGCGGTTCAGCGACGAGCCCTTGGCGGTATGGCGGTCTCGGTGTCGATTACAGAGATCGAGTCGCACAAAATGCCTTTCGCAGCCGGGAAAGTCACACATGTAAATCTGCTTCGGCGTGTGATTCAACTGATGTCGGTGGCTGTCACTGTCAGTAGGGACTCGACACATTTGGGAGGGTAGCCTGCAAATGACGTACAGATGCTCGGCGCGCGAATAGCTCTTGCCACAGCCCGAGTGCGGGCATTCAAACTTTTTGTCAAGGCCTTTGCGGCTCCGTCGGCGCTTACGGGCCGGCCCGTCGGAGTTGGACGAGTTGTCGGCATTGTCGGCGTTCTCGTTGTGATCACCATGGTCCCCATTGGCCTCACCATCGCCGTCGCCCAGCGTGTCACTGACACTCTCCTCCTTGTCGTGCGAGCCGTGGGATCGGCTGCGATGCCGCCCGCGCTCGCGTTCCTGTTCCTCGTCCAGCTTGAGGTGGGGTGGGGTGGGCTCTTGGGTGGTGCTTGTTTTGTTTTTGGAATGGTCTTGGATTTCGAGCCGTCAGCGGATGGCTTTGTGCGCGAAACAACAGCCAGCCGCGATGGCGGTTTGTTGGTCTCCGGATGGCGTGAACCAGTGGACGGGGATGCTATGAGGGACGTCATTCCTTTCTGTGTTTTGTCTTTCTATGCTGTATGTGTCTCTGTGTGATTCTTCCCATGCGGGGGAGGGAAAGACGGCAGTGCGCCTGTCGATGTTTTGTCTTGGCGGACGGAAGAAACAGACACACGGCCGGTAGGCGACACGAGAGGTAGGTGAGCGGAGACAACAAGAACAGGTGAATCGGAAGGATGACAGGAGAAATTGAGGGGAGGGCAAGGTTGTGCCAGTTAAGACAAGCAGAAATGAATGAAAGAACGAGAATGGCGGGCGGCGAACTGTCAACCAGAGCTTGGGGACAAGCTGGGAGCACGACGTTTGACAGGGGGCAAGGTGTAACGAAAGAAAAAGACAAGCATGACAGGAGACAAGAAAAGAAGAGGGTGCTGTGCGCGACCGTGCAAGATTGGTTACGCAGGACGAGTTAGTCAGGCAAATCCAAAAGTCTCGCGGGGAAAAACACACGAAACGAACAGGTCGCGGTCAAGAAGCAAAAAGGCCGTCCCAAAGTAGAAAGTGAAAAGAGAAAAGATGAGTCCCTGTCAAGTTGTGCGTGGGGGTTAAAATGGATGATATAAAACGGCGACGACTAAGACGAAGGACGGAATGTGTGAAAACGACAGCCGTGCGTTCATGGGCCGAGAAACGTGTATAAAAATATAGAAACGGACGAAGTCGTGATGGTCGTCGATCAAGATTAGAACTAGTGCGGCCGTCTGTGTCAAAGACGTGGCATACGAACAAGTGTGCTCTTGTTCTTGTTTCTGTACTTTCTCTTAACAACACTCTCCCATACCAATTGGGTGAGGGCTCATGAGAACATGACTGGCTGTGGTGGTTCCGTGGTCTGCCGGCGAGGGACGGTAAACCAAAAGGTCGTGAGGCGGGACGAGAAGGTGTACACGATGCTGTAGACGGGCATAGGTGTACGGCGTCGGATGCGCTTAACGGAGAGGTAGGCTTTGTGGTGAAGGCACGGACTTCTCGAGGTCTTGGGGATCGCTAGACGTCGAGTACTGCTCCGTGCGTGGGAGACGTGATATTCAACAGGCCAACAATGGAAGCGACACAGAGCTTCGCGTCAGAACCTGTGCGCAAAAGAGCGAGAGGTCAGTTGGGTGAGGTGGCAGAATAGAATATCCGGGAAAGAGAAGAAGGGGGAAAAGGGAAAAAGAAAAGGGAAAAAGTGATAATAAAAAGCAAGAGAGAAGGGTAAAAAAATTAGAAAGAGGCACAGAAAAGGCAAAACATGGGAAATGGAAAGAAGACGGTTGCTGCAAACGACCAGGGGGGTGGATGGAGGATGAACACAGGACCGATGTATGGGTGCACCGAGCAAGAGGTGGTATTAATGCGGTGCCGCCTGTTGCGGCAAAACAGAGATTTGGAGAGAGACAGAGGCGGGCGCCACTAGTAGAGAACACTCGAGGCTTCACGGGTGCACGATATTGGTTGATCAGGCCAGGCTGTGAAAACGGCCGCAAGCAAAACGACTTCGTAGAAGACTCGAGAGGCAACAGAACGGACAAGAGAACGTTCGCCCAGGAGGAAACGAAGCGCAGAGGGGAATGAGGAGCAGGAAGAAGCGGAGGAGGGGGTGTGTGATGTGTCGCGAGGAGGCTAGAGGGGGTGGACCAAGCGCTGCTGAGGCGGACTAGTGACAATAATAGCGCGAGGGCAATACGGAGGAGGAGAGAGGACAAGGGCAGACGGAGTACGCCGTGTGTGGCACAAAGTGAAGGTATGCTGTTTGATGATATATTTCTGTTGTTTTGTCGCGGCGAGGTGAGTACGTCGTAACTAAACATATGCGCATGGAGGAGGCGAGTGAGTGTGGTGGTGGTGAAGGGGCCTGCAGGCGAATGTGGCCATGTGTGCACGAGACGACTTGGTGGCGTGTGCGTTTTCTTGCCTCTTTTCCGTTTTTTTTGTTGTTGCAGTTTTTGCGGTTTATGCAGTTTTTGCACTTTTCGCAGTCTTGCCCAAGATTGGCTGAAGCAAAGCGAGGGAATTACTCGCCAGGCAGTGGGAGGATGCAGGACGGAAACAAAACTGGAGACTGTGTTGGGCGAAAAGGCAGATGAGAGTACAATGAAACGACAAGGCCACGAAATGGAAGAAGGCTGCAGAATGCAAGAGACGAGACCCTCGTAGGAACGCGGATCCAGAGAGTGAAAGGAGAAAGGGGAAAAAGTGTCGAGGATGCAGCCCCGGTGTCTCCGCCCGAACCGCACAGTTACAGGCTTTGTGCAGCTTTTGTCACTCTTTTTTGCCCCACAGCAGGGCCGGGTAGGGGTGAAATGCATGTTATGCCTGTGGTCTATGGTTCTGGTCACAGTGGATGCAGAATATGAAGTGCGGTTGCGGTTTTGGCTTGTGCCGTGCAGGACACACCCCGAAGCGGACCAGGCATGGTCGATCGGTTCCAGAGAGGACGAAAAAAAAGAAGAAAAAGGTTGCGGCTGATTGGCCGCGTGAACGGAAAGGAGAGGGGAACAGAGCAGGGATGGCAAAGCTGGTCCAAAAGAAATGCGAGAAAAGAAGAAAAAAAGGAACAGATACTGTCAAAAGACACAAGTGAGGAAAGAAGGGACGGAAGAGACTCGAGCAATTCTGTTCTCGAGGATGCAGGCGGTATGGAGCAAAGTAAACAAAGACGACCTTGCACCCGAGACAAGTAAAGTGACACCGCACAACGCTATGAGATGGGATGGAAAACAAACGAAACAAAAGAGACCACAGTATGTCGTAATTTACTCCACGAATCTATACTTACTCAGTAGTGGCGGGCTGACGCGGGCAGGACGAGGATGCGAGGGAGGGGACGAGGGGGACTTGGAAGGATTTGGCGTGGAGCTACCGACGGGTGGTGATCTTGTTAGGTGTGGGCCGAGGCGGAGGGGCTATTTTGTGCTTGTCTGGAGGAGGATGTGCGTTCGGGCTGCTGGCCTGCTGGCGTGTTCGATGGCGTGGGAGGTATTCACAGTGGGACAAGATGTTGACGAGGCGAAGGTCCAAAAGAAAGCGTCCGGATTTCCGTTGACTGTTTGACGATGGAAAGTCTCGGGTGAGACGGAAGCCGGATGTGATGTGTAATGTGGAAGATGTCCAAAATGGAAATATGCCGTCCTGTTGAATACAATGGAAAAAAGAAGAAAAGAAAGAAAGAAAAAAAGGAAGAAGAATGACCCCCAAACAACTACCGCCGTTCCAGGGCAGTGGTTCAGGTCAACCGGCGAGCAGTTGCTGCCCGTCGGACGATGAGAGCAAGAACGAAGCGAGACAAGGAGAAACGGAGAAAAAGGGCAAAGAGCGCAGAGGAACCGGGGGAGTAGCTGGCTGGCCAAAGAAAAACGCTAGACGGGCGACAGCAGGGGACAAAGGAGACGGGCACGTCGTACTTTGTATCTTACCTCCGTACACCACCCGGCTTCACCTTTCTGTCTATTGTTCTGCCTCCTTCTGGCTTTGCTGGGGTTTTCCAGTCCTTTTGTGCGCAATCTGGGGTCGATCCAACAAAACGTGGGATGCAGGGCAAAAGGAAAGCAGGGGCGCGGGGGAGAAAGAAGGAGAAAGGAGGCGATGGGCGAGCTGTGTTTGGCAGCTCAGCAGGCTTACACGACAGGACGACGGAACGACAGCACGACAGCACGAAGAGCGGCCGAATGCCGTACGCGGGGGTCCTCAGTCGTTAGTAAACACAGCAGATGTCGAAAGAGACCCGGCGTGGGGATGGAAACAAGACGCTGGGAAAGATGAACGACGGGCGGCGTGGGGGGGTTCTTTGCCTTCGTGGGAGGCGTCCTCGGCGACAGGAGAGACAGATGAGATGGACGTGGAAAAACATGGGGAGACGATGGGGGCTTGGGGACGAAGTCGACGGTGGCGGCAGTGCTAAAGAAAGACGAAAGGCGGAAATGGAGGGGGGTGGGGGGGGGGGGTCAGAGGAAGAAGGGGAAAGCGGAACGACAAATGAGAATTGGGAGAAAGCGAGAAAGACGGGGGTGGGCTGACCAGGACAGGGGTATGCGTCTTTGTAAAAAAAGGGAAAGAGCGAAAAGGGACAGGGGTGTGGAAAGAGTGAGCGAGGTGGAGAGACACGAGAGAAGGAACGAGACGCGGGCAGGGCAGGAACGGCTTGCGAAGCCGTTTACCTTGTTGGGCCCAGCTCCGGGACTCCAGGAGGCCCCCAGTCCACATCTTACGACGAGAGGAAAGAGCGATGTCCAAATGAGGTGCCGCTTTCCTGTTCAGGCTGCGACATCTTCATCGCCTGCAAGCCCATCGGCCTCGCTCTTTCCTCTTCTTGCCATGATATTTCATTGTCCTCGTCAGGCTTTATTCTTTTGCTTCACGCGCCTGCCTCTTTTCACTTTCCCCGCTCTGAGGTCCCGTACATGCTAGCCTGCCGCCAGCTAACGAGACAAGGCCCCACAGACTACTCGAGGAAAGAAGACTACTGAATATGTACTTCCGTACTGAATGTCCCCGTAGCCAAGCTAGTAAAGGCCAAGACCCCAGACTTGTCAAGATAGGACGCAAGGGATATACGACTTCGACAGCTACGCCGAATTGCAAGTGTGAGGGTCATGTTGTCGGGTGAGTGAACTCGTCAGAAGACCTCTGTGGGAAACATCTCCGTGTGGAGTCGAGTAACAAGTAAAAAGAAGGAAAGATGAAAGTGGATTTTCGAGTGAGAAGCAGCTGCTTCGAAAAGCAAAACCAGCATCGATCACAAACGAGTCCCTTTCAGGTCCTTTCTTATTTCCAGTTCGGCTTGCCCCGCTGGCTAACAGGAAAAACCGGGCCCTGGCGCCTATGCGTGTTTTGTTGTCTTTGGGTTGGGTTATTTATCTGTATGTCGACTCTGTACAGCCAATGGTGGATTTAGCGAATGCGCGGAACGAGTAATTAGCATCGTTTAACGAGCCAAGCTCTTTTTTTCGCGAGTTCTTTCTCTTCTTTCTTTTTCTGTTGCTAAAACTTATTGATTTTAATTTCCCCTTTTTTGACCTACTCGCCTTGTTTCCCTGTCTTCGTCAACCCTTTGGGGGCCAACGCAATGAGCAGCGCATGGGACTGAAACGTAGAAACGGAGAAACCCGTGTATTGTGAGTTTGCGAGCATAAACAGGGGGGTGCATACAATAGTGCAGTCGAGTGGCGAGCAAGATAAACAATCACAGGAAGCAAAGAAGAAAATGGACAAAATAGAAAAATGTAGAAAACAGCAGAAAAAAAGGAAAGAAATTGACCATCGAAACGATAGCGATCTGCAGCATGTTAGACCCGTTTCCGCCTACGCCCGTGATGGGCAGGACCAGTCCCTTGGGAACGTGATGAGGAAATGAAGCAAGAAACCCCAGACCGGTCACCCACATCGTCGTTTCGCCTTGTGACTCGAAGAAGGAAGCGGCATCTACTGCCCGAAAAACAAAACCGCTTGCCACCAGCGCCGACCTGCTGGGACTGCCGTGTCGCCTGGTGATGACGATACGGTACGATACGATATGGTATGGTGCGTGCGACCTGGCCAGTAGGAACAGAAAAGGGGCCGTGTGGCGTGACCAGTGGCTTGGGATTGGGACGGAGACTAGGCGTGGGATGGCCTTTTTTCCTTCGGAAAAGGGAAAGGGAAAAGGGAAAGGGGAAAGGGGGAGAGGGAAGAGGGGGTGTGAGAAGAGCGAGACAGGGAACAGGGGAGACGAGGAAAAGAAAACAGGAGGCCAAAAAGAAAAAGAAAAAAAAAAAACAATGAAGACGGGATCAGAGTGATGTGCATCTTGACGTCCTCGGAGATGTTCTCGCCAATGTCGTGCCAAGGGCTTTGTTTCCGGAGCAAGACCAGCGAGATGAGGGTCGACGAGATCCACGAGCTGAAAAATAAGGGGGAAAAAAAGACAAAAAGTGCAGTACCTCACACAACATTGTCAACAGCAATAAAAGGGTACCGCAAAGGCAAATGGCTCGTCCAGATTCGTGGTGTCCATATGATACGAATACAGTGCCCAGGTCCGATGCGGCTTCTGACTCGCCAGGCTCTCCCAAACAAACTATTACGTACACAAACCCAGCCCTGGGTCGGCAATGGTCCGGTTCGCCTCATTTTGCTCTATGTTGCACTGAATGTTTTTTTTCTTTGCCCTCCTGGAATGAGCATGCGACCGGTTTCCTTGTTTGTAAAACTAAAGACGAAAGCTCGACGCCGTGCAACATAGTCTTGTGATGTGAGGATTAGTTCTGGCTAGATATACTCCATACATGACGATGGTAAGGTACAGCATGCACGATATATGTTCGGAGTACTCCGTCCATACCAACCTTGACAGACGTTTGCTTGGCAAGAGTTGCACATCTTCACCGACTCACCAACTTCTGCATCTTGTTTGCCTCCTCCCTTTTGTCTCTCTGCATCTCGCCCCCCGCGTCTTTTCCGCCACGCCGAAATTGTGACAGAAGAAAGACAAAACATGCAGCTTCTCACCTTTCGGGATCGCCATTTCTGCGCTCCCCGTCTATCCAACGCCGTGCAGTTTTTCAAGCACTCCATGTTGGTGCAGTGTGTGCCCGCATCCTCTCCTTGTCTCTGTGCTCCGAGTCTCCGTATTCACACCGCTGCAATGACAATGCGACCCCCGCGAGTTTTATTTCCCAGCCACTCCGCTGTTATGGGGTAAGTGCATCGTCGGAATTCAAAATCCAATGCAAGGGGTCTCTAAGGAAACCAGCAAGTCGTCCCCCTCCCCGTCTCAACTCCGCACACCGACTTCGATGTATCTGTACATTTTCTGCACATTTCTGCACTGGGCACTGGGCACTGGGCACTGGGCATTGTTCCTCCTCCATATTATCTGCATGCGCAAAAAGATGGGGGCGGGGGTTGCACTGCTAGTAAGAACAACTCCTGGAGAGAGCGGGGGTCATCTCTCCTCTTCAGTCTTTGACGCGCTCAACAGGGAGCAATACAGAATACGTACAACGTAATTTCGATTGGTTTTGGGTTTGCTTATTTTTGAATAGCACATTAGAATATGTAATACATCGTAGACTACCGTATGTTTTATGGCCCAGTACGACTAGGAAACTAGAATATGCCAAAACCCATCTTTCATGCTGCTGTCCTGCGTATGGTCAAGCATCGAAATGTAACCCAAAATAGTATGGCATCTGGGCTGAGAGTCCTTGTGTCGTCGGAGGTTTGGCGTGGCGGAGGCCCAGACAAAGGCACTAAAGCACTAATACGAGCACACCGCGCTAGTGGTGTTGGTCACCGACACGGACGGCACTCCACAGGCCACAGCGCCTGTTAACAGAAAATGCCACTAATGTCAGCTTGCTAGCAGCCCCGTCAGCAGCTTCGCCCCGACGCGCCCTGCGCCCGATGGACATTTAGCACAAAGCTTAAAAGGTCCTGGGTACGATTCGTATTCTTGTGTGTGCTGCATTGTGTTTTGTCATGATATGCATCGTACGTGAGCTCGAAGTACGGTATCGTGTCATATGTTTCGCTGTTGACAGGCGATACAGCATGTCGACGAGCCCGCGTGGCCATTGTTTCAAGGTGGCATTCACGGAGCACCGGATCGACGGAGGAGACAAGAGAGGCAGAAGTACTCCGTAATGTGACAAACTTGGGGCTGACGGGCCGCTGCACTGCCGTCTCTTGGACAGGAACGTCGTTCCATTTCTCGCTGTTTTTGTCTGGTGTAAGACCGCTCTGAAAATGAAAAAATAAATAAATAAATAAAAATAATGGGAGTTGGATGCTGGCAAAGTGCGGTCTGCAACATGCAGGTTGACTTTAAACATGGTTAAGGACATTCGTACGACGTGCATCCTTCATTGTTTAGATTCGGCAGCTACCCAACAGTGGCCATGATGTTGCATTTTCAAACTAATGCCTGCCGGTTGAAAAATTTCGCTGGCCAGACCACACTTGTCAGAAGTTTGGATACAACAGAACCCAATACGGAGTATGGAGAACACAACCTAGCACTTTTGAAGCGTACAACTTCTGCCAAAAACGACACCGAGGGCAATGGGCGGTGTGGTAAGCGGCGTGCCGGTACGACGTAAACAGTTGAGAGGACGGGCGGTTGCGAAATGGCCCCAGCGGTAATTCGTATTGCCTCTCATCTTGCACAATGCTGGTTGTTTTGTTCTCCCCCCATGATGTCGTCTCGAGAGACTGGACAAGACCAGCCGGTAGCCCTGCGCTGTAATTAACGGGACTGGAACCACTGATAAAGTCGTCTCAGGAAAGGGGTGCATGCCCTAATGCGAGGGGCCGCAGGTGGCCAGCCCATCACCAAGACGGAGTATGTCGAGTATGGAGAAGCCTTTCTTTGTCGTTGCGTTTCAAAAATGACGCTTTCGAGGCCGTTTCTCGTTCTCATTTTCGTCCTCGCCTTGCTGTTTGATGTGGATCTCTTGCTGGCATCAGCTCCATTACTGTTGCAACACAAGATGGGGTTGTGCGGTCGTGGCGATGTGGGTTGTGTGGATTGCGGGAGTGAGCGGAAACAGGCGCCAACGGGCAGACGAGGAGACCAAGAGACCTAGAGACCTAGAGACCTAGACCTAGACCTAGGGCAGGGTTTTGACGAGTCGTCAGGCCAAATCTGCTTTTCTGTTTCTGTGAGCGTCTTTTCATTCCATCGTCTTCTCGAATTTGTCTCATGTGACCATTTTGAAGTGCTCTGATTTGGTGACGCTTTTCCCCTCATGCAAGCGAGGCCAGCTCAACAAAGTGTCGATTCTTCCCCCGTCCCGCAGGGCAAGATGCACAGGGCGTGCAGACGTGAAGGGAGGGTGCAGTGCGTGCTGCACTGCACCGCACCAGCATGCATCCCCCATCTCATCTGCAGGTCGACGAAAACGTCCAGACAGGGGCAGCGGGGGGAGCTGGAGAGCGGGGGTGCACGAGCGTTCAGAGGCTGCTCACTGACAGATGGACAGCACACGACACGAGGTTGGGGGAGAGGGGAAGAAAAAGTGAGGAGCAAATGAAATTTGTGGCAGTACTGGTGCGTTCGAACCGTCGCCTTGCGTCGCTGTGCAGGCGGGTGTGCATTATGCATCGCGTCGAGTGGACGGGCAGATGCAGGCGTGCTGGGCGTGCTTTGTGGGACGCGATGCAAGCCGGCGGCCTTGGAAGGAGACGATCGATGTCAGCCAGCGGGGAGAAGAGAAAGAGGACGTGGGAGAGTGGGAGAGCGTGGGCGACGGCGTGGGAGACGGCCGAAGAACATTGTGAGAAACAATGCACACGGCCAGATTCGTCGTCTGTGAGTGCAGTTTTCGTCCATTCGCCCTTTCGTCTTTTCGTCGTGCCTTTCTTCCCCAGCCTTTACTCGTGGAAACAATGCAAAAGTTGCATCTTCTCCGCCTCGTTGTCGCACGGCGAAGACTCGTGATACCTTGCACCGCAGAATGAGCAGGTCATCGGAACAAACACGAGAGTGGGAGGGAGGGGAAGATGAAAAGGAGGCGCGAGAGAAGTGGTGGGGAGAGAGGGTGGCAGCTCCTGCCTCACACACGACACGCAGATGGTGACTGCCTCTTCTGGGCATTTTATTCTCCGAGTCCTCTTCGACTTCACCAGACAATAACAGAAAGAACGAGTCTTGCAGCTTCCCTTTCAGCTTCGCGAAATCATATAGCAAGAGCAGGTACGATGTGCTCTTGACTCCCTACATGGAAACAGCGCATCGGGTAGATTGCACTCTGTGGTGCCTTGAGATGGTCCTTCCCGAACCGGCATGAGAAGCTCACAGAGGCCTTCAACGCAGACTGTTCGAAATGGCACAACAAGGCACGCAAGGCTGTTGTTTTCCGAGTATGCTCTGCTGGGAACACGACAGTCCTGTCCAGTGTCCAGGGGTGGTGCTGGGCCAAAGAGCCGTCGGGCGAGCGAGCCGATTGACAGGTGCCTCAGGCGCCAGTGCTGATTGACAACTGTGAATGTGCATTGGCTCGAGAAAATGTCGTCACGGAAGGCACGCAAAAAAAAAAAAAAGAGAGAGGGCACTAATTAATAGCTGTGGGCATCGCAACCACAGCGACCGCGACACAAAAAGAAAAAAGGCTGGCTTAGCGCCGAGCAGCTCCAATGGAACTGCCAATTGACCTGCCACAGCCCACTAATCGGCCACGGCCCACGCGAGTCACGCACGCCGCCCACGCAATTGGCAACTGGCAAAACTGGCAAAACTGGCAATTGGGCAATTCGGAGGGGAGGTCCCTTGCTCTCTGCGCCGTCTCGCCCGCTCCTCTCCTCGTTCTCCGTGCAGTCACTCGTCTGTCCAACTTTCCAACACAATCACGACCGGCCGCAACGCGCTGTCTGCTGGCACCACGTCCTACGAGCCCGTTCATTCTCCGAATACTCCAAGTGCAGCGACCTCTGCCGCCTGCCAGCGACGCCGACTCTTCCCTCCTCCCCTCCTCGTCTCCCGTCCACATATTTGCCCTCCTTGCCGAGTGATCGACCGGACTCGTCTCCTCGACACTGACACGGAGAGTGACCCCGACTCTCTTCCTCTCCCTCTTCCTCGTCCTCTTCCTCTTCCTCTTTTACACACCCTCCGCAATGCCTCCCAAGCCGCGCAACCACGCGGACGACGGCCACGGCCACAACGGCGGGGGCGCGTCTGGCGCCGGAGTGGCTGCAGGCGGCGCCCACTCGTCGTCGTCGGCCAACGGCGCGCACAGCAGCCATGCAGCCGCAAGCACGGCCAACGGCGGCTCCAGCAAAGGCCGCCGTGCCGCGGCCGCGTCCAATGCCTCTGCGTCGGCCGCTACGGCCGCCGCCGTTGCTGCTGCGCACCAGCAGTCCCTCCTCCAGCAGGCCGTCCCGGCTGTCGTGCTCCCCACGGTGAGTTCGTCGTCGCGTTTGTGTCCTTTTTGTGTCCTCGCTACGCTCGCTTCCTTCTTCTTCCCGTCTCCTTTTATGTCCTCGCTGCGCTCGCTTTCTTCTTCCTCCCGTTTCCTTTTATGTCCTCGCTGCGCTCGCTTTCTTCTTCCCTCCCTCCTTTCATGTCCTCGCTGCGCTCGCTTTCTTCTTTTCCTCCCTCCTCGCTCCGCTCGTTTCGCTTGCTGACATCGCCCAGCTGCAATGGGCCGACTTTGAACGCGGCGTCCTCCACGCCTACACCCGCGCCTTCCACCTCGACGAACCCTCCTCCTTCAGCAACGACTTTGCCCGCTGGATCCTCTCGCAGCCAGGCAGCATCGGCCTCCAGTCGCCCACGATGCTGCGCCGCAAAGAGGCGCGGCGGCAGAGCAAGGCGCGCCTCGCGACGCAGGTGCGCAAGCACTTCAACGGGCAGGGCGGCCAGGAGAACGACATTGTGGTGGACTTTTTGCACAAAATACAGACGCACGAAGTGGCGCGGCAGCGGCGGCCACGGCGCATGGGGTCGAATGCGCGGGAGATTGATGGATGAGGGGGGGGACCCCTTTGTCCCTTTCTCTCTTTTTCTCTTTCTCTCCTTCTCTCTTTCTCTCTTTCTTCCTCTTCTTGTTTAGGACGGCGTTTGGGACATGCATGGTGGCCATGGCATTGCGATAGACTTGCTCTTCTTGTTTTTGTTTTTCGTCTCTTCTTTGTTGAACTTTGACCCTCTTCACCGTCTGTACCTTTTACCTTTTCTTTCTCTGGCAGGATACGAGTGCTCTTGCGTAAAAGAGGGCATGGAAATGGCCATGGAAGGGCAGGGCCAGGAACAAGCACCTGGTGATGGCCTCAGAAAGGCTGCAGAAGAGCGCCGCGTTTATGATACCACCACGATACAGAGCAGCCAATGGATACTTTATTCTATGCTTGTGCGAAAAATGAGCAGAGCCAGAGACCGCGCACTGCCCCATCGAAGCTTCCCGAACGCGCAGAACGCGATTCTCCTTCGCCGCCACCAAACGACAAGATACCTCTGGAAGTTTCGCAGAAACGACATTTTGGTGACTTTTTTGGTGCGGCAGAACAGCGCGTCACCGCCGTAGTCGGGGAGTAAAAAGAGTGGGCCCATGCGCTAGCGCGCAGAGGCGCTGAAAGTTTTAAGCCGAGTGGCCTGAGGCAACAATTGTCTACCACAAGCCACCACCCGCCAGGGCCATTAGTGCTGGCGATGGGCAAATAGGCCGCTGGGGGTCCACTGGGGACTGCCGCGGGCTGCATCGGCGAAAAACCCGACGCCAGCCAACGACAGCGCAGCAAAAAAAGTCGCCAGTCAAAAAAGTTGGCCACAAACCCGAATTCGATAAAGCGAAGCCCGAAAACAGGTTGACGACCGCAACACACGACCAACGGCCACGGGCACACGACAACACAGCAGACATCACCACCAGGGCCGCATCCAACTGTCGTGCATGCCATGAACACCAGCCTCTGGACCAAGGCGTCGCTGTCGGCCCGGCCGCTGGCGCCGGCAGCGCACGTGTGCCGAGCATCGCGGACGAAGCAGACGGCCGCCCGGCGGACGTTCTCGACGACGACGACAGCGGCCACACTCCGCTCGACATCCTCTGCGTGCTCGCAAAAGACACAGACACGCCAGCACAGCTCAGCCGCCTTCCGGCCAGCGTCCCGGCCACGGACGACGACGACGACGATAACGACGACGACAAGTACGACGACGACAAGGACAACCGCAGCCAAGACCTCCTCCTCCCCCACCTCCTCTGCCCAACGGCGGTCCTTCCATGCCACGGCCCCCGTTGCGGCCCAAAAGGACCCCTACAAGGTCCTCGGCGTCGACAAGACCGCCTCGTCCTCGGAGATCAAGAAGGCCTACTACGGCCTCGCCAAGAAGTTCCACCCGGACACCAACAAGGACGCGACCGCCAAGGAGCGCTTCAGCGAAGTCCAGTCGGCCTACGAGATTCTGTCCGACGCCAAGAAGCGCGAGCAGTACGACATGTTTGGCGCCGCCGGCTTTGACCCCACGGGCGACCCCAGCGGCGCCGGCGGTGCCCACCCGTACGGCCCGGGAGCCAATCCGTTTGACGGCGGCGGCAACCCCTTCCGTGGCGGCGGCGGCGGCTTCGGCGGCGGCTTCGGCGCCAACTTCAACTTTGAAGACCTGTTCCAGGCGTTTGCGGGCGGTGCGGCCGGCGGCCGGCGCGCGGGTGGTGGCGGCGGCGGCGGCTCGTCGTCGGCGGGCCAGGGCCGGAACCCCTTCCAGCAGGAGGTGCTTGTCGGCGACAACATTGAAGTGCAGGCCAACATCTCCTTCCTCGAGGCGGCCCGCGGCGTCACCAAGACCATCACCATCACGCCCCTCGTCACCTGCCACACCTGCACGGGCAGCGGCCTCAAGAAGGGCACCAAGCGCTCCAGCTGCCCGTCCTGCAACGGCACCGGCACGCGCGTGCACTTTGTCCAGGGCGGCTTCCAGATGGCCTCGACCTGCGGCACCTGCGGCGGCACCGGCACCGCGGTGCCCCGCGGCGGCGAGTGCCGCACCTGCAGCGGCGACGGCGCCGTGCGCGAGCGCCAGACCATCTCCGTCGACATCCCCGGCGGCGTCGAGGACGGCATGCGGCTGCGCGTCGACGGCCAGGGCGACGCCGCGCTGACGGGCCGCGCGGGCGGCGGGCCCGACTCGGGCGTCCGCGGCGTCCGCGGCGACCTCTACGTCTTTGTGCGCGTCGCCGCCGACGCCAAGTTCACGCGCGCCGGCGCCGACATCCTGCACACCGCCACGGTGCCGCTGACCACCGCCGTCCTCGGCGGCGAGGTCACCGTGCCGACCCTCGATGGGTCCGTCAAGGTCCGCGTCGCCACCGGCACCAGCACCGGCGACCGCGTCACGCTGTCCGGCATGGGCATGAAGAAGCTCGGCAGCAGCTCGCGCCGCGGCGGCAGCGGCGCCTCCGGCGACCTGCGCGTCGAGTTCCGCGTCGCCATGCCCAAGTACCTGTCCGCCAACCAGCGCACCATTGTCGAGATGCTGGCCGACGAGATGGGCGACAAGACGGCCAAGCGCATCATGAACGTCGGCCGCGCGACCGGTGCCGATGCCGGGGCCGGCGACGGCCACAAGGGGCCGGCCTCCAAAGACGACGACCCGGCGTCGCACAACAACGAAGGCTTCCTCAAGAGCATCTGGCACAACCTGACGAACCACCCAGCACACAAGCACGACGGCGATGCCAAGGACAAGGCCGGCGGGAAGGGTGGCGGGAAGGGTAGCGAGACCAAGGGGACCAAGGCCACCAAGGAGACCAAAGAGGCCAAGACGGACGAAAAGAAGGACAACGAAAAGAAGCCATAGGGCCAAACACACTCTCCGCTCGCGAATTAGATCTGCCTACCATTTCGTTTCATTTCGGCGGACAAACGCTGTCCGTCAGCATATTCCCATTCTCATGCGCCTTTTCCTCAGCTTGCATTCCGGCGGTGTTTAAAAATAAGGGAGGGGGGGGGAGGGCGTTGTCTTGTACATAAAGAAACAACAAGTGAACAAGGTTTTCAACGAATTCGTGGTGACGACAGGGATGATGGCCATCACCGCTCTTGCCCGCTTTGTTTGTTTTATAGACAGAAACCATTGGATAGAGACAACCCAAAAATCAAAATGTACTTTTATGATACCATGCGTGGAAACAGATGGAGTTTTGAATTCAGTGCAAGTCTGTATGAGCCGAGATGTCGAGATGTCGAGATGTCGTGATGATGCAAACGAAATGGCGAAATGAAAACACAAGACAGAAAATGCCACGCCGTACCCTGGACTCCTTCTTTGGTATAATGCATTGCCCACGCAAGGCAAGGAAACGAATGTGAGCCCAAAGGCACCGAAGACCAACGAAAAACGAAGAGGCAAAATGTAAAAATACAAACAAAACAGGGAGTCCTCCAAAGTGATGCAATACGTGTGCAGCCAGTCGCCACAGGAACGACAGCCACCCTAACCACCGTGGCCTGGCTGCCCGTACATGCTCGCATAGCTGCTGCCACCGCCCTGGCCGCCTGGGCCTGGCCCGCCGGGATTGCCTGGCCCGCCCCCGGGGCCGCCATTGCCAGGACCAACACGTCCAACGGACCCAGGTCCGGCTCCGTTGGGGTTGGATCCCGGGCTCGGGCCACCACCTTGGCCGGCGCCCCCTCCACCGCCGCCACCATTTCCGCTGCTGTTGTACTCGTTCTGCATAAAGAAGCTCCAGTCCATCGGGCCAAAGTCCATTGTGTCGGGCATGCTGACCCCGCCGATGATTTGGGGCGTGCCGAGGCCGTCAAAGTACTGCCCGCTGCCACCCTGGCCTTGTCCTTGTCCGCCTCCTCCCTGGCCCTGTCCACCTGGTCCACCTGGTCCGCCCGGTCCTCCTCCGCTGCCTTGTCCTCCTCCGCCCGCGCCACCACCGGGCGTCTGTGTGGCGCCGGTGGGCTGCGCGTAGACGGGTCCGTGTACTTGGTGCTGTGCGTGTTGGTGCGCATGCTGGCGTTGCTGGTGTTGGTGTTGTTGGTGTTGTTGAAGCAGCGCATGTGGATGTGGTTGATGTAATTGGTGTGTTTGATGTGATTGGTGTTGTTGTTGCTGCTGCTGCTGCTGCTGCGCCGCGGGCGGCGAGGATGTCGTCGACGAGGCCGACGACGGATGCAGACCCTGCGCAAGCTGCTGCTGCTGTTGTTGCTGTTGCTGTTGCTGTTGCTGTTTCCGAGATACCGGCTCCTCCATAACAATCTCCTCCTCGGTTCGGCTACCGACGCTCCCAATGTTGTTGCTGCTGTTGCTCGTTGTCGGCAGCGGCCGTTGCGGCGGCGCACCAGAAGCACCTCCAAGTGCCCCCACCACTCCTTGTTGCTGCTGCTGCTGCTGCTGATGCTGATGCTGATGCTGATGCTGATGCTGCTGTGCGATGCTGGCGTTGATCTTGGGCATCGTCTGCCGCAGCAGCTGGATGAACTTGGGCGCCGTGCGCGTGCGGCCCGCCTGCGCCTCGGCCGCCTCGTGCGCGTCCCATGCCTTGATAAACAGCCCGCCAAAGGCCACGTGGATGGGGCTGCGCAGGTTGCGGATGAGCCCGCGGCGGTCGTGGTTCTCGGTGATGGCGGCCCACGCGCGCTCGACGAGGTCGCCCGACTTGCGCGTGCGCAGCTCAATGACGATGAACATGTACGCGGGGAAGGGGAAGTGCATGTACGTGTACCAGGCGAACCCGCGCAGGCTGTCGGCGCTCTGCATGATGTTGTCGTACTCGACCATGTTGATCGCCTCGATGAACAGCGTGTCGCGCTCGGCGTCGTCGACGACGGGCGGCGCCGGCGCCGGCGGAAGAGGGGCCGGCGGGACCAGATGGGTCTGCGTGTGCGAAGGTGGCGGCGGCGGACCGTAGGCAGTCGTGGGCGGACCCATGCCGCCGCCCATCATCATGCCACCCGGACCTCCACCGCCGCCGCCGCCGCCGCCGCCACCCATCATCATCCCGCCCATGCCACCCATCCCTCCCATCATGCCACCCATGCCGCCCATCATGCCGCCCATGCCGCCCATGCCGCCCATCATGCCACCCATCACCCCCCCCATTCCGCCCATCATGCCGCCCATCATGTTGCCCATGCCGCCGCCCATGCCGCCCATCATGTCATCCATGTCACCGCCCATCATGCCGCCGCCCAGACCACCGCCCATGCCGCCCGGTCCACCGCCAAAGCTGCTCATCCCGCCCATCGGGCTGAATCCGCCTTGGCTGTGGCTGCTGTTCATGGGTGTGGCGGCGTCGTTGGACGACGGCGAGCCGGAGGCGCCGCTGCCGTTGTTGTTGGCAGCAGCGGCAGCGGCAGCGGCGGCGGCGGCGGCGGCCGGCCCATTGCGGGCCAAAAAGTTGATGACGCGCATTTTCGAGAGGGCCTGGCGGGTCATCATGAGCGTGAAGAAGTGCATGGGGATCTTGGGGTCGCAGGACTTGAGGTACGTGTTTTCAATGTAATTGTAGTAGCTCTCGGGGTCGCTGGGCAGCGTCTGGTTGACAATGTGGGTGACGACGTCGGGCGAGCTGGGGCTCGGCGAGTAGTGGAACTTGCGGGTCGCGGCGGCAACCGTAGCGGCGGCACTACCCGGCGGTGGGGCTGGGTTGGTGGAAGGAGCGGCCGCGTTGTTGGCGCCAGTCGCGCCTGCCGCGGAAGACGACGGGTTGCCCCCGCCGGACGCTTGTGCCGACGGCGCGGAGGCGGGCGAGCCGCCGCTGGCGTTGCTGTTGCTGCCGGAGCCGCTACCACCACCACCACCACCACCACCACCACCACCAGCATTGTTGCTGTTGTTGCTGCTGTTGTTAGTGCCGGTCGTGGTGGTGGCAGGGTTAGCCGCGCCGCCCGCCGCCGCATGGGGCGGTCCGCTGTCGGGCGATCCGGCGGCGGTGCACATCTCGACGCGGGTGAGGCAAAAGAGCATTTCGGTGGGGCCGACATAGGGCGTGGGCGCGTCCTTGGCGTGCAGGTGCAGGTCGGTGTCGTTGATGTTGAGGGGAAACTTGGTGTCGGCGTGGCTCGACGAGAGGGCCGTGATGGTGGAGCCGGTGATCTCGGCGATGCGCTTGTCGAAGACGACAATCTGCCACCACAGGCGGCGGCGCAGCTCGACCTCAAAGGGCGGCAGGCCGAACTGGGTGCCGTCGCGGTGCAGGCCCAGGCGCTGGGCGATGCGCACAGCAATGCCAATCAGACAGAAGAGCGAGCGCGGGTCGACGTACTGGCGCACGCAAATCTGCGACTGTTGGTATGTGGGCAGTGCGATGGGAATTAGACTTACTAGGTAGAGGAAGTACGCCTGCAGCACGACGAGGTCGGGGCTGCGCATGAAGCCGGCGTTGATGAGCGCCTGCTGCGCGGCGCGGTGGTACCGCGACAGCAGGCGCGCCTTCTCCTCGTCAAACGTGCTCTGCACGTCCTCCTCGCTCATCGACGTAATGGCTATAAAGTAGATGGAAAACATGAGCGCCTCGAGCGGCCGCGGGATCTTGGCCACGTTGGCGCCCGCCTCAATGATCTGCGCTTGCAGCGTCTGTGTGTGTGTGACCTTGAGCAGAGGGTTGACGTTGGTCAGGTAGATCTGCCACAGCTGGAAGATTTGGATGCCGGGCGGGTGGTGGTCCGTCACCTTGGTCGTCTGGCCGCCAATGACAAAGGGAAAGCCGTCTTGGTTGTCAAACATGCTGTCAAAGGCGTGGTGGATGGTGGAGCCCTCGAGCTCGTCGTCGGACGAGTCGTCGTCGTCCCGCAGCGTGTCCTCGTTGGACGAGCGGTACGACCACTTGAGGCGCTCGGCCGTGGCCGCATTGGCCTCGGACGAGTACTCCTGGTTGCTCGACGACGGCGACGTCTTGAGCCCGACCAGGTCGTTCTGCAGCTCGTCGACCTCGTCAATCGTCGAGTGGTGGCCGCCATGGCCGCCATGGCCGCCATGGGACCCGTGCGAGGCATGTGCCGATGCATGTGCGTCGTACACGGGGTCAAAGGACACGCCGTGCTGGGCCAGCAGCGCCTCGTACTTGCGCAGGCGCTCGACCAGCTCGCGCTCGTGCGGCTTCTTCTTGCGGCGGCGCGGCGGCTGCGGCGGGACAACGCGGCACTCCACTTGCGCCTTGACGCAGTTGGCGCACGGCTTGTTCTTGTCGCACCGCACCTTGCGCTGCTGGCACAGCACGCACGAGTGGCCGCGCGTCAGTTTGTTGACGACGGCGGCGTCGGCGGCCGACATTTGCGGCAACAGGCTGTGCTGTTGTTGTTGTTGTTGTTGTTGTTGTTGAAGTTGGTTCTGTTGCAACTGTTGGTGGCCCATATGTTGGGGGTCGGGCCCAGGTCCAGACATGCCGGCCAAGCCCGGCATGGGCATCCCTTGCGGAGAGGGTGTCTCGCCAGGGATGTCCATGGCGGGGAGTGATGTGGCTGGTTGGCTGTTGGGTAGTCTCTCGTTGTTTTTATTTGTATTGATTTTCTGTTTTTCTATTTTTCTGTTTTCGGTATTTTTTTATTTTTTTCTTTGTATTTTTCTTTGACTTCTTGTACCCCAAGGCGTGGAGACGACTCGAAGCCGTGAGATCACGGAACAGCCGGTGCTGAGGCCGTACCTCGCAGCGACGCACCACGGGCCGACGCTCGGGAGTCGAACGGGTTGAGCCGTGGACAGGGAGCGCGGGCGTATGTAGATCGAAGACTCGAGGACAAAAAGAACGGACGCTCGTGTGCTTGCTGGCCAAGAGACAACAAGGGACTGAAGTGACGGTCTTCGGGTTAGCTGAGGCTCAGTTTCGGATCCGAAAGAAATGACAGGGCGAGAGAGACAAAAAAAAGACGAAAACGTCCAGATCAAGCGAGGGGACGGGGCGTCAGGGCGACAGGATCTTGGGGCCTGGCCAGGGCAGGGCAACGCAGGGTAGGAAAGGGCAAGCCATGTGAGGGAGGGCAAGGGGTGAGGGGCAACACGGAGGCAACGCGGAGCAGACAGGTCGATGGCAGAGGCAGACGTGGACTTTGACAAACGTGGGCACGGAACGACCAGGCGTTGGCACCGCTTTAAAGGTAGAATGAAAGTATACCACAAGTAGACGGGGGGGTGTAGAGTGAGCGAGTGTGCAAGGAAAGAGGCACAGAGAAATGAGGCACAGAGAAACAGAGAAACAATCTAATATCGAGGCCGTCCGAGTCCCGCTTTGTAGATTAAGCGGCCATGGCTCTGGATGCAAGAGACAAGGATGGCCAAAGGTGAGGGAGGCAAAGGGCGATCCAGGCCAGTTGGGTCAATCCATGGTCAGTCGGCTCCCGCTGGGGAACATGCAATATAAAAGCCGGACCTCCTTCGTCCTGGCCAGACTTGATCTTGTGATGGTGTCTCGTCTGGCTTTAGGGGGCTGATTTGCTCGCTCCGCACGCTCTACTGTGTTGAGGAAGACAAAATGCCTTGTTTCTTCTTGTTGTTCAACGTACCTTGACAAGCTCACGAAGAGTGAGAGTTTTGGACCAGATGGCCGATGACAGAAGACAGATGATGGATGACAGACGAAGATGCAGAAAAGACGGCGGGAGACGAGTTGTCGATAAGATGTGGCAACTAAAAGTCGACGATCGAAGAACAGGCGAATGCTCAGAGGTGACACACACACACGCACATTCAAAAGGTTCAAAAGAAGAATATTCAAATGTTAGACGGCTTTGTAGCTCTGCTTGTTGGCTGTCTCCGTTTTTCTTCTAGGAAAGGGCAATATTCAACAAAAAAGGGTGCAGAAAAGGGTGCTGCGGGAAGGGAGGCGGGCTGGGGGGACAAAAAATTGAATTAGAAGAGAGGAGAGAGAACAAAATGGTGTCAAGAAAGAGAGGAGGGCACTGGATGGGAGAAGACAAAAACAGAGACAGTCAAGCAAAACGCCAGACAAGGCCAGATGGCACCCGGGCGGCAGATCAAAGAGGCAAGCAGGCAGAAAAGACCAAAAAGGGGGAGGAGGGGGGTTCGAGGACGCGGCAGGAAGGCGATCGTCGGAGGGTCGTGAGCCAATGGAGCGAGGAGTCGAGGAGAAGGGGCGACGTAAAGCGTCTCGATTCTGTGGCTGCGGCACAGCGGTGTCTCGAAACAGAACGGAATGGGAGAGGGGTGAGCGCAGGACGCGGGACACGGACGCGGGACGTGTGGCGAAGGCAGGCCGTCTAGGAAACAGAAAACGGGTGGAAGACGCAACCTAGATTCTAGAAGCACAAGAGAACGGTCCAAGGTGGAGCAGCAGTCAACGGGCAAGCGGCGCAGATAGTTATGCGTGTAATGAATCGGTGTGACGATTTGTGTCGATGTGAGCATTGGAGCAGACTCACACGACACGGCACAACACGCTCAACACCGGACGGCAGCAGACTGCCAAGCAGCAAAAATAATCAACAGAAAATAAAGAAAGAAAAAGAAAAGAAAAAGAAAAGAAAAAGAAAAGAAAAAAGAAAAAGGAAAGAAAAAGAAAAAAGTCAACAAACCGTCGTCGCTTCTTCACCACTTTACCACCTCATCAACGTCAAGCATCAACAACACGACGCCAACAAAGCCGTTGGATTCACACCGTATCACGTCGGATCGGATCGGATCGGCTCACTGCTCCACGGTGTAAGTCAAGTGGCCAGGACATGGTGCTTCAGGGATTGTGCACGCCGTTTGTTTAGTCGATCTGCACTTGCACGACTCCAGGTCCCGGGTTCAAGTGCCTGCACAGTACATTGTACGCGCTCCTTCAGACAAGGAGGACAATTCCAGACAATTCCAGATATGGCAAGACATGACAGGAATAATGGCCAAAGATGGACAAGACCAGGAACAGCTAGTCCACGTGGAATGATATGGAGACGTGATACCCCATAGGGTGGAGCCACTTCATAGGTTCGGGTACAGATAGTCTCCGAGCAGAGGCAGGAGGATGTTGTACAAGGACGTCAGACAAGCAGACAGAATGGAGAGCAGACAAGTAGAACAAAACAAACGCAGCCAGTCGGCGCAGCTGCCGGGATGCAACCAGGCCAGACAAGGACATGCAACCAGGCCAGCAGGCCAGCAGTCAAAAGGATGAGTAAGTTTTAAACCCACAAGATACAAAGAGGGACAAGACAAGCCACCGCCCACACAATGTGGAACAACAGGGCGTGAGGGAATGAGGAGAAGGTGACATAAGGGGACATAAGGGGCCAGTCCTCTGCATCGACACCTTCACTGTGGAACGCCGAGCGGTTGAGAGACACAGACAAGATCCAGAGTGCATCGTACCAGAAACCGTACCAAAAAACAAAAGACAAAAAAGACGTCAACTTACACAAAGGGCTTCCCGTCAGCCGCGTGCAGTGAAGCTCCTTGGCTGGAGACGACAAGACGGTCTCGAGGCGCGTGCTGTCAAACGCGTCAGTATTGTGCATGCATTGTTGTCCTGCGGCCCTGTGGCCCTGTGGCCCTGTGGCCCTATGGCCCTGTCGCCTTGTAGCCCTGTAGCCTTGTAGCCCTGCAGAGGCCGATATTAAAGACATGCCGTTCACGCAGCACGACAGCACGCAAAGCAACACAGTCGTACACTCTGCGTACGGTACATACAATGATCACCGGTAGGACGCGGGATCGCGTACCGCGGTGCGTTCGTAGTCAGCAAAAAAAGGGAGCCGTTAGGGGAGCCGTTGGGAGGGAAGCCAAGCGTGGAGAGGAGAGGAGTTGAAAAGTGCCGTCTCGCTCCCGAGACGGGCAGCTGCGCGGAACAGAAGGGAGGGATGGGGTGAAGTGGCGCGGGGCAAGAAAAGGGTAAAGAGCAGCAAAGCGGGCGACCAGGGGCGTGGGTTAAGCAACGAGAAAGAGCAGAAATCAAGACAGAGAGAAGGATGGGAAAGTAGAAGAAACGGTTGTAAACGGTTGAAAGGCGGTCCAGAGGTGCAAACGAGACACGCAGGAAAGCGTGTCGAAAAAGGCTGGTTGTCGAGTTTGAGAGTGCACGAAGAGAGGGGTGCCGGTTGGAAAGGAGACGGGTGAGGATGCAGGAAGATACGACGTGCTGTTTGCTCGGTTTTCGTCTCTTTTTTCGTCTCACTCTCATTCTCACTCTCTCTTCTCTGTTTTTTCTTTTCTTTTTTTCTTCCTTTATCTTTTTTTTTCTTTTGCAGCTCGCTTGTCTCCCCTTCTCGTACCCGTCGTTTCCCTCCTTTCGTGCTCTTTCCTCTCCCCTTTCTTCTCCTCTTTCGACGCACCTTTGTGAGCCACCCGCTGGTCGTTGGGGGCCAGCTTTGAGGGGTGACGAGGAGCTTGAGGGCTCCTGTATGCTTCTGTAAGCAAAAGGGTGCTCAGCGTCGCGTTCCGACTGCAAGTGAGGTGAGAGGTGCCAGAGACCGACCGTGTGTATTGCACAGTGTGGCATTAAAGCACTGTCGCAGCAGGGGTGAGCTTTGAAGCTGGCGAACGTCGAGAGGGTCGACAGGGGCAAATGGGGACTCGGCAGCTGGACAGGTCGGGCGGTTAAATCGTTCGGTCCCGAAAGAGAGTTTCAGATGGCCGGCTGGATTTTAAGTGGGGCATAGTTCACAACTCTCAACTACGAAGTACGACGTTCAGCGAACTTGTATGAGGAAAGGGCGACCGTCGATAAGGCTAGAATGGAAAGAGCGACAAACGAAGGGATGGCAGGTGCGAGGGGCCAGGAGCAACGGGGGAAGAACGGGACAAGAACCAGGCAAGAACGCAGTGCAGCGCACGCAAACAAAGGAAAGAGCGACACACTCAAATTGGCCACCATAAAAGACAGCTATTAAGTTGGACGGTCAGTCAACACGACGTAATCTCAACCTCAGCAGTCCAACTCTGCGTGTCCGCGGTTTGTCTTTGCAACCAGTGACAGCTGTTACTGTCGTCCAGTGTCGTTCAGTGCTGTTCAGTACACAGTATGAGACTCTGTGGTGACTGGTTTGCATGGCAGTTTCGGGTGCGCTAAGCTTAATTAGGAATAGACTCCCCGGCTATGAAGGCTATTTACGGGTCCGATGGGGAAGTTGGGACGTTGAGCATTGCCGCATAAGTACGGAGTCCTTTTACAACGGCATGCTGAGGTCCCAATGGGAAGGTTGGCTTTCCTATTTGGCCTTTTTCTTTGGGGGTTCTTTTTCTGTACTTCGTTTCCCGTTTTGGGACCCTCACGTCATCGTCAGTGCATAAAACGGACACGAAATGGAGATGTGTCGATCGAGAGAGCTTCTCGCCGGGAGGTATCTCAGCCGGTTGGAAAGATCTGGGGCAACGGGACGTTGAGATGTGGAAGGTGAGGCTGTTGACTTGTTGTATGGACCGTGTACCTTATGCTGAAACTGGAAGCTTGTTTTCTAGTATTAAATGCGAGGGCTTTCTTTACTATTTTATGTCTTTTTTTTCTTCTTTTCATTTTCTTTTTTTTCTCTCATCTCCTCTGTGTTGTGTACGTGCTTTATGTATTTATGCCCAGCATATCCCCGGCGTCGTGCCCGCCCGTCACCACAATATACGGCGGACATGTTCTCCTGCCCTATTCAATTTGCATGGAGTATTGTCAGTGCACAAAATATTTGGGCATGGAATAAATCAAAGAGAGAGGAACAGAAAAGAAACAGTGAGGAACAGAGAGGAACATCAACGAAACCGGGATCCATTCCTCTCCGTCGTGGCCGATCCTCTGCATGCCAACCTGTTCACCTGCATGTCGTCTGCATGCAAACCTACAGCTGCAGCCTTTCAATTCTTTTTCTTTTTTCCTTTATTTTGTTCTTCTTGCCTTTTCCAGTTCTTGCCCTCGGACTGCTGTACATTCTTTATTTCTTGGAATGTCCATCTACTCTTACGCATCCCCATCCTCCTGCTTTTATCCTTGGCCTTGCCGGCTTCCGCTCTCCACTCCCCCTTTTCTTTCCCGTTTTGTTCCCTTCACTCTCCATTCTCTCACCTCGTGCCGTCCTTCTCACGTCTCTTCCTGTTCCTGTGCTCTTATTTTGGCCCTTTCTTCTTCCCTTTCCCATGTCAATGCCTCACTGCCTGCCATGATCGTCAACACACCCTCCTCTTCCATTTTGCCTTTGCGTTTACCTGTTCGCGCGGCCGTTCTGTCGCTCTCGCACTTTGCAAAGAGCCCGAGGACGATGATCGAATTTAGATTGATAGATTGATAGATTGAGTCCACAACGACGAGGCGCAATCACGGTGATGTGTCGTTCTATTTGGGTTGTCTTTTTTTCTCCGACCGACAAACGACACAGCCGTAGAAGAAGAACTTTTTGATTTATAAAGAGCGTCGTCCGGGTCGTCTCCTTGGTCTATTTCCGTATCTTTTTCTTTAATTTCGTTTCTCTCATCTCTCGTCTCTCGTCTCTCGTCTCTCGTCTCTCTCCCCTGAGGTTTGTTTCTCATGTCCTCGTTGGCTATCACCTCACCGTTCTTACATCCAGACTTAACTTCATACAAAGACCCATAGTCAACTTCATACAAAGACCCATATCAACTACATCTACACCCGTATCCACCTCACGCACCATACGCCGTCTACGCCGTGCCACTCCACTCCTCTACGCCCGCCGTCCTCATTCGCCTCGCACTCCTTTCGGTCGTGCCCACACGCCTCCTTCCCTCGCCTACTTATATAGTACCACCGCGCAATATAGCCATATAGTCCGGCATCCCAAACAGACCAAGCGACATAAACGACACACGGTACTCTTTCGGTGCACTTTGCCCGTCGGGCCTTTCTCTCTCGCTGTCGTCCGTCTGCCAATCCGTCTTCGTCCTGTATACAGGCTTGCATCCTTTTTCGGCTACTCGCTGTCCTGTTCGTCTCCCATCTCCGTAGCGGACGCTCGGCTCTCCACCCTGACGGACGCTCTACACGAATCGACTTTTCTAGTTTGACCTCTGGTTCTTCTCATCAACTACGGCATCCTTATTCCTCTACCCATCCCCTCCCATAGACACTCGACAAGACACACTTGCGGCCCATCTCAGACAGAAGCTGTCTTGTGTACAGTGGTTTCGTGTTGTCTGCTTCTGTCGGCGGCCTGCATCTCATCAATCTCGTACTTTTCGTCGATCTTATCCATGTCGTCTTAAGTGGTGTTTCTTGTCCGTGTTTGCATCCTTTCCTTCCTCCTTCCTCACGCCTTTGCTTGCAGTCCAGGCTTCAAGATGAGCGGAAACAGCCAGTTTCACCCGCCGCCACAAGCCCGGTCCTCGCAGCAGTCACAGCAGTCACAGCAGTCACAGCAGTCGCAACGGTCACAGCAGTCCAGGTCGTCACAGTCCATCAGCAGCGGCCAGACGACAGAGATTGAGATTGAACGGTCCGACGTGGAGCTCAGCGATGCCACGGACGTCGAGAAGCTGGCGTCTGTGCCGGAGACGAAGGGGCCGTTTGGCGGACCGGGACCAACAGGCGGCGGACCTCTCGGACCTACAGGGCCTTCAGGGCCTTCAGGACCTCCAGGACCTCCCGGACCTCTAGGACCTCCCGGCGCCAACAACCTCTTCCAGCCCAAGAGCGTCAAGTTCTGGATGATCCTGCTGTCCAACTTCCTCGCGCTCTTCCTCGTGGCGCTCGACCGCACGATTGTCGCCACCGCCGTGCCGCGCATCACCGACGACTTCCACAGCCTCGGCGACATTGGCTGGTATGCGTCGGCGTACATGCTGACGACGGCGGCGTCGCAGCTCCTGTTTGGCCGCATCTACAAGTTCTACTCCATGAAGTGGACCTTTCTGCTGTGCGTCGTCGTCTTTGAGATTGGCTCGGCCATCTGCGGCGCCGCGCCCACGTCGGCCATCTTCATTGTGGGCCGCGCCGTCGCCGGCACCGCGTCGGCCGGCATCTTCTCGGGGTGCATGCTCATCATGGTGCCGATGATCCCGCTGCACAAGCGGCCCATGTTCCAGGGCCTCTTTGGCGTCGTGTTCGGCATGGCCTCGGTCATCGGCCCGCTGATTGGCGGCGCCTTTACGAGCAGCGGCCTGACGTGGCGCTGGTGCTTCTACATCAACCTGCCCGTCGGCGCCTTTACGCTGCTGTTTATGGTCTTTTTCTGGAACCCGCCGGCGCGGCCGACACCGCCGGCGCGTCCTGGCCACGGCCCTCAGGGCCCCAAGGCGACGGTGCTCACCCACATCAAGCGCCTCGACCCCATCGGCACGGCGCTCTTCCTGCCCGGCATCGTCAGCCTGCTGCTGGCCCTCGAGTGGGGCGGCTCCAAGTACCCCTGGAGCAGCTGGCGCATCATTCCCTTGTTCATCCTGTTCGGCGCCTGCATGGTCGCCTTTGCCGTCGTGCAGGTCATGCTGCCGGACACGGCCACGCTGCCGCCGCGCGTCGTGCTGCAGCGCAGCGTCCTGTCCGGCGCGCTCTTTACCTTTTTCCTGTCGGCCTCCATGCTCATGCTCGTCTACTACGTGCCCGTGTGGTTCCAGACGGCCAAGATGGTCAACCCGCTGCGGTCCGGCGTCTACACCATCCCCCTCGTCCTGAGCCTCGTCGTGTCCAGCATCGGCTCGGGCATCGTCACGCAGAAAATCGGCTACTACGTGCCCTCCATGCTCCTCGCGCCCGTCATCATGTCCGTCGGCGAGGGGCTCATGAGCACCTTCACGCCCGCCACCGGCTCGTCGCACTGGATCGCCTTCCAGTTCGTGGCCGGCTTCGGCCTCGGCTTCGGCATGCAGATTGGCAACCTGGCCGCCCAGACGGTCCTGCGGCCCGAGGACATCTCCACGGGCGTCGCCATCATGTTCTTTGTCCAGCAGCTCGGCGGCGCCGTCTTCACCACCGTCGGCCAGACCATCCTCAGCAACCTGCTCGTCGGCCAGCTCAAGGACGTGCCCGGCCTCGACACCGCCGCCATCGTCAACGTCGGCGCCACCGAGCTGGCCAGCGTCGTCCCGCCCCAGTTCCTGCCCCTCGTCATCGACGCCTACAACTTTGCCTGCACGCGCATCTTTTTGACGAGCATGGGCCTCGCCTTTGCGTCGCTCGTCTGTGCGTTTTTCATGGAGTGGCGGAGCATCAAGAAGCCCCCCGGCGGACCGGGTGGACCGGGTGGACCGCCAGCCGGGGGGCCGGGCCCGGGACCAGGCCCTGGTGCCCTCCGCGCGCCTGGTGCTCCTGGCGGCCCCAGTGGTCCCGGCATTCCCGCCGGCCTCGGCCGCCCACAAATGGTCATGACGACGGCACCCACCGTGGACCCAAAGACGGCCTCTGTGGTCTCCATCCGCAACTCCTTTGGTGGCACCCGCACCTCGTTTGGCAGTGGTAGTGGAGGAGGAGGAGGAGGAGGAGGAGGAGGAGGAGGAGGAGGGGGTGGTGAAAGGGGACGAGCCCTCTCTGTGTCGGCCACAACGGCCGTCAACAGTGACGAGCCGGTGGTGGCCAAGAAGGAGTCGTCCGAAGAGCCAGAGACCGAGGCATCACAGACCCAGGCCCAGTCCGCGCCGCTCGATCCCAAGATCGTCAAGGCGCGCCAAGAGGCCGAGGCCAAGCTGCGCCAGGCCCGCCGCGAGTCGGATCCCAGCTATGTCAAGCCACGCCGGAATTCCGTGCGTCTGTCCAAGGTAAACAGAACGAGCCTGACCTACGAGTAGGGGTCGAGAGCTGTTCTGGTTTCCTGTTTCTTTTTACTTTTGTTCATATGGTACTGCTATCCAATTCATGTTATGGCATCTATTTTTAATCTATTTTTGGCGGAGGGGTTTTGTTGTACAAAGACAGGCAACCCAAACATACTGAAAATACTAAACATGAATTATACGGCCGACAACAGGGACTTTCCATATCAAGCAGACTTGGAACGGTGATAACTGTAATCGACTTTTGGGTCGATAGTCCTTTGGCATCTGACGAATTGGATTGGATAGAAATGGACGAGTCCCAGAGCCCGGAGAAGCGGCCTTTCGTGGTCCCGACATGTCCGGTGCCAAGAAAGATGGCTTCAGCGTGCGGTACAGTGCGCTCTACGGAGACGACGGAGCGCACAGAGGAAATCTATTTCATGTTGGCACACCCTCGAGGGGCGTGCGCCGTGGCCCGCGTGTTTAAATAGCCACGGATTCTGCCACGGTATTGCAGGGGATAAAGTCGATAATGGAGGGTCGCCTACCTGGTAAATTGTGTGAAGGATGAGCAGATAAATGAAGAATGAGGTAACTTAAAAAGAAAAAGAGAAAAGAAAAAAAAGGACGGCCCGCAATCATGGCATAACACGATAAACAGGGGAGAGGCTGTGATGGAGATCACGGACATTGGCTTGCACATCATGGCGGAACTGTGCGTCTGTGCATCGATGTGTTTTATGGGTAATGATGCTTGATATTCAAAAAAAGGATCGACTCGAAAACAAAGTCATGTAGGTTTGTCATGGCAAGAGGGAAGCAAATAGAACAAAAGCAGCCGCTGAAGAACTAGACCAAAAAAAGGTAGTAATTCGGATCCCATCGGGCATTGGCACAACCACCCCGCCCACGCCCCGCCTAGACAAGCTTCCATGAACAAATGGCCTGCATGGACATGCTGCAGCGCCCCATGCGCGCACGGTAGTCGGCCATGGTGGCGCCCCGCAGGTCGCGCCCGTCCATGGTCGTGATCGCGTAGCAGAACAGCATGTCGCCCGGCCGGCCCAGCCGCCGCCGCGGCACGTCGGCCCAGAACCACAGCGGCTCGTCAAATTCCACATCAAACATCTCGCTGTCGTCGCCGCCGCCACCGCCCCGCCGCTGTCCGTCGGGCGACACCGACTTGAGCATCATCGGGTACGGCCGCAGCCCTTGGCCGCCCTCGGCCATGGTCCAGTGGCGGCACGCGCGGCCCAGCCGGAACGCAATGCGCTCGTTGGGGTCGCCGCGGCTGACCTCAATCTCCTGGCTGGCGGGCGCCATGGACTCCTGGGCAATGAACTGCTGGGGCCCGTTGGAGTACAGGATCACGGGGTCGGCCGCCATCTTGTCCACGACGTACTCGGCCCACGTGGGCACGCGCCCGTCGGCGCGGAAAAAGTACCGCGGGTTGTCGGGGAAGTGGCGCTCGCCAAAGGTCTCGTTGTCCATGGTGAACATGACGGGGTTGAACTTTTTCTCGTAGCGCTCGGCGCGCTTGTCGGAGACGTTGCCGGCGCCCCAGCAGGCGTCGAGCAGCTTCCAGTCGCCGCCGTCGATGCGGACGGCGTTCCACGCGTGGCCCGTCGGGTCGGCGGGCGGCACCGGGTCGCCCGGCCGCACGGTTTGGAACCCAAAGCCTTTGCCGTGGCCCGTGACCACCACACACTCGAGACCCGCCGCCAGCGCCAGCGCCTCGTACACGCGCGCGTAGCCCTCGCAGACCGCCTTGCCCGAGAAGATGCGCTCTTCGATGGACTGGCCGCGGGGAATGCACCCGCCAAAGAAGCCGTCCACGTCGTAGGCAATGTTGTGGTGGCACCACGTAAAGATGGCGCGGGCCTTGTCGGTCTCGGACGGGAAGTCGTCGCACAGGTTGTGGGCTAGGTAGCCGACAGGATCACGGCGCGGCAGGCGGGAAATGGGGAACTGCGCGGCGACCGTGTCCGGGCCAGAAAAGTCGCGGCACTTCATGCACTCCTCGTCTTCGCTCTTCTTGGGGTAGAATCCGGGCAACCCGCCGCCGCCGCCGCCGCCGCCGTTGGCGCGTGGACGCGGTCGGGTCGGCAGACTGGGGCGATCGTCCGAGTTGTCGTCGTAGTTTTTGTTGTTGCTTTTGTTGTTGTTGTTGCCGCCGCCGCGGACCGCTGCGTCGACAAGAGCACGCGACGGCCGCGGGGCAAGTGGTGGAGGTGCGTCGTCGTCTTCTTCAGGAATGTCGTCCCGCCGACGGTTATTGTAGCTGCTGCTGTTGTTGTTGTTGCCGTACGGAACTTGCTGGGGTCCCGGTCGTCGGGGCTGCGACTTGCCCGAGCTGAAACCCAAGTCCAAAGCCGACTTGACCGTGTTGCGTCGGGAAGGAAGGGCCGGTGCCGGGCCCTCGTCGTCGTCGTCGTTGTCCAAGTCGCCTGTGGGCCGCCGTGGAGGTAGGCGTGGCGGCAGGGCCGGTCCTTCGTCGTCGTCCTCCAACCGCGGACGGCGGCCACCACCGGGACGGGATGGGAGTGCCGGTGCGCGTTCGTCGTCGCGTCTGTCGCGGTCATTCCAGTTGCGTCCGCTGTCACGCTGCCGGTCGTTCCAGCCGCGGTCCTGGTCCCTCTGTCGGTCCCAGTCGCGGGGGCGTTCGTCTCGTTCCCGGTCCGCCCGCTCGCGTTCGTCTCGCTGCCGCTCCCGCTCTCGCTCCCGTTCTTCCTGCTGCCGTTCCTGCGCCTCCCTCTGCCGCTCCGCCTCTTCCCGCTCCTTGGCCTCGCGCTCGCGCCTCGACGGCGGCAGGTCCGGCAGCTTGGTCGTGCCAAACGCTGGTGGCAGCTTCCGCCCGCCCACGTTTGCATTGCCGCTGCTGACCACCGAGTTGCTCGTCACCGACGACACGCGGCTCAATGTCGTGTTGGTCGACAGGTGCGACCGCACGGACTCGGACGACGGGCGGCGGTCGACAAGCGACGCAGACGTGGCGGCGCGCTGCAGCGCACCCACGGTGACGGTGGCGGTGGCCGTCGCCGACCGTGGAGGCAGCTTGGGCGGTGGGCCGCGGAGACCGGCAGCCATAGCGGGCGGCGGCGAGGTGTAACTGGGGCTGGAGACGTCTGGCTTGGGGACGATGGGTTTTGTCCCAACCGGTTTCGCGGGCTTGGCTGGGATCGCAGGCTTTGTGGGCGGTGGGGGCGGCGGACGACGGGCGCCGTTTGTGGTCGTTGTGTTGGCGGTCGACGCGGTCGAAGCAGCAGATGACGACCGGACGATCGGCGGCGGCGTGGATGCGGCGGGCGGTCCGGAGCTGAAGTTCTTTTGCTTGTTGAGTGCGGCGATGCGCTCGGCCAGCGTCGAGAACTGGGGTTCCTCTACTTCCGTCATGGTGGCGGTAGGGGCGGTGGTCGAGGAGTCGACGAGTCGAGGCGAGTGATGATAACTGCTTTAATAAAGATGCGGTCGAGGAGGTGAAAGGGTGAAGGGCGAAGGGTGAATTGATGTCAGAGGTGACGAGGTAAAGCGATGGAGATGTCGGCGTCGACGACAGCCGTTGTCGAGTGAGGCAGTAACGAAGGAACGCTGCCGTGATGCACGATCGGCAGCACAATACACCATACAACGAGTAGATGAAACAATAATGGATGGGCCAAACAAGAAACAAAGAAACAAATGTGGAGGAGGAGGAGAGGAGGAGGAGAGGAGGAGAGGAGAGAAGGGAGACACGACGAACCAGGCAAAACGGCCGTTGGGTGGTGGGGTGCGGATGCGGCGCAGCAGGCAAGAGCAGGGGCGCCAAGGGCTGGCTTCGTTGGATTTGGAAGCCGCAACGCCACTGGTCAAGTACGGAAGGCGCTGAGGGTGCTGTAAGGCGCTGGGGCTGGGGCGCTGGGGCAGGTGCCAAGGGCCCAAATTGGTGTTTAACTCCTGTACGATGATCCTTAGGTAAGGGCCAGGCCCAACAATACGAGAACCTGTGGCTGGGCGACGTGTACTCTTTTCGTCGTATTTACTGAGACATTCATTTTTCTATCTTTCTTTGCAAGTATTTTTCAAGTATGATTTGGTACAAGTCCTGTTTACTGTGCGATCTCCGAGTTTGTGGCCTTATGGTCGCTCTTTCCTTGTGGTCGCTCTCTTTGAGGCCGCACAGCTTTCCAACTTGGGAAAGACAAAAACGTCCCGCAAGGCAAGCACGATCTGCGGGCGTGGAGGCGTGGAGACGACAAGCAAGAGCAACACGGCCGACCCGCTAGCGCCGTAACTTCAGTGGGGCCCAACACGTGCTCAAGAGATATCAAGATGTTCTGCATTGCATCTACATCCGTCGTCTCGGTAATCTTCAGATCGTCCTCTCGCGAATCGACTAGTTTATCCTGTGGATTGACCTTGGATGGCTACTTTGTAGTTGCTACCATTATTTACTGCGGATATTCCGTCTATTGAACGTCACCGGTCCACCGATTCAACTTGTCGACGAGTGTCTTATATCTCGTCCTTTCGTCCTTTCGCAGTCGGCGCAGGAGCAGCAGGCGTGCCCTCCGTACCCTCCGAGCCCTCCGAGCCCTCCTCGGCCATTTGGCCCGTCTGCGCGACACTGGTCGCCTGGGCCAGATCAAAGTCTCCGGCCAGCTTGCTCGGCGCGAGGCCCTGCTCAATGGCGGCGACGGCGTGGGTCAGGCCGGTCGTCTCAAAGGCGGCAAAGCGCCAGGAGGCGATGATGGACTGGAACCGCTGATCAATATCCTCGAGCGTGCGGCCCGTGAGCTCGGGCATGACGAACCAGACATAGACGGCGCTGGCAAACGCAAAGGCCATCCACAGATAAACGAGCTTGGTGCCAAAGTCGGCCAGCAGGTAAGGCGTCGTGTAGACGACGGCAAAGGAGACGACGACGTTGACTGCCGAGGTCCAATACGTCCATGCCGAACAGGGCGGTGACGACGGAGACGCCGTTATTGATGGCGGCGTACGCAAAGGCCATGCGGCAGGCCATGGCGTTGTTGACCAGGCCCGCCATCAGCGAGCCAAACGCTAGGCACAGCTGGATGGACCCGACAAAGAAGCCGCGCAGGGCGCCGGGCGCAATTTCGGACTGGTACGTGGACACGGCGTTCTCGACGAATCCGACGGCCAGGTACACCAGCAGGCGGCCGACGATGAACTGGGCCGTCGTCGTGCTCGTGACCTGGACGACGACCCCAACAATCTGGATCAAACAGGTGCCGAGCATGGTGACACGGTGGCCGTAGCTCTCGACGCCGGGGCCGACGGCTAGGGAGCCGACGAGCTTGCCAAGCAGCGGCAGGCTGTTGAGCAGGGCGCTGTTTTACGTGGTGAGGGCGTAGGCATTCTTTTTGGCGCTGTACGTGCCGAACTGGCGCAGAAAGGTGCCGAAGGCCTGGACGCCGCTAAAGGACGCCGAATCGTAACCGAAGAAGACGCTGCTAAAGGCGTAGACAATGCAGATGAAGAGCAAGCGCGGTGTAGCTGTCTTGAAGGCGGCCCTGCCGACGAAGACGTTTCCACGGCCGGCCATGGTGGATGATGCGTCTACGGAGGGAATTAGGTCGATGTACGATTGTGAGAAAAGAAGGGGGAAGAAGGCAGAAGACTCCACTGATGACAATCTTATATTTCTACCAAAGAAAAAAGAAACAAAAAAAGAAGAGAAGAGAGAAAATAGAAAAAAATCCTCCTTCACACCCTCTTCTTCTTTCTTCCCGGACCGAGAAAAAAAGAAAAGAAAAAGGGCAAGGAACAGCACATTACCATTATCCACTTGGCGCTCGCGGAAGGGGCAGCGTCCGTCCAGAAGAATGAGGCCGGTGTAGTCGAGAGCACCCGCCTCGTCCGCGACGACTACGTCCGCGGCCGCGTCTTCCTCGAAGCGTCCTATGAAGTCGACCTGCTGGCCGCAGCCGGCATCTCCACGACCCACGGCCGCGAGGCCCAGATCGTCTATGGCGAGTCCCTGGCCGGCATGCGCGGCACCACGTCCTACCGCCAGCTCGACGTCCGCGTCGACCCCTACATCGAGCCCGGCAACCCCGCGAGCGGCTTGCCATATGACATCTTCCCCGAACCCTTTGGCACGCCCGGTGACGGCGACGACCACCTCCAGTCCTACTCCTTCCGCGTCCCGCTGACGGACGACCCGGCCAACCGCTCCGAGGCCCGCAGCGTCCTCGTCGGCCACCTGCCCGAGCGCGTCGCACGTCGGCTACGGCGCCGTGCGGCTCGAGCACCAGTTTCACGCCCTGGGCCAGGCGTGTGCGAATGCGGCCGACCTGGAGCTGTCCGGGCAGCCCCGTGTCCGGGACATGCCCTACCCGGCGCTGCGGGCCCGTCTTGAGGCGCAGGGCGTGAAAGTGGACGTCAAGACGGCGGGAAAGCCGACGTTTCTAGAGTAGGAACGGACAGGCAGAAAGAGAAGGGGGAAGGGGGCCGGGGGTTGAGCAAAGTCTAGACTAGGCCGTAACGAGACTGCCCAAAACCCCGGACACAGCTTTGTCCGTCGCCTTCTTATTGGGAGACCAAACAAAGTCTAGCTCTGGTTAGGTGGTTGGGTCGTGGTATGCTTGGATCGCGTCCGATATCCAGGCCCGTGCCGTTTCATTGTGATGAAGGTTTTTTTGGTAGGGTGAATGAGAAGGGGAAGGATAGAAAGTGTGACGAAAATTGCGAAATATTATGTGCAACAGTTTTGAGGATGGCGAATAAAACGATCCGATCATAATAGACAGAACAGGCAGAAATAGATAGAATAAACAGAATATATGGAATAGACAAATAGACAAATAGACAGAATAGAAAACATATCCAAGCACCAGACAGCTATCAAACAGGTCAGCTGCCAATATCTGACAAATTCACAAATATTGTATCTACGGTGAGTCCGTACGATATGTCGTATGGCGTACTGTGACTGCTTCTGTCGTCTTCACACCTGCCACTAACAACTGACAGCTACCCCTGCATGGAGAGACGCCCCACTAAAAAGGCCCCATGCGGCCCCTAACACTTAGAGCCCGCCCTTTCTCCGCACCTTCCTTTGAAGCAGCCCTCATTCCTCGTTAACGCAGTAGAGCGATCTCCATCCTGAAACGAGGTGCCAGGTCTTCTAGACGTTCCCAGAGGCCAGGGCGAGACTATGGAATCCAGAGAGTGGCCAGGGAATGGCCAGAGAGTGCCCAGAACGTGGCCAGGCCGACACACGAGACGACATGCGAGCATGCAAAACCGCATTTGAGGAAAGAGGACCCTTGTTTTAAGAATCATAACACTACCAGAGGCGTACGCGTGTCCGCTGAGACTACTCGTTTTTGACGTTCTGCTCTTCTCTTGTTCTATTCCTGTTCTGTCAAGTTCTGTGACGGCCTCTCTCCAACGTTGATATCGTCTTGCTTCCCGGTCACTCCTTCCTCACTTGCATCTCAGCCTCCCTTGACCTCTTTCCGAGAAAGACCCCCACTTCACAACCTCGCGCCTTCTCTATACATTGCTGCCCCCTCTTTCCAGTCGGTCGCTCCTGCGGTTTACAGACTGCGCACCTTCCTGAGCCAATATTGTTTATTTGACAAGCAGTCCAAGTTTTTTTTTGGTCTCAAATTTTCTCTCTTCTCCCTCCTCCATATTCATCTTCTCATCACAGACATCCATCACTGCCAAACAGCGCCACAACACTCCTACCCCCAACCCCAGGCTTGCGATAGCCTTGGGGTCCTGCCTTGCAAAGGCGTCAACAAGACGTGAAATCTTGCTCGTCTCGTATTGGACAGGCAGCAAGACACCATTTTCTTACAAGACACCATTGCTTCTCCTTGCATCGAGGCCTCTCCGGTCTCTCACAGAGAGCAACTTCTGCCAATCATGGCCTTCATCGACACTTTGCCCGCCGCGACGGCGACGTCTTCGTCCTGTCCGGCAAACAACGGACCGGTCACGTTTTCGAGCCTCCCAAAGGAGGTCCAAAGAGAGATCTTGAAGCATGTTCGTCTCTCTCTTCCTCTTCCCGCACTCTCTTTTTTGCGTCGTACTAACCTCCCATCACGTCCCGTATAGTGCTCGACTCGAGAGCTCTGCAGCCTTGCCCCTGTCTCGGCTCACTTCCATTCGCTCGCTTCCGAGTTCCTTTACCACACGTTGAACCTTTCTCTGACGACAGAGAGCGAGCCCATTGCACACCGCAGCAGAGCTTTCCGCAAAGGTCTGCCCAACCTGCTGAATACGCTTACGACCAGCGACTACGACTACTCTCGCCACATCCGCCATGTCGGTCTTGGCACAATCTGCGAGATGCTGTTTATGCGGAGCCACAGCCCCTTCCGCTTCACCGAATTTCCCAGTAAAACGCTCAACACCCTCATGGTCCTTGCAATGCGCAAGGCCGTCGGCCTCGAGTCGCTCTCCTGGGATGTGAATGTCGAAATGAGCCCCGCCCTCTTCAAGGTCCTGTACAACATTGACACCCTCGTGGAGCTCAATGTGCGTCTTCATCACGGACCGTCTGCCTACCGTCGTCCAAGGGTCGTGCCGAGCAATGCCAGTGGCCACCTTTACCCACCGGTCCACCAGCAAACAACGCACGCCATGCCACTGAATGCTTTTCATGGCGATACTCCATCACAAGAAAGCTCGGCTGTGCTGTCAACGAACGTTCCCCCGCTCGGGAACCAAGGCCAAGGCGTGCCATGGACGACGCAAGCCGGTCTCGTTTTGCAGCAGATGGGTCACCCCAACAGCACAGAAAAGTCCAGCCAAACCACCACGTCGCCCGCCTCCGCTGCCCCCGACCGAAGCCAGCCTACTTTCTCGGGCTTCAAGAACCTCCAGCGCCTCAGTGTCCTGGACATTGAGGACCTCGGTGTTCTCCCAGAGCTCCAGGCTTGCGTCCACAACTGTGCCCGCTCGTTGACCCATTTGAGTCTCAGCCTTTCTAGCAACTTGACTCAGAAGAAACGCGAACGCGTACAACATACTGCAACCACCACTGCGCCGCATGCCGCTACCGCGGCCACCGCCACCACGGCCTCCGCCACCAACATTGGAAATATCAACAACAGCAACGGAACTTGGGACCTCATGCCCCAGCAGGTTGACAATTACCTTGCATACACGACATCTGGCACGCCTCACAGCATTTGGGGAGGCATAGCCGGCACGAACAGCCCGCTAGCTAGTCCCGGCCCGGTTGTTGGTGGTGTGGATACTGGAAATGTTCCCAATATTATGGCTCTTGCGAGTCTTGCCAATATCACGCACTTTGGCGGTGCAGCCAGCACCGGCCCTACCTTGTCTGCGTCGGCATCAACGGCCTCCACAGCCTTGGCCGCGGCGCAGAAGACGAAGGCGTTTCTGATGACAAAGGCTCTGCGAGACCAGGACAAGGCGCTCGCGCACATCTTTGGCATCGACCCAGACTGGTCTCCAGAGAAGGAGTCGACGAAAACAGCGACAAAGAAAATGCAAAAGAAATCGGCAGACTCGAACGCGTCCGAAAGCATATCTACTGCCGGGTCAGACGACAAGGGGAAAGGGAAGGTGGCGGAACACGACCGGGAGACGGAAGAGCGCAAAGAGCAAATCAAGATCACCCCAATCGAACCCAGTGACATTGTTGACGCTTTGCAGGCTGCCGCTGTCGAGCTCGGAGGCCCCCATACTGACAGTGCCAATGCCTCGTCCACGGCTGACCGAGAAGCGGCGGCGCTCGAGCGATTTATGGAGCTTGCCAAGGGATATCTTGCCTCGGCTCGCCCAGAGCCTTCGGCTACCAGTGCCTCTGTTGAGTCCAAGCCATTCATGCAGGCAACTACCATTGGCGAAGCATCTGCCTCCGGGTCCAGCTCTGGGTCGAAGCCGGCCTTGGATACGACGACCCCTGACGACGACACTTCTCTCTTTGGGAACGGTACCGCATTCACTTTGCCGACGCGGCCTCTAGGCACAGGTGTCAACCGGGATGTCTTGCCGGAAGATATAGACGTGGAAGCGCCCGAAGGACAGCTCGTTCTTCACCCTCACGACGCCCCGGGTGATATTGACGCCGACGAGTCGCAAGCAGAGACAGAGGAGACGGCCGAAGAGGAGAAATCGAAGCAAGGCGCCAGCACGTCCCCAACGCCAATGCAAAAGCAGAGCACATCGACTGCAGCGGGCAGGCTACGCAGCGAAAGACCGGCCTCGTTGACTTCGGAGGCCGTGACAAACTATGCGCGGGAGACACGCGGCCTCTCGCTCAAGAAACTGTCGTGCTATCTCATCCCCGTCAAGGCATCGATCCTCGGCAGGGCCATTGACCTGCTCTCCCTTGTCTCCATCACGCTTCTCAGCGTTGGGCCGCAAGCCGCCATCTGGAACCTGTTCAGCAAGGAGAACCTGGCTCACAAGCTACCACTCCGGAACATCCATACCGACAGCGTCAGCCAACCGTTTTTGCAGTGCGTGGCGCAACTCGACAAGGTCGAGCGTATCTACTTACTCAAGCGCATCGGCCAGGGCCACCTGCCCGAGAACGCTGCGCCCACGTCCTCGGTCACCAGCGCACACATTTACGAGAACATCCTGCAGAAGCACGCCCGCACTCTCCGGGTGCTGTCCGTGCGCGACATGACCAGCGAGGGCTGGGACCTTGATGACACATCGATCCGCCTCCTCGCGAGACGCGCCCGCAACCTGCAGGAGCTTGCTGCCAGCATGAATATGGGGTCCTTGCACATGCTGCAACGGTGCCTCAGTGGCTTCCGCTCGCTGCGTGCGCTTCACGTGGTGCGCTTGCGCAACGACGACACGTGCGTGTGGGTGATGCAGGAAGTTAGGCACTTCCTGATGGACATGCTGTGCCATTACCCGCACCTGCCGCTCACGTACGTCGCTACAGAGGGCAGCCATTCGATCGACCGGATTGTGCGCGTAAACAAGCGGGCCGAGCGGAAGCTGCACGCTCCCGGCCCCAGTGGCAGCACTACGGTGGCGTCGACCACCGCCAACATGCCGGTGCCCGATGCCGCCGAGAAGGAGGACGATAGCGACAGTGGTGGCGAGGACGGAATGTTTCACACGCCGGAGTTTCGCCTGGAGTCGATACTCATGTGCCACGCGGTGGATACGACCATTTTCACACAGGAGGTGCTGCACGGCATGATATGATTTGGTGTTCGTCGAGAAGGAGGGAGGCGGAGGGAGGACATGGCACAGATAGGTACGGGAGCGCGGCGGAAGTCGTTGTGCATCTATGTTCCACTTATTTAGGTCTTTTATAAGTGCCATACATTTTCTCATCTAGCTGTCTCGTTCCTCTGCATATGAACGATTTGGTAGCAATGCAAACGCACATTTGATTTCATCTAGCGTCGTATTTCGTTTCTCATAATCGTAGCAGTGGCCACAGCAGTAACAGGAAACGAGATCACAACGCTCACTCCGTCCGGAGAATGCCTACGTGCACAGAAAACCCGGCCGTCGGCAGCAGCCCTGGCGTCAACAGTGCCTCCGGCACGCGCCACACGCGGAACGATGCCACAAAGGCCGTCAGCCACGCCGTCAGCACATCCGGATCGCGCAGCTGCTGGGCGACAATGACCACAGTGGGGGGCTGCGTATCTCCCGTGCCATGGGCGCTGCCTTCGCCGCGGCGCAGCCGGCACACATCCACACACGTCTGCACCAGCGGCGCCACGAGCGCCTCGTTGTAGATGCAGTCGCAGGCCACGACGGCGTCGAAACTGGCCACGCCGCCCAGCCGCCGCCCCCCGGCCGGCGTCACCTCGTCCGTCTCCCAGTCGAGGCTCTCAAACAGCAGCGGGGCCGCCGGGCTGCTGTTGCCCGCGTGCGCGGCGCCGTTTTCCTCGAGGTTGCGCAGGAGCAGCTTGGCCACATACGGCTGGTCGGTCAAGACGTAGCGGCCGACAGTCCTCGTCGGGGTCGGGGGCGACGGCGTGTCATGGCCGGGGCGCTTCTTTTTTGTTTTCGTCTTTGTCGCGGCCGTCTGCCCCGGCGCCTTTGTCCCCTTCCCGGTCAGGGCCAGGCCAATGACGCCGGCGATGCCGCAGCCGAGCTCGAGGACAGACGACGACGGACCCAGCACGCCCTCCCCAAACAAGGGGTTCTGGGCCCCGGCCAGCCACGCGGCCACGGCCGGCGTAATCTTCCACAGCACGGCCCCCGTCGTGCCGCCGGCCCGGTTGGAGGCCAGCACGGCCGGCGACTGGTGGATCGTGAGGTCGCGGCCGGCGACGGTGAGGTCGAGGACGGCGGCATGGGCGTCGACGAAGCCGAGGTTCTGGGCGGACGGGCGCTCGTGGGCGAAGAGGAGGAAGGTTTCCTCATCGGCATCGTCGACCTCGGGTCCGAGGCGGGCCAGGAGTCGGTCGAGAGGCGAGGCGGACATGCAGCAAGTGTCCGGGGTCTTTGCTGTCGTGTCAGCTCAGCTCACTCGTCCACAAACCGCTACGGAGACGAAATCGTGTCATCCTCAATTTCGCACGCACCCTTTTGATACGATGGTCGTCCCAGAGCTTGGCCCCGAAGATCGTCTGTTCGGGACTCGGTGCGACGGATTCGTCCACAGGCGAGCGTCCTATCCCTGGAGCGCCCGTTCTCGACCTTGCCCAGGTCTCCGAGGCGCGTCAAACCTGTGCTTTGCGCTTGCTTGGGCTTGGCTCTGGTCCGCCGTCAGCCGCTCCACTGCCAGAAGCCCACTTTCACGATTCCACATAAAGCGACTTCCAGTTTCGCTGCAAAGGCAAAGCGCATACTGCACGTGATGTATCACGGGCGGACTCTTCAGTTTGCTCCAAACCCGCCGCATCACAAAATGCAAATGTCCGTCCCGGGTGTCACGCAAACCGCTCTTCCTCTCGCTGAGCGCGAACGGCGGTCGAAATCGAGCAAGACGTTATGGCCGTGCTCGTGTGTCACCAGAATCCGGCCGTCGGCGTCTGATTACAATCAGCCTCTCGAACATAACGGTCCGTTATCTCCTTGACGCCATCTTCCTTGACATATTTCGTACAGTTCGAACCGCTGAGCATTTTGCCCTCTTTTTGTGGCGTACCATTTCATTTCCAATCGGCCTTTACGGAGCAATTACACAATTCCACGTCACCCTGAACATACGCCCCAAGGGGCAAAATTGGAACATGACGATAAGCCATAGTCCTTGCCGCCTTATCACCTTGGTCTGGTTTCCCTCAACAAAAATAAAATTAGCGTAAAACGGTGTGGACATATCTTAACATGGAGCGTGGCACAGTCGTGCGCCTCCTGAACCGTCTCTGCCAGTTGTAGCAATATGAGAGGCCGGTTCCAGGGCGCGCCGGGTGACGACGACAGCTCCTGCACAGATTACAGCTTTACTGGTTGCCTCGAAGCTAGCGAGCCTGGTTCGAGGGATGCAAGGCAGGGTAGCTGGGTGGTTTGTCCGTCCGCGGAATATCCTTGGCTTGTTTGAGCTCTATTCTCACAACTGAGACGATGGCACGTCGGTCTGGCAAGGATGCTCTGAAGAATGGCACAGTCTCGAAGCTCGGCAGTGACCGTCTGACAGTCCAGCAAGAAGCAGTTGAAGCTCGACAGCTCAAAGCACTGTGGAGCACAGAACTGCCAAAGAAACACCGAAGAAAACAGCTTGGAAACAGTGTGGAGGCGTGCACCAAAATACGTGGTGACGATCCTTCTAGCCACTGGCCCACGGAATCCACCAAAATACATCGGCTACCAAGGGGGCCTGTATTTTACGCCGTATTTGCCATCCTCTTTGTTGGGGAGGGGGGCAAGACCTCATTCTACTCTGTACATTTCGGAATGGCTGGGTTATGTGTTGTATCTATTTCGTACTTAATTCGTATAATTAAAAAGTACTTCAGTTGGGAAGCGAAAACAGCGGAGGGGTGCCCTAGCACACACCGGGATTTAGCGCCATTGCCCTGCTGTCTCTTCACCAACTCCTTGCCTCGAAGTCTCCCTAGTCGCTCTTTCCCCTCTTGTAGCTGGTGTCAAGTGGGGCACATCCTGGTCGCACCGCAGCCGACCCGATAGGCATACATCGTAGGCCTTCCAAGACAGCACCAACACCAAGAAAACACCAAGAAAATATCCTGCGTCTCAATTCTCTCCGCGCTTGGCCGCCGCCACCAGGGTACTTGTCCAGGTTGCTCGCCCTGCCCCTCCCAGCCTGCGCGGCGTGCGTTAGCGCCGCCTGCTTCTCCGCACAAACGCTGCGGGATGGTGTTGTGGGTGCCTGGCTTTTGTGCTTGTCGCCTTTTGAGCTCCTGTCGAAAGAAGTCTCCAGGTTTTCTGCGCCTTGGCTCGCTCGCCCATGTCTGCCGAAGTTTTCCGTAGCTCTCCATCGTGAGCATATGAGACAAAGCACAAGTATCAAGTGTAAATCAAGTGAAAGCCGCGGTCGACGAGTCGTGCCTTCCCGAAAAAAGCATGCCGTCGTGCGTGCGACTGCCTGGCATGCGACAAGCTCGGGCTGGCTGGCGCTTGTGATTGAAGAAGGAACGACCCAGACGACACTTTACGCTCTCCATGACGTGAACCAAAGCGGAAGGGCCAACGTGCCTTTGCCCCAGAGCTTGGCCGCAGACCAACCGACAATGTGTCGATTCTCTTTCACCTCAAATCACTTGACCTCCTCGCATATACTGTGTGCCGTACGGCATATGTTTTGGCCACTGAGAGCTCGCAAAACGTACCCATAGAGCCATACTAGCCAACATTACCCCGTAGAAAAGACCTCTGTGACGTGCAGTCGCTCTTTCCCTCCTGGGCTAACGCGCCCTCCCCAGCTGCGCCTTCCCCGACTTTCTAGCCCAAAACCGCACCTGCCACTTCAGCAGGTCGCTCTTGCCCCTGCCCACAGCAGCCTTCCAGCCCTCCGTTTTCCTCCTGCCTTATGGTTCCATTGAGCTCAACAAACTTCTCACGAGAATCTCGGATCGGCCCTCCTTTCTCTCTACCTCTGACGCTTTCTCACCTCCGTTCTTCTTTTTTGTCCCTCCTCCCCTGCTTGCCGACATCCGTCGTCAACTTGCTCATCTTACTTTTGTATTCGTCTCGATCCGCCATTCGCCTTCACTCTCCATTCTGCTACCCGAACAACAACGTCGCAGCGTTGCCGTGCTAGGTCTCATAGTCGCAGCAGCTCAGAAACTCAACCCAGAACCCAGAACCCAGAACCCAGAACCCAGAAACGCAGAGTCCGAGAAAACAAGGCACCAAACGCGCCTCTGACAAAGCTCGTAAAATTAAACGGTAAGGAATCAACCAAGGATGCAGCCTCGCCCAGTCTTTCTATGAATCGAGCTCCTATCGTTTGGGGATCCCTTGTCTTGTCTCCTTCGCCTTGCTTTGCCCTCATCGTCCTCTCGTCCTCTCTCTCGTCCTCTCTCTCGTCCTCTCTCTCGTCCTCTCTCTCGTCCTCTCTCTCGTCCTCTCTCTCGTCCTCTCTCACACTCATACGTTCCACATCCACGACCTTTGCCTCGACCTTGCCCTGTCACCATCCTCACCCTGCGCAATATACCCCTTTAGCCAAAGTCACGTTTCTCTCGTGCACGCTTCGCCCTTTTCTGTTGGTCGGCCTCCTTGGTCTGCCGTGTTACCTCACCGCCGCTCGCCGGTTCTTCCCTCTTCTATTTGCTCGCCTGCAGCTTCACATCGAGCATTGACTGACTTGACAACAGAAGACCTTTCTCCCGGTTAGACTGACTGCCAGGAGGAGACACAGAACCTGACCGAGCTTCTCTCTGCCTACGCTCGTCACCACCCTCTCTACATTCCCCATTCCACATTCCACAATGGTTATCCAGCACGCTTCGCCGCGCGTCTCGGCTCGGCCGCCCTTCTCCGTCGAGGTGCCCGGCCAGAAGCCTGTCGAGGGCGAGACCCCCATCCGCCGCCACCCCAAGGCCGTCCCCGAGATCGTCGGCACGCCCGCCCCCAACATCACCACCGTCTACGAGCTCTGCAAGGCCTCCGTCGAAAAGCATGGCGACGCCAACGCCATGGGCTCGCGCCGCCTGCTGCGCACCCACCAGGAGACCAAGAAGATCAAGAAGGTCATTGACGGCGAGGAGCAGCTCGTCGACAAGCAGTGGACCTACTTTGAGCTGAGCAGCTACGAGTACATCACCTACAACGAGTACTTCCGCCGCATAAGCAAGATCGGCGCCGGCTTCCGCAAGCTCGGCCTGACCGCCGGCGACCGCGTCCACATCTTCGCCGCCACCAGCGCCAACTGGCTGACCTTCTCCCACGGCGCCGCCACCCAGTCCATGCCCATTGTCACCGCCTACGACACGCTCGGCCAGGAAGGCCTGCGCCACTCCATGGTCGCGACCAAGGCCAAGGCCATCTTCCTCGACCCCCACCTGCTGCCCATCCTGACCAACGTCCTCAAGGATGCCGTCGAGATCCGCCACGTCATCTGGAACGACCAGAACCAGGTCAAGCAGGAGCACGTCGACAAGCTCAAGGCCGCCTTCCCCAACATCACCGTCCGCAGCTTCGAGGAGCTGCTCAAGCTGGGCGAGGCGAACCCCGTCGACGCCGTGCCCCCCTCGCCGGAGGACCTGTGCTGCATCATGTACACCTCGGGCTCCACCGGCACCCCCAAGGGCGTGCCCCTCAAGCACAAGAACGTCATTGCCGCCGTGGCCGGCGTCAGCGTTGTCGTCCAGCCGTACATTGGCCCGGGCGACGGCCTCCTGACCTACCTGCCCGCCGCCCACATTCTCGAGTACGTCTTTGAAAACGCCTCCCTCTTCTGGGGCTCCACCATGGGCTACGGCAACCCCAAGACCCTGTCCGACGCGTCTGTGCGCAACTGCAACGGCGACATCAAGGAGTTCCGCCCCAGCATCCTCGTCGGCGTCCCCGCCGTCTGGGAGATGGTCAAGAAGGGCATCATCGCCAAGGTCAACGACGGCAGCCCCATTGTCCGCTCGCTCTTCTGGGGCGCCATGTGGGCCAAGACCAACCTCATGGCCACGGGCCTGCCCGGCTCCGGCATCCTCGACGCCGTCGTCTTCAAGAAGATCAAGGAGGCCACGGGCGGCCGCCTGAAGCTCTGCATGAACGGCGGCGGCCCCGTCGCCAAGGACACCCAGCGGTTCATCTCGATGGCCATCTGCCCCATGATCAGCGGCTACGGCCTGACCGAGACCACCGCCATGGGCGTGCTCCAGAACCCGGCCGAGTGGACCACCGACGCCATGGGCGCCATGCCCGCCTCGGTCGAGGCCAAGCTGGTCGACTTTCCCGACGCCGGCTACTTTTCGACCAACAAGCCGCACCCCCAGGGCGAGGTCTGGCTGCGCGGCCCCAGCGTCATGGCCGGCTACTTTGAGAACGAGGCCGAGACCGCCGAGACCATCACCGCCGACGGCTGGCTCAAGACGGGCGACATTGGCGAGTTTGACAGCCGCGGCCACCTCAAGCTGATTGACCGCAAGAAGAACCTGATCAAGACGCTCAACGGCGAGTACATTGCCCTCGAGAAGCTCGAGTCCATCTACCGCTCGGCCGCCGTCGTCGCCAACATCTGCTGCTACGCCGACGCCCAAAAGGCCAAGCCCATTGCCATTATCGTCCCCGCCGAGCCCGCCCTGCTGAAGCTGGCCCAGTCCATTGGCATCAGCGGCACCAGCCTCGAGGAGCTGGCCCACAACAAGAAGCTGCAGTCCGCCGTGCTCAAGGAGCTGCAGGCCGCCGGTCGCCAGGGCGGCCTGTCCGGCATCGAGATTATTGACGGCGTCGTCGTGTCCGACGAGGAGTGGACCCCGCAGAACGGCTTGGTGACGGCCGCGCAGAAGCTCAACCGCCGCGGCATCCTGGACAAGTTCAAAAAGGAGGTGGCCGAGGCCTACGGCGCGACGTCGAGCTAGACGGTAGCCTGTGCCTGTGCCTGTGCCTGTGCCTCTGCCTACCTGCCAGCCTTGGGCCGGCCATCTTTGTTTGTCTAGTTTCCTTGTTCTATTGTATTGTCTCTTCTCTGTTGATTCCCTACTTTGTGTGTTTTTGTTTTATTTCCGGGATGGGGGCATGGGCATTTGTATTGCTCCCCCTTTTGGTGTGAAGACAACTTTATTTTTTCTGTATAATTGTTTTTGTGTTGGTTATTTTACCTTGCTCTTTCGTTTTGGCTTTGGATATCTTTGTTGAGTGTATTGCTGTTTTTGGTATAACGCACGTTCTAGCAAGTAATACACTATTCTCGGGTACCTTTTTTTTGTTTCCTTGTGCAATGTCGTGACCCGATGGACAAAACGCTTGTGCTCGTGGCACATGGTCCATGCAATCCGCATGGTAACCCGCTCGTCGAGGCAAGCGGAGCGACAACATTACAACATTGCCCGCGAGCGCACATCCAAGAAAGAAAAGAATGAGCTCGTTACGTACGTGAGCCCGTGTACGGCATGTCGCCACGTACTCTGCAGGGTCACACAGGTCCTGCCGGGCCAAAATAAACACAAATGGGCGTGTTGCTTAGCAGTGGCAAAAATAGACGTGCAACCAAAAGAGCCTGTGCCAAGGAAAACGTTCAAGGGATGCCCATTTTGTGAAAAGCGGCGTGCCGAGAATAGCAACACGAGTTTGGTGGAAAGAGGTGACAATAGTTGAAAACAAAAACAGCCAAAAATAAAAATCATGGAAAATAAAACGCCCATTCTCTTTCGTGTTCTTCCCCTCCCTCTTGCCGCGGTAGTCACGCTTCCCCGCGCACACCGCACACCTCAAAGCTCACACCAGCCCGTCGTACAACGACAGGGCGGACACAATGGTCTCGTCGCGCTTGCTGCCCTCCTTGAACTCGTCCATGTCGAGGCTGCCGTTCTCGTCCTTGTCCATCATGCGGAAGATCTTCTTGACGCGCTTCTCGGGTGTGTCTTCGTCCTCGGGGAGCTTGACCATGGAGCCAACCTAGGACAGTTAGCAAACGACAGAACGACAGTAAAAAAAAATCAGTGTAGCCAAAGGAGCGGGGGGGGGGGGGGGGAGGGGGACCGAGACCTACCATTTTGTAGATGGCTTCGACAATTTTCAGCATTTCGTCGTAGCTGATCTTGCCGTCGCCGTCAATGTCGTAGAGCTGGAAGGCCCAGTCGAGCTTGTCCTCCATCTTGCCGCGGGAGGTGACCGACAAGGCGACGATAAACTCCTTGAACTCAATGGTGCCGGACTTGTCCGAGTCAAAGACGTTGAAGACGTAGTCGGCGAAGCTCGAAGGGTCGCCAAAGGGGAAGAACTGGCGGTAGATCTTTTGGAACTCGTCCTTGGTGAGCATGCCCGAGGGGCAGTCGCGGAGGAAGCCTTGGGGGTCTGTTAGTACGAGGCGAGACGAGGGCCGCACGGCGGCGAGGAAACGTCAAGTCGATCGAGGGAACAGCGAGCGCAGCGAGACGTGGAGAAACGACATACCCTTGTACCACTGCTGCAGCTCCTTCTTATCAAAATGTGTCGACTTTTGCAGCTCTGCCAGCTGCTCCTGGGAAAGTTTTGACTGTCTGTGGAGAGGAGGTAGGGCGCAAGGCCAACGATGTCAGTACATGGTTTGGGGTGATGGGCGGTGTGGGGAACAGTCTGCGGTTTCTGGCGTGTCGCGCGACAGCGCGGGGCCATCGCCCGGCGGTGTCTCCCGCCAAACGCGCACACGACCACAACGATGCGACGGGTCGCCGGACACAGGGGCCAGGCGGCGAGACACGTACGATTTGCCCATTGTGGCTTGTCTATTTGATGTAATTATGCCGTTTGTCGTCTCGTATGTGAATTTATTTGTATCGTTCTTGTCTGTATAGAAAACACCGTCGGCAGGTGGACGGTCTATCTCACGACGCTGCTGGTCATGCGCTGCGCCAAGCCAGCCGGTGACGTTCCGGGGCGGCAGGAGGTGGGAGGCGTTCGGAGGAGGCGAGAGAGATCTTTCAAAGGACCTGAATCGTTGGCACGCGCGGTCGTTGGCGATGGTGATCGATCAAAGGTCGCGGGGGGGGTGGGGGGGGATATCTCGAGGAATCGTCTAGGGAAACTGGCACAGATGTAAGCGACCACGCAAAGAGACAGTAGGAAGAACCGCTGGCGAGTCGAAAGGCGAGAGCAACAAAAAAAATTGGAGAGGGGAAGGAAAACGGTGATGGACTGCGCTGCCCGTACTTTTTTGGCTGCTTGCTTGCTGGGGCGTTTATACCGTCGCAAAGGCTGAAATAGAATAGAGTGGAAGAGGCTGGGGCAGGAGAGGGGAGGGGCCGACAGCACGAGTGAGATAGATGATGGATGGTAGGAGGCACGGGCTAGTCAGAACGTGCGTGCGGTGAGAAAAGGGAGCCCGTCGTCGTCGTCTTACCGGTTACTATTCGATTGCGTGTTGTGAAGAGGTTGTGTGTGCGTTCCTGATCTGAGACGAGGAGGCAGGGAGTGGAAGGCGGGAGAAGGGGGGACAGGAGCAGGGAGCACGGAGGGAGGGTGAAATAGAGGGGCTCTTTCCCTTGGAAGAGGTGTCTTACACGATTGCGGAAGGGATTGATAGAGGCAGCAAGAGCGACCCAGACGGTGTGCGGGGAGGGGAAGGGCGAAGCAAGAGCCACTGAGCGGCCAGGCCACTGGCAGCCACAGGGACCGGCCGCATTCGCCGTAGCGTAAAATGGGCGCCAAAATGATCCGCCAAAACGATCCGCCGCCAGATGGAAGGTGCGCTGTGCGCCAGGAGTAAGATACACAGTCGAGCTAACAGCAAGGTGTGCAGCAGCAACGTCATCCAACCACAGGTCGTGTGTGTCACCATTTTCAGACCAGGCCGCGGCGCTTGGAGGACGGAATCGGGCAATGGTGCTGTTTCGGGACTCGACTGGCGACGCAGGGTCTTTTTGGGCCGTTCTGGGCCGGTTTGGGACCGGTCAATCACTTACATGTGGAAATACTATGTTGTGTCGTAAGGACTGGACCCTACTTGCTCTGACGGTGTCTACCGGCGATTCTTTTGTGCAGTCTCACGTTGCGTTCCTTCAATTTTCTTTTTTCTTTGGGCTCTGGGCTTTGGGCTTTGGTCTTATTACGTCTGCTCCTGCCCCTATTAATTTCCGTTATGTCACTGGCCGGCTGCTGCGGCCGCTTCTAAACAGTTAGCTGGTGACTTTTGTCTTGGCGTGTGACGCAGGAGTCGTAAAAATGGAAGGCGCCGATGAGCATATCAGCACAAGCGCCAGGAGGTGGGCACAATTGTGCAGGCGGCAAGAGCACTAATGTCAGCGACAATTGGGAAAGAACGAATGACCTACAGCAGAAGCACAATTTGCGTTTGGGGCAATCGCGCTGTTGCGGTCATTGACAGTTGGCAAGCGGTTTCTGTAGCACAAGAATGGCGAGGCAGGCGCGATCGAGGGGCTGCGATCGAACACGGGCGCCTCCACGTATTCCGATCGGTAAGGTGTTTCAAGGCGTAAGAAGGGGGGCGTTTGACCCTGGAGGGTGGGCGCGAAACACCGCGGAAAATGTCAGAAAGGTACGGAAGTAGAAGAAGTGCGTCGTACTGACGAACAGTTTCGTGCCTGGACTGTTCTTGGCTGCCGCGGTGCTATTTGCTCTTTCTCTGTGGCAAACGGCGCCCGAGGTAGCGCTTTCCCGACTTATATATTCTCTCGTGCCTGCCATGGCGATGCATTTTGCTACGTGCGACACCGACAAAGACAGGAAGGAGCAATAGAGTTGGGAGAAACTGGTGTAAAAAACCCCGTCCAACGTCAATAAGCCCTCATGAAAGGGAAAGCGCGAGTCCAACTGTACTGCAGGCAAGAGACGGCAATCGACTCAGCCACTGTCCCAAACAGGAAAGAGGACGTAAAAGAGGCGACAGCAAACGGCTGTCTGCTGTCTTCACGACGTTATGGTCTGCCGACGGAAAACACACTTGGTGAGGCTGTGTACGCGGTGCCAACACCGCTATTGTCACAAATGTTCGTCTCTTACCATTCGCTTTCCGTGAAATAGCTGGAGTGCGATCGGCATGTCGGCCAACTGGGCAGGGACGAAGCTGAGGCTCGAATGGCGGCGTGGCATCGCCCAGTCGTGCCTTCCGTATGTCATCGTCTACCAAGGTTGCATGACCGGGCAAAGAGGGAAGGAGCCAAGCCCCGATGCAGAGCTTGAAAAGCAAAAGGGGGGAGCCCCAAAATCTGTCGGGCGACAAGAAACTTCGGTCAACGTCCGCTTTCGCGATAGCTTCAATCCGCTCGGTGCCTACTCGCATGGTATCACACACGCACGTGCTACACGAAAGAGCGACCAGAGAGCGGCCTTGAGAATACTGACGCCGTCATCTACGCCCACAGCCACATAGGAAGGACTTCCGTGGCAGAATGAAGCGGAGTCGATTTGATCGGGTCGAAAGGGCCACTCTGAAAGCGACCGGAAGGACACACAGCGGCTTCCCTAGTCTCTCGTGGAATCACCAGATGGCTGCAGCCTGGTCAGACGGAGGAACGAGTAAGAAGAATGTCGAGGAAGGACCAGAAAGGCTGGAACAGGGTACAATCGTCAACAATTGCTGACAGGAGCCGCGTGCCAGCTTTTGGTGTGGAAAACAAGGCCCGGGAGTTGCTAACGCCCGAGCCAGCCAACCGACGGACAATAGCATCGTCCGGGCTTGAAGAACGGCGACGACAACAACAGCCACGGGCCCGATAAACGAGAAATGCACGATGGACGACGACCCCGAGTGCGGTGCTCTGAAACTATAAAGGAAGAAGAGTCGCCGAAGCCAACAAATGATGCACTGACCAGCAACAACAGTCACAACCACAACTGCTGTGTCCTACAACATCGACGCTCGAACGCACCCACCCCACATTGCAATGTCCAAGACCTACGATGTCATTGTCGCGGGTGCGGGCCCCGTTGGTCTCTTTCTGGCCGGTGAGCTAGCTCTCGGCGGCGCTTCCGTGCTCGTCCTTGAGCGTGACGCCGCGCGCGGCGTGGAGTCGCCTTTCAAGGTCGCGCCCCTGGGCTTCCGAGGCGTCAACACGCTGACGCTAGAGTGCCTGTCCCGGCGCGGCCTGCTGGACACCGTCTTCCCTGCCGACAAGGCCAACCTCAAAGGCATGATGAAGAGCCGGGGCGGTCCAGGTGGCAATGGCCCCGGCGGCAAAGACGGCCCGCCAGCTTCGACGCGGTTGTTCAAAAAGACCGAGGGCATGCAGTTCGGTGGCCACTTTGCCGGCATGTTCTTTGACGCAAACAAGCTGGACCTTGGGCGTTGGAAATACCGTGTCAACGGGCCGGGCATGGTGCCGGGACCAGCGACCATGGCCACGGTGGAAGCCGTCTACGGCGAACGGGCCACACGCCTGGGCGTCAATATCCTGTACGGCCACACGCTTACAGCAATTGTCGAGGGCAGCGAGGAGGGCAGCAAGTGTGTAAAGGTCGAAGCGACCGACGCGCCAGATGACTCGACCAAGACGACCAAGACGCTTTGTGGACGCTGGCTGGTCGGTTGCGACGGCGGCCAGAGCATCATCCGCCGTACCGCCGGCTTCCACGTCGAGGGCTCCGATCCCAAGCTTACGGGCTATGCGATGCGCTGCGACATCACCAACGGCGACAAGCTCACGCCCGGGTTCACTGTGACCGACGGCGGTCTCTACATTGCGGGCGCCTTTGGCGACACAGTGTACCTCATGGACCCCGACGGCGGCGCCTTTGACCGCAGCCAAGAGCTGACCATGGAGCACCTGCAGACCGTCCTGACCCGCGTCACGCGCGTGCCCGAGGTCAAGATCACGGCGCTGCGCGTGGCCACGTCCTTTACGGACCGCTGCCGCCATGCCACACACTACCGTCGGGGCCGTGTGCTGCTGGCAGGCGATGCCGCGCACACGCACGCGACATTTGGTGCGCAGGGCATGAACCTGGGCATGGGCGATGCCATGAACCTGGGGTGGAAGCTGGCCTCGGTCGTGCGCCAGGAGGCGGCGGCTGCATCCACCAGCGCGGCGACCAATACAGCGGACACGGCCCTCCTCGACACGTACGACGCCGAGCGGCTGCCGGTGGCCGCGCAGGTGCTCGAGATGTCGCGCGCCCAGTCCATGGCGTTCCTGCCGGACGTCTTTGGACGGTCCGTGCGGTCCCTGTTGCAGCAGACGCTCGACACGGTCGACGGGGCCAACCTGTTCATGGGCCTGTTCTGGGGCCTGTCGCAAAAGTACGACCTCGTCCCCGCCACGGACCCGGCCCAGAAGCACCCGCTGGTCGGCCTCAGCGCACCCGATTTTGTGCTCGACGGCAAGGACGAGAACAGCGCCGACAGCGTCCACAGCCCGCGCCTGAACCACCACCTGGCGACGGGCCACGGTTTGCTCGTCGACGTGGCCGAGGGCGGCAACGCTTCCCTCCGAGACCTTGTCGCCCCGGCCAGCGAGTACGCGGGCCGTGTCGACTACCTGGCCGCGCCAGACGTGGCGGCCAAGCGTGGCCTGCAGGCATTCTTGGTGCGGCCGGACGGCATTGTGGCCTGGGCGGTGGACGACGGGGCCGACATCAACGCAGACGCCGTCAAGGCCGAGCTGGCACGGTGGTTTGCCTTTTAAGTGCTGGACGGAGGTTGGGTCGGAGTGCGTATTGGGGCGCCTCTCTATTTGTGTCTGAGTTTTAACAACAACATCACCACTCTGTTTCCCTACACGGTTTCGTCTCCCCTTTAAGTAGAACAATGAAGCGTAATTCATTCTGTGTCCATCGTCTGTATCTACCGCTCAAACAAGAATGATGTAAAAGAGAGCACAAATGTACAATGATAGCATGCAGCTGCAGCAAACAAAAAAGGACAGAATAAAAACACAAAGGCAAAGAGATATAGACACGGTAACAGACGGTAAAAGACACTGCACAAAAGACAATAAACACCAGCCAATATAAACCCCGACCCACTCCAAAAACCCATGTAGCGTAAACCCTTTCGTTCCGTTTTGTTGCCGTCTCTCAGCCCACGACGGCCTTCATGCTCAGGCTCTCCAGGAAACCGCCCAGGTCCTCCTTCTTGACCTCGACCACGCAGTGCTCAAAGCTGTCGATGCGGACGCGCGTGTTGGTCTCGGCGACGACGTCCTGGAAGGCGGTGCCGAACCGGTTGAGACCGAACCCCCGGCTCGTTTCGCCCAACGTCTCGTCCACGTCGTCGTCGTCGTCGGATTCCGAGTCGGACTCGGATGAGTCGCTCTCCTCCTCCTCTTCCTCCTCCTCGTCCTCCTCCTCCCCCTCGTTCTCCTCACTTCGGCGCTCCGCCCGTCGACGCTCTTTGGCCTCGTCGCGCTGGGCTTTCCGGGCTTGCCGCCGGTCTTCGCGCAGCTTGGCTTTCGCGGCGCGCGCCTCTTGTCTCTGGCGGGCCGCGGACCGGTTCTGCGCCAGCATGTCCGGCCCGCCGCCGCCGCCGGTGCCCACCACCACATACACGCCGCGCTTCTCGTTGAGCGAGGCCACCACCAAGGGCGTACCGCGGCCGCCGTGCGCCAGGCGGCCGTTGGCGTCCCGTTCCTGCTCGGCCAGCGCCTCGCCGATCCACAGCGCCAGCTTGGTGAGGGCGCCCGGGTGGTTGAAGACGGCGGCGTCGGGCCCGTCCTTGACGATGCACATGCGGAAGGCGTGCAGGTGGGTGATCTGCTTCTTCTTGATGAGGGCGGTGCCCGTGTTGAAAATGGCGCGGTGCAAGAACTTGGCGGTGCGCAGGCCGTCCTTGAGGAACTCGATGCTCTCGAGCGCGTCGTAGGCGTCCCAGAAGCGGGGGACCCACTCTTCGGACGGGTCATTTTCGTCGTCGTCGTCGAGGGCGTCGTCGTCGCCGGCAGCGGCAGCGGTGCCGTTGCTGGCGTTGCTGGCGTTGGAGCCGCCGTTGGCATGACCGGCGACAGGGGCGGCCCCCTGGTTCTTGCCCACCTCGAGGAGCGCGCCAACGACAACGGCGACGTCCTGGGCGCTCAGCGTGGCCCGCCAGCCCCAGCTGCGCACAAACCCCCAGCCGTCCTTGGCGCCGGCGCGGTCTTTGCCGTCCGTGTCGATGGTGGGGACCATGCCGTCGAGGTTGTAGAGCGACGCGTATTTCAGCAGCTTGACGCGCAGCTCGCGCTTCAGCATCATGTCCATGTGCGAGTAGCTCTGCTTGCACTGGACGAGGCTGACGCCCATCTTGGCAAACAGCTTGTGCAGGCGCTTGAGGCCGGTCTCGCTCCACATCTTGAGGCGCGAAAACAGGTAGGGCGAGTGCAGCATGCTGTCGTACAAGCTCCAGTGGCGGATCAGCAAGAACTTGGGCTCGGGCGACAGGCGGATGCTCGTGTCTTCGGGGCTGCGGGCGGTCGTCGGGATGATGCCCATCTCGGGCGAGGAGCGCCCTGTGGCGCCATTGGCGGCGCCGGACAAGGCCAGCGGCGTCGCGTCTGGCGGGTTGAGACGGCGCACCTCGTCGCGCAGCAGCTGGCGGATGCGCGCGCCGCGCAAGCCCATCCAGCCCGTGGTGGGCCGGCTGGTGTCGGCGCTGCGGACGGACACGCCGACACCAGCCGACGAGCGGCCATACAGCTCCATGGAGGTGACGCCGACAATGGCGAGCCACAGCAGGTCGTTGTCTTCGCGGCCGAGCTCCGAGGCCAGCGAGTACATCATGGACGAGATGGGCTCCGAGTAGGAGGCGCCCATGCGGTAGTACTTGCGCAGGATGGCCTCGTTGTCGTGCTTGAGGCGCAGGAGACGGCGACGGAGTGTGCGAGCCGAGGGGGCTTTCTGGGTTTTCTGGGCTTTCTTGGACGCCGACGTTCGTCTTGATGAAGAGGCGCCGTCGCCGTCCTCGTCGTGCCGCGACTCGTCCGAAAAGGCCACGGCGTCGCTCGACGGCTGCTCGCGACCCCTCAGGGACAGGAGTGGCCGCGACTTGGGCCGTGGCGCGTCTGGGATGGGACTCGACGAGTTGCTGCGCCGCCGCTGGTGTGGCCGGTCGTCGTCGCCGTCGTCCTCGTCCTCCTCTTCGTCGTCCAGCCAAGACTTGCGCTTCTGGCCAGCGCGTGGCGCTGGTGGCCGTTCCTCATCGTCTTCGTCGTCGTCGTCGTCCTCCTCCTCCTCCTCTTCACTCGATTCGCCGAGATCGTCGTGGCCGTCGTCGTCAATCTCGGGCATGTCCGCCAGCGCCATGTACGCATCGCGCTCGGCGCCCAGGTCCTCTTCAATATCGCCGTCGTCAAATACAATCATGCCGCCCTTGCCGGGCTTGTAGGCACGCTCAATCTGTCCGCTGCGGACACCCGGCGGCACGCGTCCCGACAGCGTCGGCGTCGGTGTTGCCGCGAGAGCCGTCTGCGAGTCGCCGGCCGGCTCCAGCGGGAACCCGCCAAAGACGTTGCTCAGGTTCCACGGCCGGTGCGCGTCCAGCACCCACACCTCGACGCCGCCAAAGGCCAGCTCGCCGCTCGCCAGGTTGTCGTCGTCGTCGTCGTCCGACTCCAGTCCAAAGAACGTCGCCAGGTCGACTGTGCCGCCGACGCCCAGACACACCACGACGCCGCCGTTGCCGCCACGCGTCTGCATCATGGGCGCCACCAGCTCACGGCCGACGCGGGCGAGGTCGGCATAGCCCGCCACGGGCTGGATCTTGTGCGGGATGTAGTCATGCTTGAGCAGGCTGGTGAGGATGCGGCAGGCGCAGAGCGCGTCGGGCTCGAGAGCGACGAGGATCAGGACAGGCGGCGCGAGCGGGTGGCGCGAGTTCTGCAGGTGCAGATACAGCTTGGAGACGAGAGAGCGCGGCAGATACATGGCTGTCGAGGCAGGCCGGCGGGCAGCGTGCCGAACACACGTTTACGCGTTACGTGTGTCGCGGACAGGAAGAAGAAAAAGATGCAGAAGGCTGCCGCCGTGCGACGAGAGGAGGCGTGTCGGCCGTGTGTCGTCGGGAGGTACGGCAGCCGCGAGATCGATGTCGATTAAGGCGTGTCGAATCGTGTCGTGTCATCAATGATCAATGTCCGATACAAAGAAGAGAAGAAGAAACAAAAGTAAAAAGAAAAGAAAGAAAGAAACTGTTCACGTAAACAAACGCTGTATGAATGTTGGCTGGCAATGGACAGGAACGACAATATGCAGAGTCCCAAGCAAACAATGACAAGACAATGATCGGATCAAAGACAATACACGCTGTAAGAAAAGGATCTGGGTGAAAACAGTGCTCTGTCGTGTGGAGCGAGGGGAGGTGCATCGTTTTTCTTGGTGCAGCACCAAAAAGCCATGTTATTATGGCGACGCGGTCTCTGGCGCTCCTGCCGTAATGGCCTGGGCCCGCAAGACGCGACGGGCAGAAGGATCCACTTGGCGAGGATGTGCTTGACAGGGCGCCCAAAGAGGCAGGAACACCCTGCGGGTCGTCCCCGCCAATCATGGGCAGCGGTGGTGCCGTCGTCTGCTGTAAAAAGCGGGGCGTTCAGCGAGTCGGCGGTGGCGCCAGGGCGTGTCAGCGTGTCGGCCAAGCCACTTTACGCGCTGCAGCTTTCTTGAGGCCCTAAAACGCCCTGATCAAGCAGATTCCGACACCAAGCGGACACTGTTGCATTCATGAGCCTTGACGTCGATGTTCACCGTCCTTCCACTGGCCATGGACACTTTCGTAAAGAGAGGGAGGTGGTCCCATATTGCTGTAAATTTGACACTGACAATATTCGGCTGGCCTGGTCGATTCATTTTCATGCCGTGAATTACATTTCACTCAAACGGGACGTGATGCATGGCCGTATCTACTGCTCCGTACAGACTATGGCCTCCAGTCCTCAGTCCGCTCCGTCGAGAACGGTAAACGGGTTCGTCATAGTCCGTACTCGCACTGGTGCGTGTCCAGTCCGCTTTCGTTTCTTGTTCCGGTTCCGGTTCTTGCTCGTTTTGGAACCGGACGGTGGCTTAAACGATATCGACGCCGGGAGTTCGGCGAGCGCCACCAGCACCTCCAGAGCATTGGCCGTCTTGAGCCGTGCCGGCAGATCGCGGAGGGTCCGCAGAGTTGGGTACTTGGCAAGGGGTGTCAGTGTTGACAGCATGCCCTCCAGTGCCTCGATCCTCAGCCATAGCTGCTTGTCGTCCCCGGCTCGCTCGCTTTGCTGGTATTTCACAAACGCCACAATCTGCTGGAGGATGCGCAGCGAGTAGAGCGTGCCCTGGATCTGCGCCAGCCAGTGCATGCCCGTCCAGGTGACCTGCTCCAACACGCCGCTGCTGGGTGTTTCTTTCTGGAGCACATCGAGGCAGGCCGACGGCTTGGCGTGCTCTTTGGACCACTCGATGTCATAGTAGGAAGCGAGAGTGACCCACTGCAGTTCGCTGCTGTTTTCTGCCGAGGCTGGCACAAACGCTTGGATCCGCGTCAAAAGTGATATAAAATTGTCCAGGGCTTTGACACGTCGGCGGCCTTCTGCAGGAAGCAGCTCGAGAGCCGTCCCCCGCGATGCCATGGAGGCCATGCGCGCGTATTCCCGGATCCACGTGTCGCCCATGTTGGCGGCCGTTGGTAGGCGCCTGAGCAGCGAAAAGGCCAGGACCCGGATCGGGGCACTGATTTCCCAGGCATTGGCCTGCATGCAATCATCGACCAGCGGCGGCGCAAAGAAGAGCATCGGCAGGTCCGCCGGCTTGAGCAGAGCGTCGCCCCGGTAGCCTTGGCTGTCACCGCCAAGAAGCACGCTCTGAAAAACCACTTCGGCCACGCGCGGGTCCAATCCACCGGCGTTGTACTGCTGCACTGCCATGTTGAGCGCCTCGGGAAAGGTGTACTGGTCGACAAATTCAGCGTACTCGTCCGGGTGCTGGGCCATGGCCAGCCCCTGCTTGGCACGGCCAACCAGCTCGCTGGTGCTCAGGCACGGGTCCATCAGCAGCTCAAATGCAAACCCGTAGAGCCCCTTGCCGCTCTTCATGAGTTGCTGGCACATGGCTTTGTTGTTGGCGAGATAGTCGTGTTCGTATACAGGCGCCGGTAGACCCAGCCGCTGGCAGATGGCGGCCATCCGATAGGCGAGGACAATAAGCGGTCTCTTTGTCGTCGTCGTTGTTGTTTTGGTTGCAGCGGAACCGGCGCCAGCCTCGTCGCCGCCTCCGCGCGGAAGGTCAATGTCCCGCATCAGCACCACCTCCCCGTCGGGGCCCAGGTCCTGTACCAGCAGGTCCGAGTCCGACGTCAGAACGGTGCCAACCTCGATGTTGCGCGCGTGCCACGCACAAAATGCGTCCGCTTCACCAGGCACGACGTGCGTCACCGTCTTGTAATGCGTGGCAGAGGCGCGCAGAGCGTCCAGCACGGCCGGCACGGCAAACGCAGGTGCCGGCAACAGACTGCCCGTGCGCGGGCCCTTGGCGTCGAACCCGGGCAGGTTGTCCCGCTGGTAAAACGAAAAGGCATCCTTGAGCTGCGCCGACGTCCGGTACGACCGCTCCAGCCGCACCGGCCGCTTGGCCACAGGCAGGTAGCCGTCAAAGTAGATGGCCAGCACCGTGATATTGTGGCGGCTGCAAAGCGTGTCCAGCCATGCAGTGGCGGCCTCGCCGAGCTGTGCGTAGGTCGACTGCTCGAGCGGGTGGCGTCGGCCGGCGGCCATCACGGGATCCGCCATGCAGAGGCCGACGATATGGTAGGCCAGCGCGGGCCCGTCGATGATGACTTTGCCATTGTCCAGCGGCTTGCGGTCGCCAAACGGCGCCAGCGTCGTCAGCAGCTTGGGGACTCCCATGGCAGCGGGGTGGGGATGGGCAAGTAAAAGAGCAAAAGGAATGCACAGAGCGGCCCTTAGATGGGCCACCCCTTTTTCTCTCGATGCGATGCGAAGAGATCTTGGCCGCAAGAGTTCATCGTCACAACGGTGAGGAAGGAGCGATTGACAAGCGCAACAGACGAGAGCAAGAGCGCATTTGCCGGCTGGATACAAGGATCCAAAGGCAGGAGCAGTTGAGTGACATTCAATGGTCTGCTTGGGATGAAATCTGCAAAAATTCACGTCGCTGGACACTGGACAGCGCAAAAAGAAACGTCACGTCGCTGGACACTGGACAGCGCAAAAAGAAACGTCACTTTGATCGAACACGGGATCGAACCGCGGACCTGCGCCGTGTTAAGGCGCCGTCATAACCAACTAGACCATTCGACCGGTTGTATTGGAAGTACACACTTGTATTCTCCGTTATGGAGTCTGGTTCGCGCCTTCCTGCTAGTTTGCTGTGACCTGACCTGCTAGCTGTTTTCGTGCTACAGATTTACAAAAGTGGAAAGAACAACCCATCATGTGCCTGTTCCATTTTGTTCAAGCCCCCCACCTTGTCGCGTTCCCTCCTTCCTTCTCATCTTATTTCTCTCCTTCCTCAATTCACGTCTCCAGCTTCAAGATTTCGTATTGCAAAACATCACGCCGACGTCTCCTCCGTCTGCCGCCGTGGTTTTCGTCATCTTTCGTCTTCATATGCTTCCCGGCTGAGCTTCCTCGGAGCTAGCGATTGAGCCAGCGCGGTTGACCCAACTGGCGTGAAAGAAACAGCCGAAAACCCAGTATACCGCCAGCACCTTATTCGTCCAACCGCCTTTTTTGGCCTGAAGTGCCCCACTACAGCACTCCTTCCATTTTCAGCACGGCTTTTGGCGGCCATCGCTCTTTCTCTCTCTGCTTCTCAGATTTTTTTTCTTTCCTGTCTCCACTCTTCAACGCGACTTCTCGTCATCCTCTACATTTTACTTCTCGTACCGTCGTCGTCTCCTTTGCTTCTTCCTCCCCTGCGCATGTGCGGAGTCCTTCGAACCACTCTATATCGGGGAGACCAGGGACCTGAAAACGGACCTGGAAAAACTACCACCCAACATTTCCCCCTGCTCTTCCTGATTTGAATTGCCCTCTCCCTTCTCTTTTCCCTCCGCTTTTGGAGCTGCGAAAAACTCTCTCCCCTTCTTTTCTTGCTTCCTCCTTCGCCCTTCTTGTTTCGCTCCTCCAGCATGCGGAACACGACCATCTTTGCCGGCTCGAGCTGCCCGGTGCTCACACAGCAAATATGTGGGAATCTGGGCATGGCGCCTGGCGATACCGAGCTGGGCCAGTTCTCCAATGTATGTTGACTGTTGACTGTTGACTGTTGACCTCGATCGTCTCGATCTAGCAATCGTCGACCGCCAGATTCAAATCGTCCACCAGTCGCTGACCCTGTGTCTTCTTTCTTTTCCTTGTAGGGCGAGACCAGCGTGCGCATCCTGACAAGCGTCCGGGAAAGGGACGTCTTCATCATCCAGTCGGGCAGCCCCAAGATCAACGACACCATCATGGAGCTGCTGATCATGATCCAGGCCTGCAAGGGCGGCTCGGCCAATAAGATTACTGGTGGGTGAACAGTCCATGTCACCGTTTCTTTGCTTCTTTCCTGTCCCAAGCTCCCTGTCTAACCGCGTCGTTTCAGCCGTCCTTCCCTACTTCCCCTACAGCCGTCAGTCGAAGAAAAAGTCGCATCGCGGTGCCATCACGGCCCGCATGCTCGCCAACCTGCTCAACGTGGCCGGGGTCAAGCACATTGTCACCGTCGACCTGCACGCCTCGCAGATGCAGGGCTTCTTCAAGTGCCCCGTGGACAACCTGCACGCCGAGCCCATCATCGCCCGCTGGGTCCGCCACAACGTGCCCAACTGGAAGGATGCCGTGGTCGTGTCCAAGAACGCCGGCGGCACAAAGCGTGTGACGTCCCTGGCGGACGCCCTCAAGCTCAACTTCGGCATGGTCACCACGGACCGCCGGCGCAACAACAGCAACATGACGGCCAGCATGATCATGACCCACCTCGACAACATTGAGCAAAGATCGCCTGTTGTCAGCACAATACATCGGGGCGCCGCAGCGCCGAGCAACGGCCACGACGGCCCGCTGGTGAATGGCGACCGGCGCGAGAGCAGCACAAACTTGAACGGCACGACGACCGTCAACGGCGGTGCCTCGTCGCCAGCTGCGCGGTCGGTAAGCGGCAACAACGGACCCACCAGTCACGCAGCCGCCGCAGTCACAACGGCCGCCCCGCCGCCGCGGACGCCGTCGGAAGCCTCCACCACGGATACCATCCCGACGGGACCCGCAGACAGCTCGGTCGGCCGTTCGAGCGAGCCAGACCAAGAGGATGCGGAGTACAACGACGAGCGGGCCCCCGAGGTGACGCATGCGCGCCTGTTCCAGGGCCACATTGTGCCCGACGACTTCCCGTCGCCGGCTGTCTCGACCGCCGACGGCAGCGTCGTCGAGGAGGATCCGATGACAATGTCGCACATCTCGTCCTTCTTCCAGCCTGAGCCGCACGCGCTCGGCGGCTCTGGCGAGGCCGGCACCTCCGACTCGGACGACGACGAGGTCCTGCCGCCCAAGCCCAACGTCGAGCGCCTGGTCACGCTGGTGGGCGACGTGCGCGACCGCGCCGTGTTTATAGTCGACGACATGATTGACAAGCCCAACTCGTGGATCGCGGCGGCCGAGACGGTGGTCAAGCGCGGCAGGGCCAGCAGGGTCTACTGCATTGCCACGCACGGCATTTTCGGCGGCGACTGCCTGCAGCAGATGCAGGACTGCGACTGCATCGACGCCATCATCGTGACCAACAGCTACCCGATCCCGGTCGAGCAGGCGCGGGATGCCTCCAAGCTGATCGTGCTGGACCTGTCGTTTTTGCTGGCCGAGGCCATCCGGCGCAACCACTATGGCGAGTCCATGTCGCCGCTCTTCCAGCACATTATGGACTGAGGAGCGGGCAGACGATGATGACCCTTCATCATCACACCACGACAGCTTTTTGTTTTGACCACAGAACAACACGACACACAAGAATTCATACAGCGATGGCGTTTTTGGCTTTTCTTTATTTTTACTTTTTTGGCCTGTCTTTTCACGTTTTATCGAACGGAGAAGACCAGAGTGTCTGGACTCCTATGTGGAATTGGCTTTTGCAGCAATAACGGTTTGTTTGTCCTTTTTTATTGGTCTTTTGCTTTCGACCATTTCGCATTGACTTTCATGCCCCAACAACTCGGAATTTTGGAGGCGGAGAACAACGAGCACTGCAGCGCGGGATCAGGATACTAGACGGATAGTCTCCAAGACGTTACGACTTTTAACAATATTACTATTTTTTTCTGAGCCCTCTTTCCCAGATCCCTTCCCCGTTACACATTTCCCCTTTTCCCTCTTTCCCTTCTTTCCCCTTTTTTCTCTTGTCACGGCGTCGCATGACAGTCAGACACCAGCGTTGCTGCCTTCGGGCAGCACGAGCTTAGATTCCATCCCAGGACGAGCTCGTAACGGACCGTTGGAAGAACAAATGCTCTCCTCTCTTGGGGCCCATTCGGTTGTTGAAGGCCCGTCGTTTCTTCTGTATGTCACCTCCCATTCGTGGGAGGAGTGGGCGACGGGCAAGAGAACCTCTCGAACATCTCATTTGTAAAAGAATATTCGGCTGTGACATCTGCCAGTAACAACGACTGAACCACCTCAGAGGAACTGCTCGTAGAAAACTCAAAGGTTGACAACAAGTGGTGGTGAGCTTACTGAAACATGGACACTTCAGCTGTTCTTGTAGGACACGACGAACCAACTGGCACTGCAAGAAAAGCTATTGAATATTTATACAAGAGAAAGGGTGAACGAATAATTCAATTTACATTTCAAAATATTGTAAGCCATACATGAGTGATTGTGATGAGTGCAATGCCATCACGTGATTGCGCGGCGAATCAACCTTTATCGATAAGGCGCATGCGTCGCTTTTAGCTACCCTTGCACCAGGCAAAGAGCTTCATCCCTCACAACAGCCACCTCTTTTCTCCTCGACCTCTCCACGAGTAGACCAACCATGCCTGCCGACCTCACATCCTACCTCGCCTCGCGCTACCTAGTAGCCGACACCAAACCGACCAAAAAGCGCAAACGCAAGCACAATAAAGACGGTGGCGACGGACTCTTGATCACGGACGATGACGACTCTGGCTGGGCGAAAAAGGGTGGACGCGGTGGCGGTAGCGACGACGACGCCGATGAGCCAACTATAGCAGGAGGCGGCACGGTTGCCGGCACGTCGGCCGCGTTCCGCAAGACCAAAAAGTCCAACTGGACGGTGTTGGGGAGCACGCCCAAATCAAACACAAACACACCCAGCGCGGGCGAGACCGCGGCCGACACCGCGGCCGACACCGACGCCGATGCCATCATTGCGGCCGCCGCAGCAGACAACGCCGCCGCGCTGGCGGCCGAGGACGAGGCGCCCGTCGTGGAGGGGGAAGACGACATGGCCAAGCCCCGAGCGTCCGCCGTCCTCATGAGCGACGGCACCCATGCGGGCCTGCAGTCGGCCGCCTCCGTCACGGCCCAGCTCGAGCGCCGGCGACGCGAAGAGCGCGAGCAGTACGAGCGCGAGCGCCGGGAAAAGCGCGAGCGGCGGCGACAACGGGGCGGCGGGGACAAGGGGGGTCTGTCGGGCGAGGAGGAGGAGGACGTGGTGTATCGAGATGCGACCGGCCGCCGCGTCGACGTGGCGCTGCGCCGCCAAGAGGTGCGGCAGGCCGCGCTCGAGGCCGAGCAGAAGGAGCGCGACGCCAAGGAGGCGCTGCGGGGCGATGTACAGCGCGAACAGGCGCGGCAGCGGCGCGAAGAGCTGGCCGACGCGGCGCTGATGCCGCTGGCGCGCGGTGCTGACGACGAGGCGATGAACCGCGAGCTCAAGGCGCAGACGCGGTGGAACGACCCGATGGCGGCGTTTCTGGCGGAAAAGACGCCGGCCGCCGCCGGCAGCGGTGGTGGCGGCGGCGGCGGCGGTTCTGCATCCAACCCGGCCAAGTCGGGTCGGCCAGTCTACCGGGGTCCAGCAGCGCCCAATCGCTACGGCATTCGACCAGGCTACCGGTGGGACGGCGTGGACCGCGGCATAGGCTTCGAGGCCGAGCGGTTCAAGGCGATCAACAGGCGGGAACGGGACCGGGATCTCAACTACCAGTGGCAGATGGACGTGTAGTCGGGAGTGGAGAGCATACCTTGCATTTGTTGTTTTTATTAGCGAACACTGTTTTGATATAGAATGCATAAAGTCTACCAACGTGGACTTCAAACTGAAATACAATACCTCTCACTAATAGTTGTGGTTTTATTCGTTGTTATTTCACGTATTTTTTGTATGTTTATTATTGGTCTGACTTTTTTTTTTTCATAAAATACGTCAAAAGCGAATATAAATAAATAATATATAGAGTCAATGTTTATTTTTAAAGACTGCGACGACCATCTACTCTAGATTGGGTCGCTACCGACATGCAGCACAAAACCCGGCGAATACTCAAAAGCGACCTCCTTTCAGATCAAAAGGTCACAGTTCTATCTCCTCTTCAGCTTGCTCAACCCCGGAACATCAAGCTGGCCCCTAGTCAGAACCCGGCGTCTTTGCTCTCAGAAGCTTGTCCTCGCCAAAGACCGAGTTCTCCTTGACCAGCTTGATCCAATCCTTACGCTTCATCTGGTTCGGACCGTCGCCAATGCGGTTGCCAAACTGCTTCAGCAGACCGCCCACGGTGATGCCCTCGGGAATCTTGCGCAGCGCAGCAATAATTTCCTGTGCGTCCATCGAGCCAGAGCCGGCGGCGCCCGGCGACCCGGCGCGGGACGTCGGCGAGCCGGGCGAACCAGCACGGCCGGGCGATCCGGGGCTGGAACCAGGTGACAGCGCACCGGTATTTGTGGGGTTCGGGCTCGAGGCGCGGGACCCCGAGGGCGTGCTGCGGGCGCCGGCACCGACAATCTTGATCCGCCGCTTGCCACTGGCGGCACCGTCGGACATCTCGCCGGCGGTCGCCTCGCCGTCGCTCAGGGCGCCGCCACCCGTGGACGAGCCGCTCTTGAGGATCTTCGCCCGCGGCGGCTGGCCGGGCAGGGGCGTCGAGGAGCGACTGGGCCGGACGGAGCCGCCGTTGGCGTGCTTCTTGACCTTCTTGCGCGAAGACTCGTTGCCACTAGATTCCGAGAGATTCGGCGAGCCCGGCCGCTTGAGGGACTTGCCCTTCTTGCCAATCGCAGCTGCGTCAGAGCTCTTCTTGCCTTGCGGCGTGGTGCTGCCCTTGGGCGTACCTGTTGCTGTGGCCGGCTTGTCCTTGTCCTTACCCTCGGCCTTGGCCTTTTCGTCCTCCTCCTTCTTCTTCTCGTCGTCCTCGTCTTCATCCTCGCTCTGTAGATTGTTAGTTTGCTGCAAACAGCACAGAGTAAACCAGTACATCTTCATGCGCCCAATGGCGTCACGTACCGAGAGCTCCAAGAAATCCTCCTTCTCCGAGTTGGTGTCCGAGTCCACATACTCGAGGTACTCGAGATGCGCCTCGCGCTTCGCCAGCGCCTTCCGCAGCTGCTTGCCCAGCTGGCCCGTTTTCCGCGCCGCCTTGTCTTGTTCCTCCTCCTTGTCAATTTCCTTCTCGTCGGCATCGCCAAACAGGTTGGCGCCCAAGTGGTTGCGCCGCAGCCGCTCGCGCGTGTCCTTGGAGTCCTCGTCGTTGTCCGGCTCCAGCCCCACGTTCTCGTCGTCGTCCTGGAACTCGTCGCCCTCCATGTCAATGTCGTCGTGGTCCACCTTTTCGGACCGCGGTGCCGACCGGTATGTGCTGCTTTCCAGCTTCACGCGTGCGCGGCCGCCAATCGTCTTGCGCGTCTCCTCCAGCTCGTCCCGCGCCTTGCGCTTCTCGTCGTCGCGCATCGCCCACCGGCCCGCCGTCATTTTCTTGCCCATAATCTCCTCGGCCTGCTCAATCGAGTACGCCTTGAAGGGCGGCTTCGGCGTGAACCGGTAAAACTTCTCGAGCGGCACCATCCGGAAGGACGAGCCGTTGATCACGAGCGCCACGTTGGCCTCCGAGAGCGCCGACACGTACGTGCCGACCCACACGTTCTTGCCGTCAGCGTCTTCGAGGTGCCATGGCAGAGCCTCCTCGTAGCGAATCTCTGTCTCCTTCTTCTGCTCGGCCGTGTTCTTGGGGAAGTACAGCTGGAACTGCTTCTCCTTCTTCTGCTGCTGCACCGGCTTCTTGGGCGCCGACTCCTTGGCTGCTACTGGCGCAATCTGGGCCATGTCAATCGCCCGCTGTGCCTCGCGCTCCGCCTTGAGCTGCGCGGCCTTCTCGGCCTCCTTGTCGTCTGCCGTCGCCACCGATTCTGGTGCCGGTGTCGCCTCTTCCTTGACGGCCCGGCCGGGCGCCGGCTGCCGGGGATCACGGCGGTGCAGCGACACCGGCCGCGTGAAGTCGTCTTGGTTCGTCGGGTCAATCTCGGCATTGTCGTCGCCGCCCTTGCCCGCCTTGGCAAAGCGCATCACATGGTAGCGGATGCCCTCGCGCAGCGCCCGCTTCGTCGTCACAACCGGGAACTCGCGGTAGCCACCCTCGGGCGCGGGGTCTGTCCATCCGCCGTTGGCCTTGCGCTGCGCATTGAACGCAGCCAGCTTCTTGGCCTCTTCGTCCGCAGTGAGCGTGTTGAGCGTCCGCGCCTCGGACGGCAGACTGAACGCTGTGACGCCGGCCCGGTTGGCCGACGACAGAATGCTGGCGCCCGGGGCTGTGGGCGGACGCTGCACAGGCTTCTTGCGGGCCACAAGGGGATCGGCCTTCTTGCGCCGGAGGAGGTGTGGTGGGATCTTCTTGAGAGGCGGCTTGGGGCTGGCGCCGTTGGTCTGGCCTGGTTGGCCCGACGGACCCGGCTGTCCGGTCGGGTTGGAGCTCATCGTGGAGGTTGGGGATGTGAAGAGGCTCGGGTCGGAAAAGGGGTCACTGTGCGGCGTTCGACAAAGATACTCATAGGTCATGCGCCAGGTAAGTCGCGAAGCCGCTGACGGAGACGGGTCAAGGGGCGGGGCGCATGAAACAGAGGCGTCAAGCAAAGGGAGACCGGAAGGTGTCCCGATTCTCGCTCGCTGTCCTCTGTCAGCTGTGCCTAACCTGGTTGATGTGCCTCCCTTGTTGACGCGTCGCAAAAAAAGAAATAAAAAGGGCGGAAAGACGACGAAGGCGGAGGCTCGCAGGGAATCAAGGGGCCGTCGCAATTCCGGAGACGATTGCGCAGTAGCGAGGATCCGAAAACAGGAGTGGCGGTAAGTCTATTGGATAATCGTGTCGGCAGAGGAGAGGATGGTGCATCGAAAGGTCGTAGGTTGCGAAAAAGAAAAGAAGAGATGCACGAGGCAGAAGAAGGCAGAACTTGTGGAGTTGTGACGGAGTCGAAAGCAGATTAGCAGCCAACTTAGGAAGGGACGGATGCCGACCAATCAGACGCATTTGTGGTGAGTTGCTCTGTTCTGGGAAGGTACTGCTGTGGTAAACTTATGTATCTCTCACACAAAATACGTGAATGGGTACCGAAGCAGCTCTCACAGTACCAAAGCGCCCTGGAGCCACGTCCCCTTGCAGCTTCCTTCAGCGTGCTCGTCCCGCATGCAGCAGGAGGCCATTGTAAGGAAAGAGCAATCGATGTCGAGCGTTCTTTCCCAACACGTTTGATCACCAACAGCCACCAAAACAGAAGGAGCTCACGACGACGCAGAAAACAAAGAGATCAAAACAGACAGCCTCAAAAAAGCATCACCAACGGACAACCGACCACTCTCTACACGTACGCGCAATAGCTTGCATCAACTGAGGGTTTCGCAGGCCGTTTGCATACCCTCGATCGTCCCGTCGCATTGCGTCGGTCCTCTTCGCCCGTCTCTCTACAGCTCAGCCACGCAGCTTTTGACGGCCGGCACTTTACGAAGAGGGTGAAGCTTTGTCTTTCAAGACAGACGGCATTGGAGCAACCCACCAAGGTTCTCCACGTCCTTGACTGCCTCCACATCGCTTCGCGAAGCGACATAGCTGGCTCCTGGTCCCCAATACCCCTCATCACCGAGTGGGTCGAGCTCTACAAGCTCCGTCACCCGCGACGCGCCTGCAGACTGCATCTCGTTTGTGCCGATTGAGCATTGAACAACTGCGCTTGAGCAACGAACACGCCGACCCCATTTCGTACTTGCATCACACAGATATCTGTCCCGACAAGACTACACTTTGCCTACCGCGCCCATTTAAGCTGTCATTCATGGCTTGCCGTGCATTTCACGTTCCAGCAGCATGTATCACCAACAGCCCAGTGGAGGCGGAGAAGGAGGAGGAGGGAGGACGATGCCCGACCCAGGTCTGAATGCGTCCGCCGGAGCTGTGCAGCCCTTGGAGGACCGCCTGCGGAACATGATTTTGGCCAACAGCGACGGCAGCTCCTACGCTAGCCCCCCATCGAGTGCAGAACCGGCGCCTGGCACGTCTCCGTCCAGCTTCGGCTACCCTACCCCTGCTTCTGATGGTCCAGCGTCAGCCGGTGCGATGGGCTCTGCCATTGGGTCTGCACCCCCGCCGGCGTCACCCAAGTCGTCCCGGAAACGCCTCAACCAGGCCCAGCGGCGGCAGATGTCGGCGCAGCTGTCCATCCCTATCAACCCGCGTCCGTCGCCGCCGAACTCGGCTGGCAACTACGCCAGTCCACCTCCATACGGCCATCAGCACCAGTTCCCGCACCAGCACAATAACCATCCTACACACAACCAATATCAACACCAACCGCAGCACCAGCCATATGGCCATTACCAGGGCCACCACGGCCACCAGGGCCACCACGGCCAACACAACTACAGGCAAACAGCCCAGAGGCCGCAATCAGCGACAATGCGGCCGGCACATTACGGCCAAGGCCCCATGCCGCTGACCGGGCAGGGCAGCGGGCCGCCGTATCCCAACCAGCCGCGTCACCATCAGTCGCTGTCCTACCAGGGCCCGATGATGTACGACGACCCGTACAACTGGCGGTCGCACCAGGGCCACCAGCAGTCGCTCGGCTCTTTTGACGCCCAGTCCCCGCGCGGTGGTCGCCCGTACCACCATCACAACAACCACAGCCAGTCGGGCCGCCTGTACCAGCCCAAGCTCGAAGACATCCAGACGCAAGCGGCTGTGCTGGAGCAGCTCTGCGAGCAGATAGTGACCAGCGCAGAGATTGAACCCGAAGAGATTCACGAGAAGGAGCAGTTCCGGGCAGCCATTGAGCAGCTGTGTCAGATGGCGCTGGCCAAGTACGAGTACGAGGTCAACGGTCGACAGGACTTCCCGCCGCCCAGTGTGCGGCTGCTCTGCTTCGGCAGTCTGGCGTCCGGGTTCGCAACCAAGGCCTCGGACATGGACCTGGGTCTTATCTCGCCCCTGTCTCTCCCGCCGCCCGACGCTCCCGAGTCTCCGATCCCACGTCTGATTGAGAAGGCGTTCCTCGATGCCGGTCTCGGTGCGCGCCTTCTCTCCCGGACACGCGTCCCCATCATCAAGCTGTGCGAGAAGCCACCGAAGCAGCTCCGCATCGACCTCCTGGACGAGCGGGCCAAGTGGGAGAGGGGCCTGCTTTCTGACCACGATGGTCACGATGGTCACGATGGCCACGATGGCGACGACGACGTTGCCGATGAAACAGAGACGGCATCTACGCCAGTACAAACTGTCGGAGAGGGAGCCCACATCACTGGTGACGTCAACGGACACGAGACCAGCCACGGACGTGCTGCTAGCAATGACAGCGGCAAAGAAAAAAGCAACGACAGCGCCAACGGCAACGATGGCAGTCGTGGTCACAGCCACGGCCATAGCCGCAGCCAGAGCCAAAGCCAGGGCGGCGACGACGCTAAGCTACTTGGCCACGGCAGGAAAGACTCTGTGCTTGATGGCCCGGTGGACGGTGACCGGTACAAGCAGATCCTCGCCCACCTCAAGCAGCCGGCGAACCAGACGCTGGGCAACTACTATTCGAATGCGAAGCGGATCTTGCGGAAGCTCGACGGGCGCGACATTACGCATTCGACGGCCCGTGAGTTCCGGGAGAAGGACCTCAAGATCTTGACAGACGTCTGCCATGCGTTTGTGGAGGGTCTGGCCGACCCGAAGCTGCAAAGCCGGCTCTGGGCCACACGGTCGCTGGCGACGTCGCACACGCCCTCGCAGCTCAACTACCGGTCTCTGTACGGTGTCTACATGCAAGCCGAAGGCGAGGCGCTGGCCATGATGTGGGACTCGCGCGAGATCAACGAAAAGGACGCGCACCACGAAGAGGAGGCGCGGCAGAAGCTCAAGATGTGGACGGACCTGCAGAACAAGGCCAATTTTGCCGTGGACCTTCTCGGCTACAACAAGGAGATGCAGCTGGCCGTGGACAGCCTGCGCAAGATTCCATCGCTGCAGCTTATGACGCTGGAGCAGGGCCAGTTCGAGACGGCCACACAGTACCACGAGCGCACCGGCAAGCTGCTGTTCCAATGCGGCGGACGGGATGCGGCGGGGCCGAACAACACGATCTTGCCCATTGTCATACGGCAGTACATTGCGGGCATCTGGAGCCACGAGATCCGCGAGCAGGTGGATGCGTTCTCGCAGACGCTGGACAAGCCGAGCCTGCGGGCGGTGGCCCGGCGCCACAAGAGCCTGCAGCTGGCACTCGAATTCGAAAAGGCGGTCGCGAAGAACTGCTACGATGACGAGGCGACGGCGGCAGGTGTGCTGAAGTACGTCGACATCCTCCGGCGGCCGCTCGAGAAATGCGATCTGCCAGGGCGGCGGTTCGACTACGTGGTGGCACGCACGCCCGACACGGCGCCGGTGATCTCGCTTGTGCGGCGGACGCTGGTGGACCCGTCGAAGCTGGCGCCCAACCAGCCGCGCGACCCGTACCGCGACCGCCTCGAGTTCCCCAAGACTGGGCTGGGCGTGCAGTGCGACATCAACTTCTCGGCGCACCTGGCGCTGGAGAACACGCGGCTGCTGCGGTGCTACTCGCACACGGACGCGCGGGTGCGGCCGCTGGTGCTGTTTGTCAAGCACTGGGCCAAGATGCGCGGCATCAACACGGCGTACCGCGGCACGCTGAGCAGCTACGGCTACGTCCTGATGATGCTGCATTATCTGGTGAATGTCGCGCAGCCGTTTGTGTGCCCGAACCTACAGCAGCTCGACCGGCCGGCACCGGCACCGGCCGAGGGCGAAGGGCCGGCTGGAACGGACGCGGTGCATGGCGGACATGGCGCAGGTGATTTGCAGTCGCCGTACGCAGGCCGTGATATGCACTTCTGGGGCGACGAGGAGAAGATCAAGCAGCTTGCGTCCGAGGGCCTGCTGACGCAGAACAAGGACTCCATTGGGCACTTGCTGCGCGGGTTCTTTGAGTACTACGCGCAGAGCAATTTTATGAGCACGGTGCCATCCAAGGGCTTCGACTGGGGCCGGGACGTGCTGAGCCTGCGGACGCCCGGCGGCTTGCGGTCAAAGCAGCAAAAGGGCTGGACGGGCGCGCGGACGGTGCTGGAGGTGCAGAACCAGGCGTCATCACCAGCGGCGCCGCCATCAGTGCAGACGCCGCCAGGACCGACGCCGGCGGCGCAGTCGACCGTGCAGCCGACTGTGCAGCCACCACTGGGAGGTGCGGCAGCGGCAGGAACTGGACCGCCGACGACGCTCGACGACGGCGCTGCCAACGCTCCGGCCAAGCCGGTCGAGCTCAAAGAAGTCAAGCACCGCTACCTGTTTGCCATTGAAGATCCGTTTGAGCTGGAGCACAACGTGGCGCGCACGGTGACGCACAGTGGGATTGTGGCGATCCGCGACGAGTTCCGGCGGGCGTGGCGGCTGATCAAGACCATGGGCAAGACGGGCACGGCGCCGGGTCTGCCAGACGAGGCGCTGCTGGACGACGTGACGGACATCAAGGCCAAGGAGCGGGACGTGTTTGGGGAGCTGCTGAACGAGATCCACGGGCCGGAGCTGGTGCTGTAACGGCGGGGGTGTGTGTACGATACGAATTGGGGCTGGTTGTTACGGTTGTTACGATTGTTTACGGAACGGGTGGTTTGGACGGTGTGTCGACGAATGCTACGGATTGGGGGGTAATGGGCAAGGTGGGACATGGACATCAAGGTGTATGATGGTAAGGAGACGGAGGAATGGGCGAGGAAGAACCTGTACGAGTAGGGGACATTTTGCATGGATCGGGGATGCTGGCGCTCTGTTGTGTCGAACATGGGCTGTTTTGCGTTATATTGCAATCAATTTACTGATTTACAAGTCACTGATTTGATTTGCGACGGACGCATTTGCGCCAACGTGTTGTTTACATGAAGTAGGAGAGCGTGAGGCCGAGGCGCGAGGATGATGCAAGAGAGTGGGAGAGTGGAGAGTGGCTTCTGAGGGTGTTCTGCGCCTGGCACTTGTACCAACGGTAGCGTCCACGAACGAATAGGCCGCTTGCCAGACGCGTCTTGATTGCACTACCGAGTCGCGTCAACCTCGCTATTTGGCCAAACACATTTCACATGCAGCTTGCATTTTTGCGAAAGAATGTCCAGCTTAACGTCGAGCGCGAGATGGCCGGTGTCCCGCAAATTGGTGAGTCGAAAGTGTACTGCAGTTTGTGAGGGGAGATTACGTCACATGCAAAGAGGCTGTCGCTTCGCTTTCATGGCCTTGTGCCTTTGTTCCGACGGCTCATGTCGGAGTCAAGGACAAGGACGACAGACCAAAAGAGAGAGCAAATGACAATACAGAAACAGCCACGGGGAGGGGTGTTTTTGTTCGGGTATTCTGGACGAGACGGGGGCCATCAGCCCGTACGATAGACTGTACTGCGTACTGTGCATCTTGTACGAGTATGTATGCCTCTGTCTATTCTTGGCGCACCCAAAACAGCCCCATGACACGATGAAGCGGCAAAATAGGAGGAGCACGTTTCCATGATGCCACTGGCGTCTGCACGCCGTACGCGGTGCGTCGTTCGGAATGATCCCATATTATGTCATCCCTCTTGTTGCAGGGTCGCGTTTCGTCATCGTCTGGATGCTTGTCACTCGTCCCCTGTCTCATGCCTCACTATGTTGTTTCTCCTCTTCTCTCCTCCTCTCCTCCTCTCCTCTCCTCCTCTCCTCTCCTCCTCTCCTCCTCTCCTATCCTCCTCTCCTCTTCCTCGTCCGCCTCCACCCGCCACCTCATTCTTCTGTCCATCCAGCGGGCGGCTGCAGGGCACATGGTCTGCCTTTGTCCTTTCTCATTCTCCTCTGTATCACCTCGCGAGACTGTTTCCTCTCTCGTCCTTTCTTTTGTAACCCTGCTTCATAACATGCAAATATGCAATCGTCCACACCCGCCGACGATCGACAACGTCACTCCCTGTACTCTGTAGCTCCCAAAGCTTTCGCGCCTGGGGCCAACGCAAGTCAACCAGCGGGAACAACACAAGGAACGCATGCGGGGGTGCTGTCGTCAGGTGCCAGGCGCAGGCTTCTGGTTGGCCTCTTCCTTTGCAGCCTTGAGTATCTGTCGCCGCGTGGGTCATGGTCGCTGGTGCCGGCTGGGGGACTGACCAGAGGGGGAGAGGGGAAGGAGGAAGAAGGAAGGCGGCGAGTGGGGGCGGCAGGTGCGCACGCAGGCACCAAACGAAGCTCGTGCCAAGGCTGACGACTATACAAGCGACGACTCACTCCTCACAAAAACAAAGCTAACCCAGGACGGCCTATGACAGCATCGGCCAGTTAAGCTGGCAAGCTGGCAAGCTGGCAAGGCCAGGCACTGTGGGGTCATGTTCGAAGGCGCAGGCGCAGGCAGACGACAGACCAGACAAGGAAAACAGCGATAAGGTATTGTAGGAAGTAATCTGGGGGAGGGCGTGTAACCAGAATAGAACCAGAACGAGGCCCTTGATGGACTATTTATTCGTAGGCGGGTAAGGCGGGCGTGACGAACAGAGTGACCGCAATGGCCAATGACCACAGTGCCCACAGTGCCCACAGTGACCACAACGGCCAAGCCGGCTTTACCCTGGCAGCCTGTGGCGTGGCTGTCAATGGTCGCGACTTCCGTTCTTGTCGCGTCATAGCCTCTCAACTTACTGCATTATCGTGTTGGGAAATGGCAGGAGCACGGCCCAGATGACGGCGATGATCAGGCTGACAGACACCGAGAAGCCATCAAAATACAACCAAACGACCCCAAATAGGAGACACAAGACACAAAGAAACACAAACTACGCGCGATGACATTCTCTGAAAACAGCCTCTGGCAACAGCCCAGTGGTCACTCTGCACTGCCGTAGCACATCCCAGCGTCGCTTCCTTTGTCTTCTCGCTCTTTCCCAGTTTGGCCAGGCACGTCCTTTCACTCCCTTTGCTCCTGCCCTGCCGACCAACCAATCCGGCCATGCCCTCCTCCCTTTCTCTCTCCTTCGCTGCTTCCGTCCGCCTCCTTCCCTACTCTCGCAATCTGACTCTAGCCGCCGTAGGCAGCGTGCCTGCTGTCCCGTAGTGCCGTCCTGGTCCCTGTCCATCCACACCATTTACACCATTTACACCATTTACACTCACGCCTCAACACCCACACCCACACCTGCCCTCAAGGCTAGAGATAACGCCTTCCCCCCTTTCCCGATTTGGGTCTTTCCTCATTCACCCGAGAACGGCATCAGCAGCCACCAGTCAAAGGGCAACAAGGTCGTGACCAGAGGTCCCTTCGTCACAAAGGCAGGAGACAAATAAATAGCACACAGTCGGCCCTCGACCCTTTCCCTTGCCACTCTCCTTCTGGCTCCGACTTGTCCAGTTGCACTATGAATTAACAACGCCAGCAACATCAACGACCACATTCCACCTGCAGCTCATTCTTATCGCCCTACACAAGGCTGTGGAACACGCCTGTCCCTTCTTTATCTCTTATCAGCAACCACTGCGCACGCCCTGACAAACAACACAATCGTCGTGCTCGACACGTCACGGCCACTTGACACTCCTCATTGGCCCTCGTCTTTCCTCGCATCATAGCTCGCTCTTTACGACTCGACTGCGTCCTCAGCTGCTCTGTTTTCTTGTCACTCTCGTTCTTGCTGATTCTCTCGTGTACTCTGTGTGCTTTGTATCCTCTTCCCTACCCTCCCAGCGACTCCTTCTTCATCCACAACATGTCGACCGCCCAGTTCGACCGCGATCTGCGCAGCGCCCACATCGACTTCAAGCGCTCCAAGGACCACCGCGCGAAGTGGGAGCACGGCGCCCGCGGCATGCACGCCGGCGGGCTCAACGTCTCGCCGGACGCCGACAGCGACGCGCTGCTGGCCCGCGGCCTCCGGCCCCGCAAGCCCATGGTCCGCTACTGGGTCATGCCCAGCAACAACATCCAGAAGCCCGACCGGGGCCACCGGTCCAGCGTCCCGCCCGCCCGCCACCGCGAGACCTCGCGGGCCCTGCTGGAGCTGCAGGAGTCCAAGGCCCTGTCGACGTCGGAGATTCTGCAGGGCGGGCCGGCCGCCCCGACGAAGACGACGCGGGCCGACACGTTTGTGGCTGCGAGCGCTTCTCCCCTGTACAGCTTCGACCACAACGCCCCCGCCGCGGCCCTCCCCCTCGACGCCTTCATCAAGGCCCCCACCGTCCGCGACACTGAAAAAATGATCAAGAACGAGTACGAGGTCCTCGACGCCAACGGCGAGGCCGTGCACGGCCGCAAGGCCCGCGCGGTCCTGCGCCAGGCCGCCGCCAACTCGCCCCTCACACAGCCCAAGCTCGTCGAGGTTGTCGACGACGACGACGACGACTTTGAGCTGGTGTAGGCTGTTCGACGGTTGACGGCTGTCTGCCGGCAACTGACCTTTCTTTCCTCTGTCATTCTACTCTGCATCGTTTACGACTCGGCGTTTTGGGTTTTCTTCGCGTCCGTTTCTTTTCTCGTTTCAGCGGTGGAGTTTCTTCGTAATGGATCGGGCTAGCATCTCAGTCGGACGAGTCTTTGTTTGCATCAGGATTTGGGTTTCTACGTCTTATTTGGTTTTTGTTCGTTTTTTCTTCTGTCCTTTCCACTGTACTTCTCATACTATATCTTCTCATTTCTTTCTTTCCTCTTTCGATGCAGCCATGTCTTCTCTTCGCATCAAAGCTGGCCCTGTTTCCTATGTTCTCTACTTTTGCATCCTATGTCTTGTATTTTCTATAGCTGCACATCTGCGCGAGACAATCGCGAGAGAATACAACTCTCACCTACAGCCTCGTCGGCAATGCGATTTATTTTTCTCAAGAGATCATCTCTTTGCCAAATACTTCAGATGGTCGTGCTGCTCCGAGACTCCGTATTATCATCTCCGTTTCCTGCTCCGTCTTATCACGTAGCATTCTAATGGCGTCATAGGGCACTCGCTCCACAGGGCTAATAGTGGATACAGCGGTACCTGTGCCTAGATCGTCCACTAGCAGCGAATCCACTGTTGTATTTGTAGCCGCCCCGGCGCCTTCGGGAGGACCATCAAGGAGCTTCCAGCCGCTGGCCCCGCTTTTTTGCTCTCCTGCTCTTTCCTCCAATAAGACATCAAAGGTGATGCTGGTCGCAGCTTCCTCTTGTCATTCGTATTCTGTGCTACTTCATCGTTTTAAGAAGGAGCCCCCAAGGGAAAAGGGGCATTGTCGAAAGAGAGCATCTTCGGACAAAAAGGGGCCGCTTCAAAGCCCCTAATCCTAATCCTCCAGGCTCAACTTCTGGACGACAGCCACACAATGAAGCTCACGACATGGTTCGCCGCAGCAGCCGGCCTGTTGCCGACCACCACTGCTTCCAACGCTGCCGACACGGCCGACACCCCACCACGCCGGATCGCCGTGATCGGGGCCGGTGCTGCAGGCGCCTCCACTGCCTACCATCTCCGTCAGTTTGCCGACCAGGACGGCGTCGCCGTCAACATTACTCTGTTTGAAAAGACGGACCGCATCGGAGGCCGCGCCCTTGTCGCGCACGCCTTTGACGACCCGAACCAGCCCGTCGAGCTCGGCGCCTCCATCTTTGTCGAGGTCGATGCCATTCTCCAGGGGGCGGCCGCCGACTTCTCGCTGCCGCGCATCCCGGCCGGCGGCGGCGGCAACGACGACGGCAGCGACAGCGGCGGCAGTGGCACCGGCAGCGGCATGCTCGGCATCTGGGACGGCGACCGCTTTGTCTATACGCAAGACGACCGCGCCTACGGCTGGTGGAACCTCGTGCGGCTGGTCTGGACCTACGGCACGGCGCCCTACCGCGCCGACAAGCTCATGCAGGCCACCGTCCGCCAGTTCTTGGCGCTGTACGAGCCGCCCTACTTCCCCTTCCGCTCGCTCACGACGCGCGCGTACGAGCTGGAGCTGGCCTACGTGACGAGCCAGACGGGCGCGCAGTTTTTGCGCGCCAACGGCGTGTCCGACCTGTATGCCCACGACATCGTGCAGGCCAGCACGCGCGCCAGCTATGCCAGCAACCTGGCCCGGCTGCACGGCCTCGAGACCATGATGGCCCTGGCGCCGGCGGGCGGCGCGTCGCAGATCCGCGGCGGCAACTGGCAGCTCTTTGACCGCATGGTGCGGGCCAGCGGGGCGGCCGTCCGCCGCAATACGTCGGTCACGGCCATTGGCCTGGTGCCGGGCAGCGCGCCGCCCCACTCCAAGTACATTGTGAAGACGACAACGACGGCGACGACGACGACGACGCAGGCAGTCGATGGGGCCGGTCGTAGTACGTCCTCGGACGACGCGGCCGAGTACGACGACATTGTCATCGCTACCCCCTACCAGTTTAGCAGCATCGCGGCCGGCGACGGCGTCCTCCAGACGGCCATTGACGCGATCCCCTACGTCGCGCTGCACGTCACCCTCTTTGCCTCGCCGCTGCGTCTGAGCCCGGCCTTTTTTGGCCTCGAACCCGCCGCCGCCGTGCCCACGACCGTGCTCACCACCCTCGCCGAAGACGACGACGACGACGACCAGGGCGCGTCGGGCCCCGACGGCGCCGGCAAGCCGGGATTCTTCTCCATCCGCACCCTGCGCCGCGCCGTCAACCCGGCCACCCTGCGCGAGGAGTACCTGTACAAGATCGTTTCGCCCGAGAAGGTGACTGCCGCTTTCTTGTCCGAGCTCTTTGACATTGACATTCCGGACAGCATCACGGGCGAGCCTTTGGCATCATCTTCGTCGTCGTCGTCGCCGTCGTCGTCCGTCCCCCCCATCTCGTGGTACTACCCACATGTCTTCCACGCATACCCCAAGGGCTACCCCCGCGTCACGTTCCAGGACCCCATCGTCGGCGACGGCGTCTACTACACGTCCGGCATGGAGAGCTTCATCTCGACCATGGAGACGAGCGCGCTGATGGGCAAGAACGTGGCACGCCTGATTGTGGACGACATTCAGGGCCTGTCCACGGGTGAGACCGTGGCCCAAGGTCCGGGGGAGCAGGCAAAAAAAATGACAAAGGGCGGCAAGACGGTTGCTGGTTTGCAGCCCGACAAGGGTCAACAAGCGGTGGGCGAGCTGTAGATGCAACATCGTGTTGTCCAGGAGTCCAGAATTTGTCTAGTTTGGCGATTGCTGCTTTGGTTTCTATTGGCCTTTTTTGACACATGGGGGGTTTGAACCACAAACGACGTGGCATTGTGCCCCGTCACCAATCACCCGACATCGGTGGAGAAGAACATGGTGATGCACGCCGACAGCCATCATGAAACTTTGATACACGTCGATTACGAGAAAAAACCCAGTCTCACGATAAAGCGTCAAGTTTCCGAGGATTATCTAAGGCATAAATCTCTCCGGGGCCATTGACGTCCAATTCTCTCCGAAAACGACGAGCTGACAAATGGCACGAATTTGAAATACTATGTGCAATACGGCCCAATTGGCCGAGAAAGGAGACCATTTCGGTCCAAAATCGATGCAGCTAACGTATTAACATTTAACGCCTTAAAAATGACAAGCGTCAAGGCCATGATATTTCCACACAATCGAACCAGGATTGCACAAGATTGCAGTTGCAACTGGCCTCTGTCCTCCTCCCGGCAACAAATGTCGTGGGCGCACTATGCAGAGGCACTTGGGTGGACTGGCCCTGGTTGCACCATCCGTCAGCTGACAAATTCGTCATTCGCCAACATCGATCAACACCAACAGGTGCAGCACGACTGCCGTGTCGACAGCGTCAGTATGCGGTGCATGGTTTTTGTATAAATGAAGCTGTCTTGCATGTTGCCAAGCACTCAAACCATTTGCAGCCGACAAAGTCGTACTCACGAGACCACGTACACCATTTGCACAGTTTCCACACTCACACCCACCACTCCCACCGCCACCATGACAATCAAGGTTGCCCTCGTCGGCTTGTCCACCAACGCCGTCACCAGCTGGGCCGCCAGCTCGCACCTGCCGTACCTGCTGTCGGAGCGCGGGCGCAAACGCTTCCAGATTGTGGCGCTGCTCAACTCGAGCATCGACGCCGCCCGCGCGGCCATCAAGCACTTTGGCCTGCCGGCCGACACGACGGCGCCGTACGGCCAGGCGGAGGCGCTGGCAGCGGACATCGTGGCCGGCAAGCTCGAGGTGAACTTTGTGTCGGTGGCCACGCGCGTGGATCTGCACTATCCCATACTGCTGCCCATCTTGAAGGCGGTGGCCGCCAAGCGGCAGGATGCACCCAAGGACTTTGGCGTGTACGCAGAGTGGCCGCTGGCGGCCAACCACAAGGAGGCCGGCGAGTTGGTTGATCTCACCCAACAACACGGCATCCGGACCGCCGTCGGCCTGCAGGGCCGGCTGACGCCTGCGTACCTGGCGGTGCGCGACGTGATTGCCTCGGGGCGGCTGGGCCGCGTGCTGAGCAGCAAGGCGTACGGCTACGGCGGGTCCGCGACGCGCACGGCGCTGCTGGAGTCGCTGGGCTACTTTGCGGACCGGTCGGTCGGCGGCAACGTCGTCACCATCACCCTCGGCCACACCATTGACCCGATCCAGTTTGTGCTGGGCGAGCTGTCGGCGACCAACACCAAGTCGGTCTCGCAGCTGCAGCGCCCGCAGATCGAGCTGCAGAAGCCCGGCGCCAAAGAGGGCGAGTGGGTCGTGGCCAAGACGGTGACGTCCAACGTGCCGGATCTCGTGACGGTGGTGGGCACCCTGGACAAGAAGGAAGGCAAGGGGGCCGACACCGACAACTTCAGCGACGGCACGGCCACCCTCCTCGTGCGCCTTGCCCGCGGCGAGCCCTTCCCCGGCGAGCCCGCCTACATCTGGTCGATTGCCGGCGACGAGGCCGAGCTGCGGCTGGTGTCGGCCAACAATCTCGCGATCCATGCGCTTGGCGGCAACAGCGAGGGCCCGTTGGCGGTCAAGCTGTCGCTGTACGACTACGCGACGGGCGAGGTGACGGACGTGCCCTGGCAGTGGCAGGACTGGCAGAACACGCTGGAGCCGGTGCCGGCCCGCAGCATTGGCGCGCTGTACGAGGCGTACGCCGACGGGCGGGAGGCGGAATATGCGACGTTTGTGGACGCCCAGGCGAGGCAGATTCAGCTTGATGGCTGGCTGGACGAGTATGAGAAGCAGACGCAGTGAGTGGCGCGGAACGGGACGGAGAAGAGGGAGAGTCGATAGAACAGACACAGACACAAGACACAAGACACAATCTGTAAAAATAAATCCAATATAACAGTGACGAGCATTGAGTAATCAGAAGCAGAAATAAAGGCAACTGACCAAAGACAAGATATTCCCAGTACAAGAAAAAGCAAAAAGAAAAAGAACATACAAGTGGAAGCAATGATAATCCCATCCATCCAAAACGCCGTTGTTTTCCACCCTTTTTTTTGCTTTTCAATAAGAGTGGGCTCGGTGGCCCTCCTCACGAACTGACTTTATGGACACACATAGTAGAACAATTAGTAACCGCCCCGGCCCCGGCCACCTCCGCGCGAGAAGCCACCGCTGCCGCCACGGCCACCGCGCGAGAAACCACCGCCGCCACCACGGGAGAAACCGCCGCCGCCGCCGCCGCCGCGCGAGAAGCCGCCGCTGCCGCCACGGCCACCACCGCCGAAACCGCCCCGACCGCGCGGTGCACCACGGCCGCGACCGCCGGCACCAAAGCCGCCACGGCCACCACCACGGCCACCGGCGCCGCCCATGCCAGGCTTCTTGACGCGCTTCTCGGTGCCCGGCGGGGGCTTGGGCTTGGGGAGGAAGCGCTCAAAGGGCAGCAGCTTGTCGCTGCTGAGGAAGAACTTGTCGCCGGCCTTGAAGCTGGCGGCCTGGATGCCCTCGGAAGGCTTGATGGTGAAGTAGACCTGGTTGATGGGGCCGAGGACCTCGTCGACCTTGCCGACGTTGGTCTTGTTCTCGAGGAAGACAAAGGCGTTGAACTGGGGGATCTTGCTGGCGTTGACGCTCTTGCAGACCATCTCGCCCTCGCAGGCGTGCACAAACGCGCCCATCTCGACGACGGAGGCCGGCGGGCCCATGTCGCGCGGCGCAAAGCCGCCGCGGCCTGTTGCGAGCTACGTTAGCGACGGATGCCAGGCAGGCAGACAGGACCGTAGAACCGTAAAACCACCCGCCATGATCATCCCGACTTACCACCACCACGGCCACCAAAGCCACCGCGACCGCGCGGTGCGCCTCCACGGAAGGACATGTCGAGGGGGGGGAAGGGAACAAGAGGAAGAAACGAATCGAGGAGGTGAGCAGCAGTCGGGGATGTGGACCGTCGTTCGTCGTCGTCGGGTGGTCGTCGAATCTGTGCGGTCGCAGAAGAGACTGAACTTTGGCTGGCAGCTTTTTTTTTATTTTTCTTTGGACACTAGATATTTTTTCTCAGTTGTCTCTGATTGGCTAAAAGGCTAGTTAAAATGGGTCCTTCGGTTTTGGCTCACTTCTTATCTTATCGTGGAGCTGTGGGTCCTCACTCACGCTCCTGCCAGCCTGAACCGAATTACAGTGGGTCTTTCGTCACGGTTATCCTCCAGACCTCCAGATAGGAGATTCATCGACGGCGCCAACACCAGACATATCAAATAAAGTTCTGTTCGAGGAAACAATGCAACGTCATCAGTAAACAATCTCGAATACGGTTGCTGAAAAAAACACAACGGGGTGAATCTGTCGACTCATCGCACTCGAATTCGACGCAATCGGCCACAACTGCTTCATTTGTCAATCACGCAAGCGGCGAGGGCGCTCCGAAGCAGGACCCAGCCGACTGCGGATGGGATGTGAGTGCTCGGTAATACTCCGCATAGGTTCAGGGTCGTGCTGTGCAGTGGCTGCCGCGGAGAGATTACCGCCCTGGCCTTGCAAGTGTACATTTCGAATGGTATATAATGTCTGTTGGCCTGAGGGCATACGGAGGCGGCTTGTGAGAATTCGCGAGAGGCTTGCAGGTGTTGAGAAGCGTGACATTAAATGCCATGATCTCCGCCCCCGCCCCCGCCCCCCTTTCTAGAGGTGCTTGCGTTTGTCGGTGACGCGTTGAGCAAGGTCTGGCTTGCCAAACATGATAGCTTCAGCTACTTTTACAACGCGGCGGAGTCGGCTGGTGTGCACACCTTTTGGCGCCTTCTCCGGGAACAGTCCCCAGCATTGCTCCCATGTGTGGCCTGTTTTCAAGCATCCCTCGCACCTCTTCTCACCTGGGTCCCCTTGTTGACGCTTCACGGGGCGGTGGATCCCGCCTCGTGTGTTCGTGCGTGGCCTCTTCTTGTCGTTCGTCTTCGGAGCTAAGGAGGAGGTTGCTCGTAGGTATTTTGAGCTGGTGGGCCTTCGCTGGCTGCTCCTTGAAAAGGCCTCATCGTCACCTGGGTCGAGAGAGGATGTACACCCGAATCCTTTGACGACCTTGCCAGAGTACAAAGATTGAGACTGCTCAAGCCACTTCGTCGCCTGCAGTACCTCCGACTCCCAATGGGGTGCGCGGCGGACGTCATATTCGTCTGGATCGTTTGACTTATATGCTCGGCGAGTCTCCATGGCGATGTCTGCAAAGTGCGGAATCAGGACGGCATACAAGCCTCGTAGCCATGGTAGGTTCAGCCGCTCGCATTCGTGTAGAGCCTTCCGCCAGCTCGTAACCACTCCTTGGCGCCCCGGCGTTGAACTTCGTAAGGACTGTCTGGTACTCCCCTTCAGCCAGAAGTCGTTCTGTTGGCTTTCGGTATCGCTGGCTCGGTCGGTGGCTTGTCTCTTTGTGATCTGACAGGATCCCAGTACGTCCAGTAGCTGGCAGCAGGATCTCTCGCCATCTCAACCCATTTGTACCAGTCCCGCCGGCTGTAGAGCTTCTGTGGCATACAGTGTTTGGCCAATATTGTATCCATTATAGCATATATGTGAGAATGTTCGCCTAAATCCATAACTGCCTCACTTCCGTGGCTTTGTCCCTGGAGCCCCTGAACAGATCTGGGGACAACACGTGACCTGCTACGCTAGTGGTCCTACATTTGGGAACCGCGCCAGTCGGAGCGTCCCGCTTATCGGGCCTTCCGTCTAAGTGCTATCAGTGCCAGACTGCGAACGGAAGGAGCGAGGGTGCCAGAGCGGCGGCCAATGAGGACTCGGGGAAATGTCGGCAGTTCTTGTGCAGATGGCGCATGAGAGGGAAAGAAACCGCGTCTGCTGTCTGTGTCTGTCGTCTGTCTGTCGTTCGTGTAGACTCTAGTAGGGAGAGAGAAAGAAGCAATCGAGACTCTGTGGCTCTCACAGCATCATCTTCCACGTTAACGCCAACACTCTTTGACCATGCCCCGTACCATTACTGTCGCCGCGGCCCAGATGGGCCCCATTGCCCACGCGCCCACCAACCCCGGCGGCCCGGCCTCGCGCGAGCCTGCCCTGGCCCGCCTGCTCACGCTGCTCGAGGACGCTGCGGCCCAGGGCGCACAGCTCGTCGTGTTCCCGGAACTGGCGCTGACGACGTTTTTCCCGCGCGCTCTGCTGACAGACGCCGCCGACGTGGCTGCCCTGTTCGAGCCCGAGTCGGATGCGCCCGGTGCGCCGAGCATCGTGGACTCGCCGCACCTCCAGCCGCTGCTGGCACGGGCGTCGGCCCTGGGCGTCGATGTGAGCATCGGCTATGCCGAGCGGTGGACCGATGCCGCGGCGCCCCAAACGACGACCGACTACAACACGGCCATCTACTACTCGGCCCGGACCGGCGCCGTCGTGGCCAAGTACCGCAAGGTGCACCTGCCCGGGCGCACGACAATGCTGCCACCCGGCTCGGCGCAGCAGCTGGAAAAGCACTACTTCACGCCGGGCAATCTGGGCTTCCAGGCGTTTCGCATCCCCGGTGTCTACGACGACAGCGCCGGCCACAACACCCCCCAGCCCATTGCCGGCATGCTCATCTGCAACGACCGCCGGTGGGCCGAGGCCTGGCGGTGCCTGGGCCTGCAGGGCGTGGAGCTCGTGCTGTGCGGCTACAACACGTCCGACTACAAGCCGCAGGAGCCGGGCAGCGTCCAGGAGCAGACGGAGCTGGCGCTGCTGCACCACCACACCAGCTGCCAGGCCGGCAGCTACACGAACGCGTGCTTCAGTGTCCACGTGGCCAAGGCGGGCGTCGAGGCCGAGGGCGCCGGCGGCGGGCTGATTGGCGGGACGGTCATCTATGACCCGCTGGGCCGCAAAGTGGGCGAGACGGCGACGCTGGGGGACGAGCTGCTCGTGGCGACGCTGGACCTCGACATGTGCGCACAGCCCAAGCAGACCATCTTCAACTTTGCCAACCACCGGCGGGTCGAGCACTATGCGCGCATCATCGAGCAGGTCGGTGTTGTCGAGCCGCCGTTGTAGGTTGGGGGGAGGTGGTGGGGGGTCAGAACGCAGTCAATAGCATCATCAGGGGAAATAGAAAACTCGACAGTGATTCCAATGTATATGCACCCATCATTACACAAACTGTTGCCCAAAAACCAAGAGAAAGAGGTGAAAGACATAAAGACAAAGCGTCTCCGACCCAGCAACCCCGACCATAGTAGAAAAGGCGTCATAATAAGAAAGAAAGAAAACAGAAAGTAAACAAACTCCGCGGCAAAACAACACAATGAATAAACCAATATAAATGCATCACGCATCATCCATCAACCCTCGACCTGGCATCCTTCCCCTCATGGCGGCGACGCCAGCTGGCCAATCTGCATTTGTGTTTGCGGCCGCACGGGTGTCTGGGCGACCGTCACGTCGTGCTGCGTTTGTTGCTGCTGCGTTTGCTGCTGCTGCTGCTGCTGCTGCCGGAGCTGCTGCTGCCGCATCGCCTGGGCCTGCTGCTGGCTGCGCTGCCGCACAATGTAGTCCTGGTTCTCAATCGTCACGCTCTTCGTCATGTGGTTGACCTTGTAGACGCCCACGAGCCGCGACGCCAGCTCAAACATGTTGTTGCGCAGCGAGATGACGATAAACTGCGCGTTCTTGGTCCGCTCCTTGATGTAGTTGGCCACAATCGACACGTTGCGGAAGTCGAGCGCCGCGTCAATCTCGTCCATCACGTACAGCGGCGTCGGCTTGTAGTGGTGCAGCGCAAACACGAGCGCCAGGCTGCTCAGCGTCTTCTCGCCGCCCGACAGGTTGCTAATGTTCTTCCACGACTTCTTGGGCGGCATCACGCTGAACAGGATGCCCTCCGAGAACGGGTCGAGCGAGTCCACGAGCTCCAGCTCCGCGTTGCCGCCCATCGTGATCATCTGGTACATTTCCTTGAGCCGCAGCGAGATCGTGCTGAAGCCCTCCATGAACCCCTCGAGCCGCAGCCGCCGCAGGTCGTCGCACCGCTTCTTCGCCGTGTCGCGCTGCGCCACCGCCGTCGCCAGGTCCGACGACCGCGCCGCGTGCTCCTCCACGCGCCGCCGGTACTCCGCCAGCACCCCCAGGTCCACGCTGGTGTTCTGCGTCTTCTCCTCCAGCGTCGCAATCTCGCTCTTGAGCACCGCCTTGTCCATGTCCGCCAGCTCGTCTCTGCTGTACTGGTTGAACGCCAGCGGCGGCGTGTTGCTGTCGGTGCGCCGAGCGACCGGTGCCGACTGCACGATGGTGACGTCGCCGCCGCCCTCGTCGTGTTCGTCGCTGTCGGCCTCGGACGACGATGGTGTGTCGGCGCTGGATGCGGTCTCCGCCGTCTCGCCCTCCGCACCCTCTGCACCCTCCTGGGGCTCCGTCTTGACCGCCACCGGCTTCGAGTACTCCAGGTCGTGGATGTCGTGCAGCTGCAGCTTCGACAGCTTGTTCTCCCAGTAGGTCAGCCGCTGGTGGTTGTCGGCCAGCACCTTCTGGTTCTCCTCGAGCTTGTTGCGCATCTCGATCTCGACGGCGCGCGTCGTGTTGAGCGCCGCCATCTTTTCGTCGAGCTCCGCCTTCAGCTCCGCCAGCACCTGCTTCTTGACCTCCAGGTCCTCCTGCGCCTCCTCGACGGCCGCCTTGAGCGACGCCGCGTTCTCGTCCTGGCTCTCAATCTCCGCCGCCAGCGCCTCCAGGTCGCGCGTCGCCGCCTCGTGCTCCTTGGTCGCCTTGGCGTGGTCCCTTTCGAGCTTGGTCTTTTGCTTCTCCGCCTTGGCCTTGCGCACCTCCGCGTGGGACGTCGCCTCGTTGCTCGACGCGAGCTGCTCCTTGGTCGCCTCGATCTTGGCCCGCTGCGCCCGCAGCTTCTCGCCGCCCACCTCCATGATCTTGTCCTGCAGCTCCTTGATCTCCTCCTCGACGCTGGCCGTCTCGCCGTGCAGCGCCGCCACCGTCTTGTGGAGCGACGCAATCTCCTCCTGCAGCACGGCCACGCGATTGTCGTCCGCCTGCGACGGTTGGTGCTCCTTGCTCAGCTCCTGGATGCGCCGCTGCGCGTCCGCCAGGGTCTTGGCCGCGCTCTCCATCTCGAGGTGGAGCTTCTGCATCTGCGTCTCCAGCTGCGGGATCTGGTCGCGCAGGAACCGCAGCCGGCCCTCGAGCTCGCGCTGCCGGTCCTGGAACGCGGCAAACCGCTGCTCCAGCGCGTCCCGGTCCACCTCCAGCTTGGCTACCTGCTCCTTGCTCGTGTCCGGCACCAGCTTCGACGACATCAGGCCCTTCTTGGCCGTGCTGCCGCCGCCCGACATCGTGCCCGACTTGTCAATCAGCTCGCCGTCCAGCGTCACCACGCGCCATCGCTTGGCGCCGTATGCGATGCGGTTCGCCTGCGCCAGGTCCGCCGCCACCAGCGTATCCTGCAGGGCGTGGTAAAAGGCCGGGCGGAAGCGGTTGTCCTTGGCGCGGATCAGGTCAAACAGCCGCGGCGCGTCCTCGGGCGTGCGGATGGGCGCGAGGTCGCGCGCGCGCAGCTTGTCCAGGCAGATGAAGTTGCCGCGGCCCATGTTGGTCTTGCGCAGGTACTCGATGCACTGCTGGCCCGCCTCGACCGTGTCCGTGACGAAATTGTCGAGCGACGGGCACGCCGTCGAGATGGCCACGTCGTACTTTTGGTCGATCGTGCCGAGGTTGCCCAGGCGCCCGTGGAAGCCCTCGATGCGGCCCGACTCCTTCATGCGCATCAGCGCCGTGAGGACGTTGCCCTGCGTCTGCGTCTGCGAGAGGCTGGACCGCGCCTCGTCGGCCTTTTGCCGCGCGTTGGACAGCTGCGCACGCAGCGTGGGCTCCTGCTGCGCCAGGCTCTCGAGCTCGGCCTCCACCTTCTTGGCCTCCTTCTCGAGGCGCGCCTTTTCGAGCTGCGCCGTCTTGAGCTCGTCGGCCTTGGCGTCGCGGCCCTCCTCGATGCTCGCCATTTTGGCCTCCATCTCGCCGAGCGCCGTCGCGCCGGCGTTGGCCTTTTCCTGCAGGATGGACAGCTCGCTCTCGGCCACCGCAATGGCCGACTGCGCCTGGTTGATCTTGTCCTTCCAGGGCTCGAGCGACTTCTGCTTGGCGGCGATCTGGTCGGAAAACGCCTGCGTCTTGCCCTTGAGGCCGTCGCGGATGCTGGCCAGCTCGCCCTCCTCTTCCTTGATCTGCGCCTCCAGCTGCGCACTCTCCTCGGCGCGCGTCTGGATCTCTTCGGTGCACTGCTCAATGGTCTTCGCCGCCTCCGCCGCCGACGTCTCGGCGTTGCTCATGGCCTTGTCGAGCTTCTTGCGCTTGTCCGTCAAGAACTTGCGCTTCTCCTCGAACTTGACGCGCTCCTGGTCGAACTTGGTCATCTCCTTGATCAGCTCCTGCGTCTGCTTCTCGTGCGCCTCGCACTTCTTGCTGCCCTTGGCGAACTGCTTCTCGAGCAGCTTGATGTCCTGCTCGCCGCCATGGTGCTTCTCGAGCTCGGCGTCCAGCTCAGCCTGCATCTGCGAGATGGCCTCCTCGGTGACCGCCACGTTGTCGTGGCACTCGCTGGTGTAGATCTGATAGAGCGCCGACTGCTTCATGGCGAGCTCGTTCTCGTCGCGGATGAATGCAATGGCCTTGTCCTTCTTGTCCTCGAGACTGCTCTTCTCCTTCTCGACGTGCTGCACACGGCCGCTCTTCTCCATGCAGATGTCGTTGAGCGTCTCCACCTCGGTGGCCGCCTCCTCAATGGGCGTCTTGTACTTGGACGTGCCAATAATGTCTTCGAGGTATTCGAGGAGACCATCTTCGTGCTCGTTCGCGGCCTTGGCCTTCATCTGCGCAATGGACTCGACCTCGCCCTGCAAAATCAGGAAGCGCTTGTGGTCCAGGTCCACGCCGCGGTCCTTGAGCAGTGTCGTGACCGTCGTGAAGTTGGACGACTTGTTGTTGATGTAGTATGTGCTCGAGTTGTTGCGGAAGGCCTTGCGAGAGATGATCAGGTCCGAGTCGGGGATGACGTCCGAGCCGCCGCCAGGCTGACATGCAGTTAGTAGGAGGCCATCAGACACCGCAGTGTACGGGGCAAATGCAACATACCAAGTCCATCACTTCGCGGAAGTGAACGGCGACCTCGCAGTACTCCAGGTTCGGGAACTGGGCCGAGTTGTGAATGAGCGCAGACAGCTTGCCCTGACGCATCTTGCTGGCGCGGAAACCAAAGACAAACAGCAGCGAGTCAATGACGTTGGACTTGCCGGAGCCGTTGGGCCCGACGACGGACGAAAAGGACGCGTGGAAGGGGCCGACCTCCTGGACGCCGGCGTAGCTCTTGAAGTTGGTCAGGATGAGGTACGTGATGACGGTGCGGGCCTTGGGCGCTGCCGGCTCAACGGGCGGGATGTTGGTCATCGTGCGCGACTTGAGCACAATGTCCATGGGTTTCTCGAGGATCGTGTCCATGGCGCGGATGGGCTTGGCCGCGGCCACCGCGTCGTCGGCGGCGCTCGTGCTCGAGGCCGTCCGCGGGCGCTCGTTGACAGACGTGTTGGTGATGTCAGACAGCGGCGTCATGGTCACGTCGCGCGCGTGGACTGTGTCATCGGCGCCCAACTCGTCGCCTGTTTCGTCCGCAGCAATGTCTACGGCGGCTTCCGCAACGGTCGCGTCAGCGCCCGGCGCCACATTCTCAGCGTCCTCGGCAGCTGGCTCCGGCGAGGGCGTAGGAATCGAGGACAGCGACGAAAGCGACGACAGAGAAGGCACATCAGGCGTCTCCGACTTGACGACGACCTTGGACGCAGCCACGCTCTTGCGCTTGCGCGGTGCAGGCTTCTTGGGCGCCACAGCAGAGACGTCTGCCTCGACGGACTGTGTCACCGTCGCAGCCGTCTGATCGGGGTCGAAGATCTCGCTGGGCTCAATGGTCGAAGAGGCAGCGACGGACGCGCGTGTCCGCCGTGGCCGCACGGGCTTCGCCGCGAGCGTGGACGACCCCTCGGCTGCAATGGTCTTGCGCCGCCCAGCGGCTGGCCGGCGTGGGCTACGCGTCGGTGCGGGTGTGAAGTCCTCCTCCTCATCTGGGTTGATTGTTCTGTTGGTCATGTCGCCCGAGATCTCGTCGTCCGATTCGATGATGGCGGTGCGCCGGCTGGCGGCGCGTCGCGTCGGACGTGTCGACATGGCGCGTGTGCAGTCGGGTGGGGATGTGTGTGAAACAGCGTTTGTAAATCTGGTTGATTCGTGATGTCGCAAAACGTGTGGTGCCAATTCCGTGTCGGCAGTGTCGTATGGATCACGAAATATGGACGTTGTGCATAAGGAGGGATGAGATACCAGGCTGAGGCGCGACAGTGTGACCCCAGGGAAGGCGTTGCCCCGCTTGTTGTTGACTTGCGATTGCCGTTTTGGGTCGTAAACAAAACAAGGTGGAAGTTGCCCCACATAAAAACTGCCACCATGTCAGCTGCACGTGACTGCCTGGAACACCGCTTTACTGCATATGGTGAAGTGAGCATCGCCAAATCCAAATGAAGCTCCGAGAGCTTCGCCGCCAGAGCCCTTGTCAAACTCATAACCCCTTCTCCCGCACAGCCACGGCGACCACCAACATGTCGGGCCGGCTCGACTTTCGGAATTTTGGCGATGTGTTCGGCAACGGCGACACGCTGCCGTACGATGCGCACGTCAACCGCGACATTGAGTCGAAGCGCAAGAGCCTCGGCGGCGTCCTCTTTGTCGACCGGGTCTTTACCGCGCTGGGGATACCAAAGGGTGAGCAGCCACGGGCCAGCTGACGGCCAGCTGCGGCATATACGCCTCCAGCGCTCATTGTATATGGCTGCCACATTCTAACAAAAAGCAGTCAAAATCTACCCCCCCAAAGACACGCGCACGCTGCACGACCTCTTCCAGCAGATCCTCGCCAGCAAGATGACCACCCACCACAAGCTCTCCGCCCTCTACTACCTCCTGCTCGACCACGACGAGGGTCTCAGCGCCCGCTCCAAGATCGCCGACAACTTCGCCGCCCAGACCGGCATGCCCAAGCGCTACCAGATCTTCATGAGCGGCCTCTGGCACATGGACCGCCTCCAGTTTGGCGTCGCCGTCGAATACCTCGCGCACCCCTCGCTGCTGCCCGAGTTTGCCGACAACATTGTGACCGTGCTCGTGCGGCACGCCGAGAACAACGACTACGCGCTGCCGCTGGCCTACTACGCGGCCGTGCAGCCCGTGCTCAAGACGCAGGAGGCGGTGGAGCTGCTGTTTGAGGCCTTGGCGCGCACCGATGTGAGCGAGGCGTTTTACTACACGCGGACGCTGGCCGGGCCGGCACGGCAGCAGCTGTTTGAGCATCTGGTGGGCTCGGTGCTCAAGGATGCTGCAGGAGGCGGGAGTGGTGGTGGTGGCGGGGGTGCGAGCAGCAGTGCGGACGGGATCGACGCAGCCGGGCGGTCGGCCGAGCTGATCAGCCTGCCGCTCGACTCGCAGGAAGAGGCATGGCTACGGGCGTACCTGACGGCAGGCGAGGGCCGCAAGCTGAAGCGGGCCAAAGACACAATGATTATGAAGAAGATCGTGTCGGGCGACGTGGATCTCAGCGAGGGCAGCAAGAGCCTGAGCGGGCCGTGGGGCATCGTGCTGCAAGGGTTCCGCCACGAGACCGGCGGTGAGCCATAGGGGGTGACCGCTGGCGGTGCTGTGGATACTGTGACTGTAAAGCAAGACAGCAGCAGCAGTGGAACCACGGACAAGAAGAATGAGCAGTTCGCGCGGTCGTACCGCGAAGGCCTGCTGATCGATTTTTAGAGAGCGTATGGCTTCATGTTTCGTGTGATATTTAATCGGAGTTACAAGGTCTACTTGGGATTTAGGTCGTTTACAATTTTCAGCAAAAGGACACGAATCAGTAATACACATCGTATTTGAACAACTTAGTGTCGGCAAGTGACCGTTAACTACAGGGCCAGATGGGAGGCAGCGTGTGCATTGCCATTCACATCAGCAACAGAAGCAAAAGGTATTCAGCTTGTTCGGTCACTGACCTCGGTGAACGTTGACAGAATGAAAATGCGCCATGCTTTGATTGTAGAATACAGAAAAAATGAAGCCAATACATGCAATACGATGTTCGGCCACATCCCATAAAAGATAAATAAGAGAAATGAATACGAGATCCAACGTGCCTATATATACGTCAACCACCACCGTAAGCTACTCCGTATTGAACTGACCCCGTAGAGCGTCGACTTCGCGCCGCAGTGCGTCCAGGTCCGCTAGAATATTGTTGGCCACGCCGTTGTCGTCGGGCCGGCCTTCCTCGCTCTCCTCGGCCGGTGTCAGGCCCTGATCCTGGCCGCGGCGCACACTCTCTGAGCTAGCTTGGCGGGGCTTGGATGCAATCGAGGGCGATGCGCTCGAGAGAGCCGATGTGTTGGTCGCGTTTGCCGCAGTTGACGCATTCGCATGGCTAGCTGGCGCATCCATACTTCCACGACTACTGCCGCGCTGGCGCGTCGGAGGAGGCGGTGGTGGCTGTAGGGGCCCGACACGGCGGGCGATAGCATCAACACTGGCAATGCTCGATGGCCGCCCGCTGCCACTCCCAGCACCGCTGCCAACGCTGCCGCTGCTATCTGTCGATGCCAGTGCGGCAGGTCGGCTCTCTTTGTGGCGAACGGACGTGTTGCGCGCGGGTGGTGGTGGCGGTTTGGCCAGCAGCCGATTGGGGATGGGCGTGGACGAGCCGCTGCCACTAGTGCTGCCAGGTTGAGGAACCAGCGACGGCGTGCTAGCCCCCGCGGGAATACCTGCTTGAGTACCAGGTTGCCGGTCGTGGTCGGACAGGCCAGGTGCGCTCAGCACGGGCGTAGAGCCAGTGGCGTTTGATGGGGCAACCATTGAGGGCCGTTGAGCATGGTTGGCGCGTCGAGGTGGCGGTGGTGCCGGGACGCTGCCACCAGGGTTGGCATTAGCATTTGCATTGGGTTTGGCGAGACTCGATGATCGTGAGTGGCTGTATGTCGAATCTAGAGAAGACCGAGGTGATTCGAGAGGAGATTTGTCGTGTAGCTGATCAGTTGTGACGGCATCGCCAGACAATGAGGCGTGCGGTGGTGGTGCCGCCAGAGGAGGCCGGTCGCCGGAAGGCTGGGATCGGCTTTCGGTGCGGTGATGCCCGGCAGCCTGCCGGCGCGGTGGCGGGGCTGGGATGGGCTTTTTGGTGTGAGGGGGAGAGGGTGTGGATGCTGTTGCTGCTGCCACAGTTGTGGCAGGTGCTGCAGAGGAGGCAACCAAGGCGCCGGCGCCGAGGTCTGAGGTTGGATGTAAGGGGGAGAATTCGGCTGAATGAGACACGTTGGGAGGTGTCGGTGGCCGTGGCGAGGGAACAGCCTCTTCTGGTGCCTCGGGGTCGAGGTTCACCTCGGGCTGGTTGACGGTGACCTCGCGGTCGAAAACGCTGTCCATGGCGTCATCATCTTCGCTCACGTTTGCCGGTCGGCGCGCGGGCGGTGGCGGAAGAGGCTTGTTCACGTCCGAGGGCGATATCGACGCGTCCTCGCCTCCGTTACTACTTTCCTTCGCTGGTGCCTTGATTTCCTTGGGCTGCGCCTTGATCAGCTTACCGTGCCGCGAGCTTGGCGGAGGCGGCTTCTTCCGTGGTGTTTGTCGTGGCGCAGGTTCGTTCACAGACAAAGCCTCGTGGATCAAGCCAGTGCGATCTTCGTCATTCTCGGAGATCTCATGCGATGTCCGAGGTGTTTCTTCAGCTGCAGTAGCCGTGTCAAACCGCGCAGGTGGTGGTGGCGGTGGTGGAGGCGGCGCTGCTGCAGGACCCTGGCCCGTCAACAACAACCGACTGAAGGTGTCCACGTCAAAGGTAGCCTTTCCAGAGGAGGCTGCCATTGCCGGGTCAGACTGCGACTCGCTCACGCTCTTATGTCCGGACTCCAGGTCTCCGAGTGTCTGTTGGAAGGGGTTTGGTGGTGGCGGTGGTGGTTGTTGCGTTTGGGAGGGAAACGACGGCAAAGATGAGGCTGCCGAGAATGATCCAGTGGCGGTGCCTGTACTGCCACCGCGGCCACCGACAGAGTCACTGTCTTCGGATTCCGATTCGTCCGACTCACTACTATAATCCTCGTAGTTCCTGACAGGGCGGTCGTCCAGCAAACCGCCCCGGGTGCCATAGTCGCCAAAACGCGTCGTAGGCGGTGCGCCTGTCGAACCACTTGCCGCACCAGACAAATCGGAAGGAAACCGCGCCTCAAAGTCGGCGTCGACGGAGTCAACTGAGGAGGGTGAAGAGGGCGGTGGGGACTGCACGCGCACCTTCTTGACAGGCTTGGGTTTCAGGAATGTCGTAGACGGAGGCGCCTCGGTAGACTTGGGCAGCGCCTGGAGGTGCTCGCGAAACGCATCACTGGTCACATTCGACCGGCCGCGTAGTGCATCTTGGTCCTCGTACTCGACCGCATACGAATCGTCCCCCAGGCCACTGTTGGCGGTTCGTCCGGGAGCTCCGGGAGCTCCGCTGTGGGTATGGCTGTTGGCGTCGGAGGGTGATTGAGGAAAGGTAGAGCTCTTTGCCAAAGAAGGATGTGGCGGAGTAGTTGTCAAGGCGGTGTCGAGGGCCAGGCCGGTAGCGGTGGAGGAGGAGGTCGGCGAGGCGATCGGGACGGTGCTCTTGCGGCGGAAAGGGTTGTTGGAGGCCAGCGACGGGTCTGCCATGGCTCCGGTTGTAGGTTTGCGCCCGAAGTATGCGCAATAGCTGTGACGCGTTTGTCAAAACGAAAAGGAACCCCCGAAGATCACGAAGTGGAGAGCAAGAGTGAAGGGTAGGTGGAAAGTTAGAGAGGAGCGGAGGCGGGAATTGCGGGTGAGGAGGAAGCCCTGCGCGCGAATGGCGGTGGGGACGATAGAGAAGTCGATGAGATTGATAGGAGAGATAGTCAACAGTTTGGTGCCTGTCGTGTTTCTTCAGGCGCTGGAGCTGAAAGACACTGGAGGATCGGGCTTGTCGGGAGCTGCGGGGTAGCAGGAATTCAGCGTAAGCCAGGCGGGAAATTGGAGATCAACGAGTTCGAGAAAAGACAGCGCACAAGCCGTTAGAGACGGTGATGTCGTCACTGCAAAATAGCTTGAAATCGGATAACGGGAAGCTGCAAAATCCGAAGAGGAGGGAGGCGAGAGAAGCAAAAGTACAGTAGACAGGTTGACAGCGGAGGACAGAAGTGGAGAGGCGAAAGAAACGCGAGGCCTAGTCAATCCCCCATCCGCCGATGCCGTGGTCCTAGTCGTGGTCTGTCGATTGCTTGAATCGTTGACGACGATGGAGAGAGACGAAGAAAATGGAGGGAAAGGATTGAGAAAAGAAGAGACGAGCTGTCAAAAACAAGGGACGTGCTTAGCCTTTTGCTTCCTTTCTTTCTTTCCCTCGCTTCGACCTTCGCAAGCTCGGTCCGTCGAACACGTTTTTATCGCGCAGCGTCAATGGTAAAAATGGCTGCCTTGTCCGCAGCGCGGATGAATCCACCTGAGAATGTTTGGCTGCTCACGCCTCGTATTGCCGCGCTTTAGCGGCTGCAATGACGCGGCGGTTGTCCACTGTCAATTGCAAATCGTCAATCGACAACCCGGAAGCAACCGCAAGCCTGTGTTGCGTCAAGACGATCGCTTCTGTTGAGAGACAAAAACAAAAGAAAAGAGAGATGAGAATTGAAGCCAAAAAGTCCTAAAGGTCGATCATGGCACTACGACGAATCGTGAACATAAAAAGGGGGAAGGAGGGATACTGCGAGTCGCGCCCGGGAAGGCGCATAAAGTCCATTTACAGACGTCGGGAGCCGAAATTGACGGCCGCCCTTTCTTTTCTTGTTCTTCCGTTTGGCTGAGCCTATTGTGCCATTCGCACCTTCCTGCCTGTGCCTCGTTTCTCTCCCGTGTCGCCATACTGTAAATTAGGTGCCGTACGGCCTTGGTTTCACCAGTCTCCAAAGTACGTTGGCCCACGCGGCGGGTGCTCTTTCCCTCCACAACGGCACAACGCGATGTCAGGAAGGAGCCCGCCAGACATGAATTGTGGAAGGAAAGAGCTACGGAGTCTCCTTCTCTCGAACCGTTTACATGTGTATCCCTCCATACGTCGGCAATTGGCGCTGTCGAATGATGCCACGGTGTGACAGGCGAGGGGAGTTCAAGTGCAATCGTCGCCAATTCCTCCTCTGCCCACGAGGGATGGATAGTGTCATTGTACGACAACTGCACGACAACTGCACGACAACTGCACGTCAATCGCACGACGTCGGCTGTCTGGGGACGAAGGAGAGCAACATATTTGGCGAGCACAAAGGAAAGATCTGGGGAAAGAGCGATCACAGTGACGGGACAGCTGTTGGCCGGATAGCGAAACCTCAGAGCGTCAAGTAGTTAGAGGCAGCAAGGCGTGGCCATAGCACAGCTCATGGACAGGACAAGAACAGCGCAGCGGTCACAAAGCGCCAGGGCAGGAAGGCGCGCTCTGTCAGCTTAGTGAACGTCGCTTCTCCACACTCTTATGTGCAGCCTCCCGGACTCTACATTGCTGTTGCATCTTATTCATTATTATTGTGTCGTGGTGCGTCCGGTCACGTCGGCTTTCATTTTGTTTCGTTATTTTCTTTGTCTGCTGCTTCCAACTTTGTTGGGGCAGTGCTTTGTCTAAAACCTCATCCGACAAGTAGGCCCCACTTTCTCACTCACCAAATCTAAGACGAGCCAGCCTGACCTAATATTTGCACGTGACACTTACACGGCAGTCTCCACCTTTTCGCCCGATTCGATAGGCCCAGCTGACGTTCCCCCAGAAATGTAAACAAAGAACAAAGGAAATATCCTCCAAAATCATGCGCGTAATCCGTTTGACATCGCCCTCGTCGCATCGTCTGATAACAACAAAATCCGTGCTGTACAATTTTTGCGCCGGCCTTACTCCATCGCGCTTCGCTATCCTTTTGGCAGTTTTATAGACCCCGAACAGATATCAACATTGACGAAAATGGAAACATCGCAGGCCAATCACGTGCTTGACGGCATCTTGGATCTCATGAAGAACAACAACAAAAACTTTATAACGCGTGCCCCACCATAGTTGATCTGATCTTTCGCGTCGAGGACTCGAAGGTGGCCCAAGCGCTATACACAATTTTGACGACGTTTTGGCGCGGCCCCGTAGAAAAATCAAAACAAGACAGAGCGTGCGCGCCAGCCACAGCACTGTTGACATGCATATGGCGATGTTTTGAAAAGCCTCACAGACGTAACATGACCGCCCGCTTTCATTTGCATGCTTTGAGAATGATTTTGGTTATACAGAGCGCAACACAACAGCGCCCGTCGATCTGAACGGGAGAAAATACAGACAAAAAAAGTGCCCGGTATGCATATATATTTCACGCACACAGCAGGAAACAGACAAGCAGACACAGACACACATAATATACCATTTGCCCCCACCCATCCTTCGCCTACCAATTAGGATACCTTAAACGCCTGATCGATCAAATAAAAAAGCAAAACCAAAAACGGTGCCATCACACGTAACTTAAAATCAGAGGTCCAGTCCTCCAGTGCAGCAAGTCGCAGTATATGAAAACCTGTCGCTCATGAGGAATGGGAGAAGAGGGAGGAAGAATGTGGACGAGGTCGTCGTTGGAAGATATAGGGGTATAACAGCAAAGAAAAACGGTCATGAAACAAAAAGACATTCAAAGCGAATGTCTTCATGCCTCGGCCTTCTTTGCTGCTGCCTTCTTCGGCGCGGCCTTCTTCGGTGCGGCGGCCTTCTTGGCAGCGGGCTTGGTGACCTTGCCAGCAGCAGCCTTGGGCTTAGCGGCAGTCTGCAGCGTGTTAGCAGCGTCCTGACAAGGGGAGTAAGAGGAAAACAAAACGACAAGCGCCAGGGATTGCAACATACCTTCTTGGGAGCAGCCTTCTTGGCAGTAGCGGCATCCTTCTTGGGAGCAGCCTTCTTCTTCTCGCCCTCCTTCTTGGGGGCGGCCTTCTTCGCCGCAGGCTTGGCGGCGGGCTTCTTCGCGACCTTCTTGGCGGCAGGCTTCTTCACCTTGTCCTCCTTCTTGACAGCGGCCTTCTTGGCCAGCTTGGTGCCGCCAGACGCGCCCTTGGGCTGCTCAAAGACACCCTTCTCGACACCGGTGCGCAGGGCCTTGTTGAACAGCGAGTCGAACATAGCGTCCGTGACAGACAGGTTGTTGTTCGCCTTGACGAACTTCTTCAGCGATTGCCGGCTGTGGTGGTTGTTAGTAATCGACGTTACGAAAACTAGAAAAAACTAGCGCAACTGCTCTCTAGCGGTCGCAATGCAAATACAAACAGAAAAAGAAAAAGTAGAGCTTACCTAGAGCCATTGCGGTCCTTGAGCTATTGTTGAGCAAACAGCAGTCAGTATGTGTGTCACAAAAATTAAAGCGCGTTGGTGGAGAGAGAATATGGCAAGAGGAGGGGGTGGGCGTGGCTGGTCGTTCGCATCGTGACGTGACAATTATTGCAGTCATTCACGACGGTAAACCGAGCCGAATAGCATATGAAAAGTGCAAAAGTAAAATACGTGACATCGGTAATCAGTGCGTAAAGCCGTGCAAAACATAGCGGGTGGTATTTACCGAAACAATAGCATGGGTGATCATGTCCTGTCGCGGTGGTTAGCAAAAGTGATTCGAATTTTGCCTCATCGCAATTGCGAAATGGCGGTCGGCGCGCGACGCTGTCGCAAGGCCATAAAACCACGCGCGCACCCCAAAAAAGTCGAACAGCAAAGAGAAACGAACCTGGTACGAGGCATGAGACGCCTTGGGCTTGGCCGCAGAGGCACCTTCGGTCTTCTTGGGAGGCATTTTGAAAATGGGGGTTGGTGATTGATTGAAAAATGTGATTTTCGAAAGTAATCGATCGCTGTCGCGTCGTGTTGTTGTTTGGTTTGTAGTTTGGTAGATGGATATCGCCAAGATACTATGCAAATTTGAAAACGTGTTAAAGAAGAGAAGAGGGAGAAGAAGAGTCGAAAGAACAAGAGAAAGGAGAAAGAGGAAGAAGAAGAGGAAAGAGAAAACCAGGAAAGAGGAGCATCGGGGGGAAGGGACGAACATGCGCGCCTGGTGGGCAATTGTTTATATAAGGGAGCGGGGGTCGCGGCGCAATCAGTAAGTGCTAGTCCGTTATTTTGGGCTGGGCTTTTGGGGCTGGGCGCTCTTGCTGTGTTTTGCACTTTCCTTTTTCATCCTCCTCCCCCCTTTCCCCCATTCTTGCCCTCTGTCTGCCTCCCCCGTTCCCACCGTTTCCCGGTGGCAAGTGCTACAGAAAACCAGTTGCACACTAAAAACACTCGACTGCAGGTCCCTACTCCTTCGTCCACCACGACCTCTTCCCACGCACGACTTGCATCCGTAGACGCAGGTCATTGGCAAGATAAAGTGTACTATTTGGAGTTTGCGTAGCGGCGTTGCCAAACATATGCATGTGCGGGGGTAAGGCTACGACCATGACGGGGTCTTTCGAAGCTTTTTTGTGTCTTCTCAAGACTGTGCCAGTAGATGTTCAATGGGGACCTGCCCGGCGCGAGTCTAGATCAGATGCATTGCGCGACACATGAGCTGCAAGGAAAGCACGAAGGCAATCCAGATGACTGGCAGGTAGGACCAAGCAGAACCTATCATCGAGGGTGCAAGGTGCTATGCAGTGGTGAGCCATGTGTGATATAGAACGAGCGATCGTGGTCAAGATTAGGCAGACGGCGGCGGTAGTACGCGTAGAAATGCCTGACCAGAGACGACAGGAAAGGTGCGGCCGAACACAACAGTGATCAGAGGACAAGCGCGATGAGGGCGAGGAAGGGCGAGGAGGGCGATGCACTGGGCCGTGGATGAACCCTAGACACGCGCGTTGCGGATCGAGAACCTGGAACAGCGGCGGCAGATGGCCCAAGCTTTTCAAAGCTGACCACCGGTGGCTGACATCCACATTTTCTACGAAAGTAATGATAATACGTCGCACAATAACTGGACAAGAATCTCGTCAGACGGAGATGCACCTGCCCTCGCGTGCACAAATTGGCGCAATCCACGGCTGCTCTTCCCTTGTCCTCTTTCCCATTTTGTCGCACCGCGCCCCTCAATCTCGCGCCTATACTTATGAGGGAAGGAGCGACTGACGAGTTCGGGGGACAGAGGAAAGGTGCTACGCCTACGGGCAAGGCAGTACCCGCAGTTGCCTCGCGTAGTCACCTCGCGAACACCCCGTCATCGCGATACCAACAGTCGAGACCAGAGACACGGGGCTTGCAAAGCCATTCATCTGGTCCTCACATGCCTAGGGAGCGACCCGCATAAGCGCTGTGTCGTGCCAGATTTTCCTTTTCCAGTCCAAAGTTGCATGCCGTTTCTACCACTGCCTGGTCTGAGTGTTTCATGTTTTCCCGGGCTCTCGCGATATCCACGTTTCACAAAGATGAACGCCCTACAGCGGCGTAGGCAGGTTATCTTTACACATATAGGTATCGCCGTGCTGTTGCACCACACTCGTCGCCCCCATGTCACGCCGTTGGTGTCACGTCCCCTTCTTCCCCTCTCCTGATAGTGAAGAAACGGCGTTCTTCCGCGGGCACAAGTGACCAGCGCTGTTGATTCGCTGTGCCAGGTGATGTGTCCCATTCCTCGGTATGCTCATACCAATAATAAGATGTTGCATGTTTGCAGACGCAAGCCCCAACAAACCTCAAAACAGAAAGAGGGAAGAGGAGCAGCGCCACCCGGCCCCATGCGGACGGTATGCAAACAACGAACCAGTTATCCCAGTTTATTTTGCGCGATGTGAGTGTTCTGGCCGCGCCGCTAATTGTGATCATACCCGACTCAAACCGCCGCCATTTTAGTGTGCGATAACGGGCAAGGCACAGAGCTCGGCAGAAGATACGACATGCGATGTACAATGCCACGTATCCGTGATGGTTGAATAGGATGGATGGTGGGAATGGGGAGGGTGAGGTTTCGGTTCGCCAGGCCAAGACCCAGGCCAAGCCCATTCGAGTGACAGATCAGCAGGACGGGCGTCAATGGCGAGAAGGCCATACACAACAGAGCGGCTGGCAATGTTCCACACACTAGCAGACAAGCATGTTCTCCACTCGAAGTAGCTCCGTACACGAATCTGTCCGTTCTATCTGTAAGTCTATCGAAAGACCCCACTTTTTGGCTGTCGTTCTCTCGCTCCTTTCTGTTTTCCTCTTTCTGCTCCTGGCCTTTCCGTTATTTCTCGCTGTTCTCGTCCCGTGCTTGCTCTTTCCTCGATTTCGTAATTCACAAAAGTTGGCGCTCTTTTTTCTGATTGGCTGCTCAGCACAACAAACAACAAAATAGCACCTGACCAAAAATCGGGCCCCTCGTGCTTGCTGACTTTGTGCGCAATCATGCGCCCCGACCGAGTCGTACCTTCCTCCCTTTTCTCCCGTTTTTCGCAATCGTCGCTCTCGCATTGCATTTCTCTCCTCTTTTCTTTTTTTCCTTGCGTCTTTTCCAGCTTTTGGGGAGGCTTGTTTGCAATTCCGTTGTAGTCTTTCGATTCTTTTATGCTTCTTTCCGAAGGTTTACTTCGAATTGTAACGATCGAACTGAAAAGCGAACGCAAAACAGTGTCATGATCGCGGTCGCGATCATGATCGCAAGCTCGACACGTCCTCGTTCACCGCCACATCCGCGACTCTCTCGCTCTGTAGATTATGTTCTTGTGTCCCTGCGAGTTCTTAATTTCTGTTTCTATTTTGTTCTCTATTTGCCTCCGTAGCCACGGCCTATGTTCCTGCCGTCTCGATGAGCGCTGTTCTGCGATAACTCGATTTCCTTTTCGCCTCCAGCGATCGTGGTCATATGACACGGTTAGCCCAACAAATTGGGAAGTTGGCGTCACAGGTTCATCGTGACCATCGTTTGTACCTTCTCGCTCGATGCTCGATTGCGCAGTGGGATTAATGTGGCGAGGCAAGGGCAACCCAAGCCGCGCTGCTCGATGTTGAGGCTGTCTCGCTCTTTCCCTCCATTCTCGTGCTTCCCTGCCAGCTGTCCCTATTTACCTCTCTCTCCCGTCCTCTTTGCCGATGACAATATACGGTTTCCTCTTTTGTTTGGTCTATTGCCGTGTGGTCACGCGTGCGGCTCGTGATAATTCCTTGTACCTTCCTTCTCCTTCGCGACATCCCTTGTAATTTTGCAATTTCAGCCCCTTTTCCTCGGCGTCTTTTCTTCGCTCGTTTCGTCTACTTTTGAACTCAATCATCAGGTGATGAAACATAAAGCTGAATTGTATTCTGGCCAGCCGTGGATAATCCGTCTCCGGGTCCAAAGCATACGCGTTTCTGTGCGTGGACGTGTCTCGAGAACGCGTGGCTTTCCTGAAACAGACTACGCGCAGACAAGTAGACCTATACAAATGAATTGTTGTCTGAAATATTGCTTCACTTCTCGTCTTCGAGATGGCCTCCACTACTTCGCAACAGTCCAGCATCGCGGTCGCCGTCGTCGCCGTGGAGGTTGAGTGGGAAGCGAAAGGCAAAATCAAAACACGATCGCCGCGTGGCGTGCGGGACGTTCGCTGCAGCTGGCGCCAGCTGTCAAGTATTATTGCTGTATTTGCACAACTGCCCCACCCGCCATGGCCCTCGTCTTCAGAGGCGCTATGGACCTTGCAGTGGCCCGTGCTCCTAGTTTCGCTATCCTTCTCCACTAAGCTGTCTGTAAGACATCCCAAATAGGCAATTTTTGGCAAACAAGCGTTTCATCTTGTTTCCCAGTCAAAAAGTAGCACCATCACGGCTTCGCTTGTAAATATCTCCCCATCCATAACTGCCCTTCTCTGTTGACTTATACCCATAGACTCTTTGCATTTTTTCCTATGCGGTGATGTATAAAATATGTGTTTCTGTTGCGGTACGTAGGTGGATTTGCATGTAGAGGCAGATATGAGTTGAAACCCGTATGGTTTTTATAAAAAAATTATATATTAGAACGACAAAAACAACAAAACGCCCACAACGCGACGAAAAACACACAAACAAGCCTGCAAACAGATAAGAATATATAGAACTGACAGTAAATGGTAGCAAAAATACCAAAAATATTATCCGAGCCCAACAACGCACAGAATATGCCCAAAAGATATCAACAGTTTCCGAGAACCGAGAGCACTGATTTCTTGACCGTACAATCCAACAACGAATCCCATGAGACCCCTATTACAAGTTGGATATGGAAGACAGGGACTATTACTAGGTTGAAAAAATAAATAAGTAAATAAAAATACAAGATCTGCAGAACGCGCCGCAGAAGCTCCGCGCGAAAGGTGCCGACCCTGGATTCCACACTAGCCGACGGCAGGAGAGTGTATTTAGTACGGCATTACCTGGTAAGATAAAACAAGCACGACTGGAAGTACCAAAGAGGCCCTCCCCGGCGAACGAATGTCCGTACCAGACCAACCCACGGCGCCGGCAACTCATGCCCGTGACAACGGTATGGAGATCATTGATGTTGCCCACGGCTGCACCACCCACACAGCGTAGGCGAACGAATTGAGGATGTCAATATACAGAAGAGTGAAATGCGAGTATGCTGGGAAGGCCGAGACAATACTTGTACACATAGCTCTTGTCTACCCAGCGGAACGAAAAAGCCATGTGCGAGCCTTGACCGCATTTCGCCGAAGCACCAGCATACATTGACGGAAAATACAAGACACCGTCAAAGGCTCGGATGTAGTATAGAAACAGGCAGGGTAAACAGCGGCAGCGGGCGACTCGGCGCGGTGAAGCAACAATGTTTTAACCCACCTTGGCATTAAATGGCCCACGTCGATGCCGCATTGGCGTTTCGTGGATGTAACTTCAAGTACTGAGATATCACGAGACAGTACGATTGCAAACCAATGGTTAACACAGAAAAAAAAACAGCACCTTATTGATTGACGAGAACCTATATCCTATATATACGAATATGCGCACTCGAGCATACCGTGCCGCATTGCGAACCTAATAGAACCCCCATAAAAATGTTGCCGACCGATACAGTTGGACAAAAACAGCAAAAAGAGTATCTAAAACTCCTCCTCCGAAGCCGTCTCTCGCCAATGTGGTGCGGAGAGACATAATAAAGCAAAGCAGAATACACGAATGAAGATGTAAAAAACAAAAGCTGTTTTCGCGCCGCCCATGCAAAAAAAGAGACCTTGTTATGTGTTTTCTCAAACACAACAGGGATGGAAGATGACGAGAAATGAAGAAAGGAGAAAGGAAAGAAACCAAAAAATCGTCGCGTAAACGGGACCGAAAGAAGGAAAGAAGGGTTGATGAACCGTGATCGCATGCCACAATAATCCGTACAGAAGAGAAGGAGGATTGAAAAAAAACGAGGAAAAAGCGGACTGAAAAACCCGCTGGACACATATCCACCACCTCAAATGCAAAACTTCTTGTCCAACCGGGACAGCGCGCGCGAGTCCTCACCCGACGGTGCAGGCTGGAGGAACTGCTGGGAGGTGCTGCTGCCCGAAGCAGCGGCACCAACAGGCACGGCGGCGTTCTGGTGCCGCGGCGAGCTGCTCGTGCTGTTGGTGCTGCCGGCGTTGGCGCTGTTGGGTTCCGAGTTGGCCGGTGTCGGGTGCAGCAGCGCCGACAGGCTGGCCTTGTTGCTGCCACCGCCGGAGGTGTTGGTGGTCGCGCCAGCAGCCGTGGCAGCAGCCGTGGCAGCAGCCGTGGCAGCAGCCGCGGAGGACGGCGAGCTGCCCCTGGCGTAGGTGGCCTCTGCGCCAAAGTACACCTTGGACGGCGGCGGCTGCGACTGCTGCTGGTGCTGGTAGGGCGGCGTCAGGGCAGACGACCCAGACGTGGGCGCGGCGGGCGCGGGAATGGTGGCCGTGGCCGTCGGCGCCGAGGCGTTCAGGGCCGGCAGGGGGCCCTGCGACACAGGCGGCAGGGTCAGGCGGGCACCCGAGGTCGGCGACGTCTGATACGACGAAGGGCCCGAGGCGGCCGAGGACACAGGTGGCAGAACGGGGGCTGGTGCTTGGTGATAGGCAGACGGCGGCGAGTTGGACAGCGTCTGGTGGCTGTTGCCCACGTAGACGTGGTGCGTGGGCGGCGTGGTGCGGGACGACGGGGCGCCCATGTTCTGTGGCGGTGGCAGCGCCACGCGGTCACCGTAGGGCGGCGCGTGTAGTGGCGGTGGCGCGCTGCTGCCATACGGCTGCGCATGGGGTGGTGGCGGGCCCTGGTAGTAGCCGTGCGGCGGTGGTGGCGGAGGAGGCGACGTCTGGGAGTAGTGACCTTGCTGTTGTGGAGGGTAGGGAGCCGAAGACGTGGTATAGTGGCCGCTGTACGGGGGCGTGGCGATGGGTGACGGAGGCCAGGAATAGCCCGGCTGGCCATAGGAGGAGGGCGGGTACGGGTGGTGGCCGTGCGGCGGCGGTGGTGGCGGGTGGTGGGTGTAGTGCGGTGGCTGGTGGTGTTGCTGCTGCTGCTGCTGGTGGGACACGGGCACGCGCGACACGGCGGCCACGGGCATGCTGTCGCTCAAGCTCGACTCCGGGTACATACCCTTGACGGGGACGACGCTGCGCAGGCTCGGGTCGATGATGGGTTGCGGCAGGTCCGGATCGCCGGGCCCTGGGCGCGCGTAGTAGGAGATGAGGTGCAGGTGCTGGCCGTTGGAGGTGGTGATGCTGAACGACTGCTTCATGAGACCGTCCGCCTTGTAGCGGTAGCCGTCGGGCTCGCCGTCGTCCTGGTCTTCGTCGCTTCCGCGGCCTGACGAGTCTGGCGTCTTGCCCGACACCCGGCGCATTGTGTTGAAGCCGCCGCCACGCTTGCCCTCCATCTCGCGGTAGGTCAGAAAGCTGCCGGACACACGACTGGCGCTCCATGACTTGCCGTCCGTCCACCGGCGCATGCCGGCTTCCCGCTCGTCCCACACAAACACGGAGCCAGACCGGATGGCTTGCCGCTCCTTCTCCGACAGCCGTCTTTGCACGCGCGGCAACAGGCCGAGTCGGCAGGCCTCGAACAGCTTGATGGCGTCGGCAGGCGTCCGCACCATGCCGTGGTACGTCTCCATGGGGTGTTTTTGGGACGACATTTTCATTGTGCTGTGTTGGTGTGGTAGGAAAGAAGTGAAAAAAAATAAAAAAATTCGATGAGATCAAGGAATCAAAACAGCAATGTTGTTCGTTTAGATTGGGGTTTCTCGACGCATCTAAGTCGCCCAATCGCGAACTCGGACACTACCCACCCGTGTCACTCTGTCGACACCGTGTCGCCGCAGAGTATGTCAATGTGAATTTCCCAAGAAGCTCAACTTCTTTTCGGGGATCGAAAATACGTTAATCAGATTGCCGAGTAGGCCGACGCAAAAAAAAGGGTTGCGAAGTTGCCCGAGATGGTTTGCCGTCGGAAGAGGTGGTCAAGTATATGTTCAAGCCGATCGTAAGATGGGATCAAAGATCCAAGATCAATGATCAATGCCAACAGGGCAAAAGGTTATGGGGCTCTTTGTGGTCCGCTAAAGAAAAGACGTCCGCGTCAACAGGGCGTCTTGGCGTGGTCGCAGCGCAGCGCAGGACAAGGGTCGAAGTCGTCCCAGTTGACGAGCCAAGGGAGTTTGCGTTGATGGAGCGAACCGCTGCTGGGGGTGGGTAGATTCAGAATGACTGCCACGCGGCAGGCAGTTTTGGATTTTGAAAGTGGAAAGGCGGCGCTGGTAGGGTGAGGGTGGTGAAGTGGACTGTGTGGCGTGCCAAGACAATGAGCGATAGAAGAGGGAGTCGATCTTGGCGTCGGATCTCTTTTCTCGAGAAGGATGAAGAGAGAGAGGCAAGTGTAGTCGAGCGTGGGTAAAATGGCGTGGAGGGGGAGAGACAAAAGCTGAAACGCAGCTGCAGAGGCCTAAACGATTGCAGACGTGTTTTGTCGGTTTGTGATGGAAATGCGGAAATGTGGACACGGCCTTTTGATGACGTTAGCTTTTAATCTGGGTGGAAACTTCTTTTTTTTTTTTTTTTTTTTTTTGTCGCTGAGCAACACCCTGAAGAAGAACCTGAGACGCAAGCGAGAAGAGAGATGACAGTAAACGAGAGAAAACGAGAGAACGATAGTGAAAGAGAATTTTATGTGCGAACACAAATTCAAGAACACAAGAACAATGTGCAACGCAAAGTAGTAAATGCATGGAAGAGTTTTTGGAAAAGGGAGGGGGGGTGTGTGAGAGACGCTGGGACTCTGGGATGCGGAAAACGATCAGAGAAGGGAAAGGTAAGTTGGCGAGAGGGACGGGAAGGGAGTTGCGACGGAAAAGCGATGTCAATCAAGACAACGTTAAGATCCAGAGGTCAAAGGTAGATGGTAAAAAGGGCAGAAAAACCAAAGAGGCCCCATGTCGAGCCAATCATGGAAATGCGGCATTGGCTTCTATTGGCCACTTTGGAGTCAGGACACATTGGACCGCTTGTTGTTGCCCTTGTTCGTCTTCTCTTGTTCTTTTCTCTTCCTTCTGACTGCTTCTTTGGGTCGTTTTTTGGTGGTGTGGAACCCGTCCCGCAATGGGCGAAACGCGGAGGAGTTCGAGACGTTCAAGGGTTTGGGTTTGCGTGGTGTTTGGAGAGATGGGGGATGGGGTCTGGGTGCGAAAGGCCACGTACGCACGCACGACGCACGCATGCACGGATGCACACGCCAAAGCAGATAACCCTCCATGGTGTATGTTGCGGTGCGAGATGGACAATGGAAACGAGGAAAAGAAGGAGGGCATTCAGAGATGGAGATACCCAAGACACGGACGAAATTGCTCAACCAGGAAGAAAAGAGAAGTGGAGAGGAATAAAAAAAAACCCCCAAAAAAATGGCGACCGTCGAATCAAGTTGCTATTGACCTTTGGAGCACGTAGATTCGAGTACAGAAAAAAAGGAGGTCGAGAGAAAAAGACATCCCGTATCGCAGTCCGACGCAGCGAGAGCGAAACAGAGTGCGGTGAGGGTTGATCAAGAGTTGCAGCCGTTATGCAAAGCCGCTCTGCAACAGAGAAAGACAGGCCTCTGACAGGACTCGTATATTTTCCAACAAGGCGGTAGGGCCTTCCCTGGGGAACCTCCCCAAAACGAGGATGCGAGGGTCAGACGGTCGATCATGAAAGAGAACGGGGATAAAAGACGACAAAGGGCGCGTCACCCCCAGGGGGTGTGGTCAATCATGAAAAAGACCGAGTGGGATGGTCGACGGTAAATAATGTTGATTGCCGCCTAAAGTTGCCCGTTCTGACTTGACCGAAAGTAAAGTGGTTGTCTCCGGCGTAGATGGCCAGGGCGTATGTCTTTCGCTTTTCGTTTTTCGTGTTCTTTCCTTGTTTTTGACATGATTTATATGCAGTTTGAGTTCCATGCGAGTTCCAGTTCGAGTTCCCGTTTCGGTTGTGGCCATGGTCGTCTTCGTTCCGTCGGAGGTGCGTGTAGTCGGCTTTGCTTGCCGTCCCTTTGCAGCCGCAGCCCAGTGACAGGTTGTTTGGTTCCCTGGGTTGGGGGAGAACGGAGTTCCAGAAGCCAAAAAGGATGCGACTTGTGACATGAGAAAACAGCGAGACGCGGGTGACGTCGGTACCAGATCCAGTGATGCCGCCAAGCAAGCTTCATTTTCGAACAATGCTATTCGGTGGGCTGCATTTCTTTCTTTGCTCAAGCGGTGGGTGCGTCCAGACCGTCCAGGGAGTGGTCGTCATCCGTTGGCCGTTTGCATTTTTTTTGTTGCCGCTCTCTTGACTCAAGCCGTCGGTTGCTTTATTGTGTGGTGACGACGCTCTCTCTCTCTCTTGATATCCCGTTGACGGTTCGGTTCGTCGTCCTCTGGGACTCTCTGATCGGTCCTCTTTTGATCGTCGTCTCCCTGGGTGCCATTGTGTCCAACTTTCTCTTTGCTCCTCTCGGATCCGTGGGCCGGTGGTCAATGGATGATGGTCCGGGCCATAGTTGACCCAGGTATGGTTTTGCCGTGGATGGTGCGGACGAATACTGACGAGTGCCGACGATGCCGACAAAGTTGTGTATGCGACAGGCCGCTATTTTTTTTTGTGCCGATCCCTGGTCACTCAATCCGTTTGTCTTTGTCCCCAGACAAGAGATGTGAGAGAGACTGTGTTGAGGAGTGGAGAGGCAAGACGAGACAGGCCAGCCTGCAGGCTCGCAGGGTTGAGATTTGTGCTTGACTGCACTGGGATGTTCAAACATATATGTGCGTATTGTGTGACGGGAGAAACAAAGCAACGCAAAGCAAAGGTAAAAGCAGAGTAGAGCAGAGTAGAGCAGAGTAGAGCAGAGTAAAGCAGAGTAAAGCAAAGGCAAAGAGCTCTTTTCTCGGGCGGTTCCTCCTTCAGGGTCACTGGCATGGTTTGTGCTGTTTCGTGGTTGACATACCTGGTACGGTGATGTGCGCGCAATGACGTCTGATGTGCGTGGGCGCGTGCGGGAAGAATCGATGTTCGTGAGGATGTGGGAAGGAAAGAAACAAGTACGAAAGGAGAGATGGAGAGGTGGGACAGATGTAGGCGAGCCTAACTGACAAGCAAAGCAAGCAAAGACAGAAATACAAAAGCAAAAAAGCAAAGAAGCAAAAATGACGAGAAGTCGCCCCTTGGAAGTGGACTAACGACGTCTTTCTGTCAAAACGACGTTGAACGAGCCAAGAGGTCGAGAGCGAGACAAGACAATACAAAACAAAGCGAAAAAAGGGTCGTGGGAGGTGTTGAAGGAAGAAAAAGGGACCTTTTGGTTTTTGTTCAAGACAAGAACGACAGAGTAAGAAATGACGAGTAAGAAAGCAGTCAACGCAGTAAAAGCCAAGGTTGCCAAGAATCTAGAGCCGTTCCCAAATGGGGTTGCAAGGGGTTCTTGGAAGGCTTGGCTTTTGCGGGTTGTCTTATCTTGCTCTGGCCCAGAAGGCAAAAGGTAAAAAAGGTAAAAAAGGTGGGCCGGCAAGGTAAAAAAAAAAACGGTGCGGCCTGGTAAAAAAGCTTGGCTCGGTTGTTGGTGGCTCTTGGTGGTTCTTGGTAGTTCTTGGTAGTTCTTGGACACCTTCTGAGCCACAATCTTATTCGTAAACGTCAATTCCGTTTTCCTCGTCTCGTGGTCTGCTTGCGGACGTGACGAAGAAACGAGGAAAGCGAAGCAAAAAAAAAAAAAAAAAAAAAAAAAGGATGATAAAGTACAGAAGACGGAAAGCGCTGAGGACACGGCAAACAGGAATGACCTAAAGACCGATGCGAGAAACGGGACAAGAGAGCTTCGTCTCTGACGCCTCGTCTCCTGGAGCGTCTTTGAGGCTCTCGGGGCTGGCTTGAGCTTGCTGCTGCCCGTCGACAGCGAACGTGGAAACGGAGGGAGAGGCCCCTGGGTCTGGTCTGGGGTGGTGTGCTTCTGCTTCGTAAGTGCGCCGCCCATAAAATAGGCGAACAATGGGAGGGGAAGATGAATGCGACGATGTGGCGTGTGGATTGGATGCGGGATGTGGTGTGGGCGTAGTCGTCGGGGCCCGTTGTGGGTTTGCGAGAGGAAAAAAAAAAGTCTGTCTGGGCGGTCCCAACTTGCGCATGTCGTGGATCGTATACGAAGTACGTCGCATGCCCCATCGTTCTTTCCTTTTTGATTGCCCGTTGCCCTTCTTTCCGTTCCTGACGTTCTTGCCAAGTATGCTCGACCTCCTGCGTCCGTTGCTGCTTCCCTTCCCCAACGGCTTTGCAGGCCTCTTGCCTTTTTGCCTTCCATCCAGCTGCCTGCTCTGGGCTGTTCTTTCCTTGTCAAAATTCACTGTTTCTGGTCCTATTCCGTACGTATTCCCGTTCTGCGTACGTTGGAAGAAGCGGCAACAAGTGGGTCGTTGCTTGGCAGGCAGGACCAACAGGAGGGGAGGGTGTGTGCATAGCAAAACTCTCTTTTTAATGTTTAGCTGGGACTGGGACTGGGACTGGATCAAGTGCTAAAAAGGGGATTGACAGGCAATGGCGAGGGGGGAGAGACGCAATCCATAATCGGCTTGGCTTGCAAACACGTTCATTACGCCGCATATCTCCGCACACCAGCAGGTCGTCGCCCAAGGGC